AAGGGAGCAGATGTCAACGCGCAGGGCGGCGAGTATGGCAACGCTCTCCAGGCTGCCTCACTAGGAGGCTATCAAGAGATTGTCAACCTGCTTTTGAACAAGGGAGCAGATGTCAACGCGCAGGGCGGCAGGTATGGCAACGCTCTCCAGGCTGCCTCACAGCGAGGCCATCACGGCATTGTCAATATGCTTCAAAGAAGAGGCGCTATCACATTGCCTTCACCGTAGTCCGGCTTTGTGGCTCCGAGAAACCTGGTTGAGAATCTTTCTCTCAAAGACTCCGGACCTTCTGAACAAACTTTGTAAATTCTTCTGTGATTACATATGTCAAATGAACGACAGTCCCGATGGGATCCACAAACATGTTGGAACTTGATATTGCCCTTTATCTGTATGATTGTCAAACACCGTCGGGAACATCCTTAGTCTACCTATGGAAACTTTGTGTAAATCGGATTTGATCGTAGGTAATATCTTTATTCAATTCGGCGTGGGTTAATTTGAACCAGGGCTGGTGGAGCTGAGAAGCTCCGGATACAGGCGATGAAATTCGAAAGACCGAACTCATCAAGGCCTTTCCGCTTTCACTTGGAAATCTTCCGGTCATGATGGTATACTGTAGCCATTGATCTGCTTCGAAAGTGTTCGACTAGGCAGAGGGAAAGACTTGAACTACATTATTCGCATACTTTAATTATTAACTTCTCGAACATTGCTTGTGTAGGAAACGGACAGGTTCAATGTCATTTTACAGTTATATACTCTTATATCCTAAGTTTCAGGGCCAATTTCTGCCTTAAGTTTGAACTTCGAAGAGGTGTTCTGTTGCTGATCACCTTATTACACATGAAGCGAGATTTTTGACTACATCACTCGAAACTGTCCTTACTAAATGTAGGGACGGACGGAGCCGATGCAAGAGTGGAGAGTTACCACAAGGGGCAGACTTGGCGGGATCAAGTGCAAGCGTGTTTCACGTAATTTACAAAGCCGAGACACGTATAATACGAGCTTTCAATACAAATCGGCACTTGAAACGAGGCTAAGCAGGATTAAGATTAGCGTGTTTAGAAGGAGGGTTCGAGAAAGAATCTCTGTGCGCAAGTGGTGAAACTGATTTCGATCCTCCCTGTATATATACAGATTGTCAGCAATCCGAAGTACACAAGATCTTGGCTATCGGAATTGTAATCAGACGAAGAACATTGAATTGTCCAGATTTGAACACCAGGGATGTAGCCTTTTTGATCGACATAGAAGAAAATCCAGGTAAGGGCCCGATATGAGAGGTAAATGATTATCAAATGTTCTGCTCACGCCTATTTTGTAGTCTGCCACACCTTCTCCAGAACCCAATGAAGCTTAAGCTGCGTTTTGAGCCACCGCATGCAAGACAGCCCTTGAATAAGTGACGGCGTTGTAGGCCAGGACTAAATGCATCATATAGAGACTGGGCCGCCAGCCATTCACCACTCCAATCCTTTCCAACGGACGAAACAGATAGAATGTAGCGCCAAGAGAATTCCAGATGGCCATTCGGCCGTGATATATCGCCAATAAGGGCACACTCTGGGATTTCCCAGTGACAGCATAAATGGTTGGTATAAGCGAAAGTAAGCCCAGTGAAACGCAGCTGTACGGAAACCGGTACCGCACTGCACAGCAACTAGGATCGCAAATTACAAAGTCCACCAGAATCCCGACAGCAACGACGGTGAAGGCAGATATGTATCCGAGCTGGAGGTAGGGTTCGGTGTGGAATAAAAAAACCGCCGAAGGAAGGGTGGTCGCCCAAATTAGGACTAAAGTGGCTCCAAACTCTAGCTTTTGCCACTCTACCGCATCATTACCCCGGAAAGCATCTAGAAAGCGGTAGAAGAGGCTGGACGTGCACCAGAAGATAACACCTGCGCAAAAAAATAGCACGGACAGGGAGTCTAAAATTCCTCTGGGGGACGAGGGGAAATAGAAGAGCAGAAAATGGAGCACAAAAAGGTAAAAGTAAAGCAATCCAAAGACATTGATTACACTGAGAATTGCAAAATCGTGCAAGGACTGCGCTTTCGGTTCAGCCATTTAGGTCGTGGGCCGTGTACTTGTTGGAGAGAGGACATGGGGAAAACTGGGCTTTTAAAGGTGAATAGCAAGAGCGAAGCAGCTGCTGAATCGAGGCCGCCCTAGTCTGTGTATATTGTCTAGGACCTAACCAATACAACTTAGTAGGAAACATCGTGAGAGAGAAGGTCAGACATCGTGCAACGGTTAACAAATGACATTAACCAATGGCTTTTAGTAAGAATAGCTAAGAGAGGGTTGTTAGGAAAGAGTTGTTAGGAGGGTTGTTATAAGAGGGTTGTTAGGAGAGGGTGGTTAGGAGATTAAGCGGTACCGGTACGGAAATTAACCATGCTTGGCACCCCATTTCTGGGGGGCATCATTTATGTGGCGGTCAGCGATAGCCTATCGTTTGCTTGGGTTGGCTGGCTTACCCTCGGTCTATCTCACGCCTATCAATAACTGACACATGAACTCACGTAGGCCTCTGCAAAGCCCACAAAGCCCAAAGCCCAGCCCAACCCAGCCCACTAATGGGTTGGGCTTTGGGCCCATACTCCGGGCCCATCGATGGGTTATGGGCTTATACCTTGAGCCCATAGGGCCCATTTAGGCCCATAATGGGGGCCCATTATTTATCAAACAATACAAACATGCCAATATATTGCAACTGCATAATTTATACATTTTTTGCTGGTTTTTTTGGGTATTGAGATTACTATCCAGGCTGTATCTACATGAAGCTATACGTAAATCATCATATTCTTCCTCTTCTTTATCTTCCTTTACAAATTTACAAGTAAAGTCATAGAAAGAAATGATTCAAATGATTTGATTTGATTGATAAGATACTAAGCAATAGATACTAGTGGCTCAAAAGCATATTTACATACTATACTCATACATTTCATCTTCCACTCGCGTCCTCTTCCTCCCTGATGTACGTAGTTGAGTTTGAGTGCTTGGCAATTGCAAAATCTCACTATCATCATGATCATCAATCAGGTCCACAGATAGATCGCTCTGATCTTCAGTATCACTGATCTCATCAACCTCAAAATCATCCGAGATCTGATCCTTCTCTTCAACCAAGATATCCATCTCGTTAGAAGAGTAGTACTGCTTCATTTCCTCTGATTCCTGTATACCAAGATCAAACTTTGATGCACAGAGGTAGAGCATAAGCTCTTCAATTGTACTGGGTTTCAAATAGCCGCGGCGATAATGACAGATATCGCGTGCAATATTGAAAAGACGTTCAACGCCAGCACCTGATGCTGGCATTGCAAGATAATCCTGTGCAAGTGCAGCGATAGCGGGAAAACGCTGTTCATTCTGTCTCCAAAATGCGAGCGGATCGGACTCAGTTATAGCTATATCAGTATTAGTATTAGATAGATAATCGGAAGGATATAACATACTGCCATCAAGATACTGTGTGATCTCATCCGCAGCAGACTTTGACTTAGGGTTTGGTTTCTGGTTTCGAATGAGATCATGAAGTATCGATCTTGATGTTGGTGTAGAAGGCTCCTGAGGAGTATGAGTCTTAGCAAGACGTTGCTGAATCGGAGTCAGTGCATCCTGAAATGCTTCTCGATACTCATCTCGTAGCTCTTTAGCGATATCCCCAGACCAGTCATCAGACAGAAAGAATTGGAATCGATACTCCGGCGAGAGCATTGTACAAACTGGGTAAATGTACCCTCTCATTTGGTCAGTCTGCTTGTAGTAGTTATGCAATTTAGCCCAACTAGCCTGGAGGGCAGTAAACATCTGCTGCTTCCAAGTAACTCGCTTTGGTCTCAATTGTCTCTGTGATCGTTCAATATGCTCAAATAGCAAGTTGTAGACCGCAAAGACTAGATGTGATGTAACCTCTCGTGTCTTTGAGAGAGCAACTGTACAATCATAGAATTGCTTTGTAAGACAGAGAAGATAGTCGATTTGACGCCATTGATCATCATCCAAAGCGAAGTCTTGCTCATTGTATTGAGCACAAAACTGGATGATATAGCGTTGGAGTTTCTTAGCTCGCCGGAGCATAAGATATGTCGAATTCCACCGAGTTTTCACATCTTGGATAAGCATAAGCTTATTTCTCTTCCCATCAGGTTGAAGTGCAAGGAATGAATCCCGGCGCTGAGGACTAGCACGAATATATACAGCAAGTGCTCGTATTCTTTGTAAGGTATGCGCAATTTCCCTTTTTTTTGTACTCGCCCTTGCGGTAGTCTCTTGCTCCTCGGTCCATATAGTCTCTGCAGTTGGGTTCTGAGGAACTGCCTTCAGACGGTCGAGTAACTGGTTCAAGCTCAATTGGATCACATGTGCAAGACATGGTACACGGATGATATTGGCTTGCAACAACTGCTGTAGTTCATCAACCAGAGTCTTGTTGTTTGATGCATTATCAGTGGTCAATCCAAATATACGGTCTTTGATCGCATGCTGGGTAAGCGTCTGTTCGACAACTTTACTTAGGTCCGTACCAGAATGGGATCCAGAAAGGGGTTTAAACGCGAGTAGTACTTCACGGTAAACCCAGTCAGCATCGATGAAATAGCCAGTGATAGCCATAAATGCCTGCCCAAACGGAGATGTCCAACAATCCAATGCAATTGAGATCTTTGTATACTCCGGTAGTAACCTGAGTATATCCTTTTGCCGCTCTTCGACACAAGTAGATAGCCGACGTTGAACAGTAGTAGCGCATGGGATATCTAAATCCCTTGTAGCTAACTGTGACTGTGATATCAAGTTTTGAAAGGATGGAGTTTCATTTGTCTCGTTCTTATGCATTTGTTTCTCACGGTATGCATATCGCAATTCCAATTTGTCCATTCTGTCGAATTCAATCTGCGGAGCTTGGCATCATCTTACTTCTCATTGGCTCGAAAAGCTCCTTAGCTAATGGCTTTGTCATTGCATCAGCAATATTTTCAATGCTTGGTATCAAAACCAGATCTCCGGAGATAACAAGAGATGTGAGAGAAAAGGACGTACGCCGTGAAAGAAATGATACGGACCTTCCATTTGACAAAACGACTCTGTCAACAGAAGATACCAAAGCATATCTCGAGGATGTCGGAAAGCTCGGCTGGCTTACAGACAAATCACGTCCTGATATTGCTGTCGCAGTCAACAAATTGCAGAGACGATCTTCCACTCCAAGAATAGAGGATCAAGAAGCAGTTAAACAGTTGATCCGATACATAAAAGGAACGATGAACCTTGGTATTTTACTAGGGAAAGACTCGACAGGATTGGCTGGCTACGTGGATGCTTCATATCAAGATTGTGAGGATGGTAAAAGCACTGAAGGGTTTATCTTCTTTTACGCAGGAGGCCCAGTCAGCTGGTCTTCGAGAAAAGAAGACATTGTCGCGAGGAGCAGCACCACTGCAGAATACGTGGCGTACGATGCTGCTATCTAGGAATGCTTGTGGCTGATAAAAATGCTTGAACAACTGGGCCATAAACAGCAGATGCCTATCATAATCTACACGGATAGCGACAACGCTGTTGCAATGATGAAGACAGACACATACACAAAGGGATCAAAATGGTTGAATCAAAAGTACCATGCCGTGCGAGAAGCAGTGAGAAACGGGGTCATCGAATTGTATGATGTTCTCATTGGCAGGTAAACATGAGATGCGTTTTGTAGCCCTGTCCTGTTGACCAGTTCTTCAGCATATGCTTGTTGACTGAGAAGAATACCCTTGTTTCCTCGAGACAAGCTGCTTCCTAGGAATCTGTTTGGCTTTCCTAGGTCCCGGTATTTGAATGGAATTGTTTCTTTGAACCAGTTGATGTCTTCTTCCTTCATTGCTGCAATCAACGTGTCGTCAACATACAGTAGAAGCCATATCTTTCTTTCTTCATGAATCAAGATACATGGTTCATCAACCAATGGTTTAAAACCCATGTTTCTCAGTTGTTGGAGGATAGTCTTGTACCATAAATGACCTGCCTGTCGAAGTCCATAAAGAGCTTGCAACACTAGACAGACCATTGGTTCATTGTTCGGTCCTTTTTTTCTCGAATCCTGTTGGTTGTTTCATGAATATCGTGCGGCCATCTATTGTTGCATTACGATATGCCGCTGTGTAATCCACTTGTTCGAGAATCATCCCTTTTCTTACCACAATGCTAAGAAATAACCTCATGGTTTCACCTCTAGCAACTGGTGCTGAATTTTCCAGGAAGTCATAACCAGGTCGTTGTCTATTTCCACAGATCACCCATCTTGCACGGAACTCAATAACGAAGTTGTCTTTGTCAATTTTCAAATCAAATACCCATTTGCCAGGTAGTATCGTACTTCCCGCAGGTGGATAATATGTCACTTCGTATGCCTTTGCCGCGATCTGCTTCTCAATTTGAACATTCATTGCTGTAAGCCATTCATTTTTGAACTCTGAATTCATGGCTTCAGCGTATGTACGGGGTATTTTGACCTTCCATGCCTTGATTGGTTCCTTTGGTTTTGTTGATCCTTGTTCAGGGCTTATCTCAACTGAAGATAACGCAAATCCCACACCAAAGGGTGAGTTTCTCCAGTAATCATGTGGCATCAAACCGATATCCTCGGGAATTCCAGTTCCTTGGGTTCTGTACGTTCCATGGGATATGTTTTGGGAACCTCCACTTGCCACTGTCTCTCCTACAGCGCATTGTGCTCCACCTCCCCTTCTCTCGATCGGTTCGCCTCGTTTCCCCCATTTAATATCATGGTATCTCTCGGGTGACCTCGATGGTCTCTCGGATCGGCGAGGACTCGAAGGATTCTCAGTAGGACGAAGGATCTCGGGTGGGTCAAATCTTGCTGGATTTTGAATCGGGTTACTCTATTCTTCTATGTATCCAACTCCATACTGAGCCCTGTATTGGACAGGATTCGGCTCATCAAAAAGCTCAATGAATGGTACCTCCTTTGCAATAAAGGTGTATCCTATCGCTTTGTTGTCCTGTGTTAGGAGCATGTCTTCATCGTTCCATCTGATCCCTTGTTCTCTTTTGACCCTTAAGAGACCGAGAAGGTTGAATCTGTTCCCTGGTTTGTATTCACAATGAATTCGAAGTTCACATCGTCCACCTTTAGGTCTTCTGATTGGAAGGATAATATCTCCATGTCCTTCGGCGACAGCTCCTTTTCCATCACTCGTATCCCAGGCAGATCCTGTCCCTTCTTTGTATGGTGTGTATGTCACAAAGAGATTCTTGTTGGTGCAGATATGCCATGAAGAACCTGAATCCAGTATCCAGTCAATGCCTGATCGAAGTTGGCGGGTAGTTGTTAGTGTAACAGCTGTTCCAACGATGCCTTTCCTTTGTTCTATTGTGAATTCTTCATCAACCTCCCTATCATCAGTTGCAACTGCCATTTCACCGAAATCGTATCCCAAATCATCATCTGTTGCTATAGCTGAGGTAGCAACAGCGTCGAAATTTGCTTGTTTGGTGCGTTCAGTAGGTTTCCCAGTAAATTGCTGGCTCCTATCCTCTTTGAACTCCTTGTATGTCTTGTAATACCATAGGCCAGGCTTTGGTTTCCAACCGGAAGGCCTACTCTCTGGTGTTAAATGGTAGCAATCTTTAGCGTCATGTCCTGTTGTGCCACAGTAGGAACATGCTCCATTTGTTGATCTCTGTGTCTTGTGGTTCTTCCACTCCTTAACATGGTCTCTAGCATGTTTTCCTGGTGGTGGAGCATTCATCAATCTACCCTTTTTGTAGGAATTGTTATCGGTCTTTTTCTGGTTCTTTGGTTGACCAGATTGATGACTCCGTGTACTGCTTGCTCCAACACCCCCATCTAGACCTAGCCTCTTGATCTTGTCCAGCATATCTTTGCAATATGTGAAGAAGTCACTGACTGTCATCGTTGTTGCTGGGTCCTTGATTGTTTTTAGCTCATTTTCTTTGATGTCGATCGATGCACGGAGTTCTGGTATCTCCTGTAGTTGATCAACCATCATCACAATAGCTAGATATGGAGAAAGTCCCGCTTTCAATTCATTGGCGGTGATGTATCGTGACTTCAGACCTGTAATAAACTCGCTGTTTGTCGAAAATTCATCTCTCTTCGTTCGTAGGAATCGTAACATTGCGGCACCAAGAGCTCCATGTCCTTCACCCCGCATTTGTAATTTGCACTGATACATAAAGTCATCCGCCCATTTTGTACGTTGTCCTGTCGAAGTAATGTCTTTTACGACGTCTGAATCAATGCTGTGTCGAAGCCATGCTCTCACTTGTATGCTAAGCTTCATCCATTTCTCAGCGTCTTCTGAATCTGTGTCTGGTCTCTCGATGTTCTTGTCGATTAACCGATGAAGACTGTGTCCCTCGAGAATTCTGGTCACTGTATCGTACCATTCATCGAAGTCTTCCTTTTCTTTCAGTGGGGGTTCGATCTTGTAAAGCACAAAGCTTCCAATTTCAGGAAGTCCATTGCTTTGGTCCCCACTTGCTGTTGTCTGATCCGTATCTTCAATAGCGTCCCAGTTCTTACCTATAGCGGCTCCTGGTCCCACAAGAGGAGTCATGATGTTGACCGTTGGCTGAATAGATCACCCCTCCAGAACTGGGACCTTGAAAACTCTGCTTTGTTTCCGGGATAAATGATCCCAGTTTGTTAAAAATCGATCCGATGATAATGACTTCGAGTATTCGTATCAAAGCCGATGTTATTGATGGATCGTCTTGATGAGGTTTGATTGGTTGATTGGAAAAGGGGTCAGCAAAGATGCGTACCCGGTCCCTCAGTGGAGTCTCGATTCCACCAATCGTCTGATTCCTGTACCGCGACTCTCTCTGCGCGAAAACAAGGTAGAAAAATGTAAAGTAAAAAAAATGCCTCCTATCTCAAGAAAAATAATAAAAGACTCGGTAAGAGCGAGGACTCATAACCTGATGGAGACTACGAAGTAGTATCCAGAACGAGAGGAGGGAGAGAGTTAGATTCCTAAAGGGAGCAAACTCCCGAACTATCTACTATCGAGGGTGAATGCCTAAGGCACCAAGGCATCCACAACAACTTATTATACCGATTGAATAAACCCTCTTAAGGTCCCCTTTTGTTTCCGTATTCCTGCGGCTCTTTTGCAATTTGTGGTTTCAAGATGGCGAGTAATAGTTGTTGTACCATGACGGTTAACCCTTTCAGGATTCTTACCCTTGGTATCACTACCAGCTTGTTGCTTAGTAGTATATGGATGCTCAAGGATAGTACTGCAACGCTTACATACTACCTTCGGGCACCCAGAAACTATATGCGCCAATTGGTCATACTGCTCCCAGATCTTCGAAGCAGTACCATGCGGAGAGTCCCATAGAATTGCCGCATTGTTAGATCCATATTCAGTTCGCAGCCACCATTCAACCCAATTACCATGATTCATCGCGTTATAAAGGAAATATACGCGTGGTTTACCAGGAGGACCAACTCGCTCAAAGTTCTCAAAGTCATCCGGCTCCAGGGTAACTGACGAAGAAAAGGATGGCTGGAAAAACGATGAGCTACCACGGTAGTAGTCGCGTGATAGCTGGGAAGAGGAAGGAAGCGATATATTATCGAGGTCAGGTTCAATTGGGTCGAACTGAGATGACCCAGGCTCGGTTTGCTGGCTTTGCGACATAATCAGTTAACGATTTAACGATTAGATAATGAGGATTGTGTAGTATAGATTGTAAAGTAGAAACTTGGAAGGATATAGATCAGGAATAAGGGGGATAGCTTTGAGGACATACATAATAAAAGGCCAGTTTTTAGATCTTTACAGTTGTAGTAAAGAGTATGAGAATAGCAAACATTTAGATAGAAACAATAAAGCAAACAAATGATTTATCATATAGCGCTAGTCTTAATTTAGATTGATGATTTTTATATACGTATACGATTGGCTATATAGTGGATTTAAGTGGATTCAGCCCATCGAAAGCCCATGAATAGCCCATAGATAGCCTATTTCCCCGCCCATTTCTCAATATTATTGCTCAAAAAGTTTCATCCAATTCCTTATAACGTATTCCACTACCGAGTGGGCCACCACTACCGAGTGGGCCACCACTACCGAGTGGGCCACCACTACCGAGTGGGCCACCCCATCTAACCTACCAATTTTAAATACATTTATCTCAACCATAACGCCATTAAATTAATTGAACTAACTAAGTGGTCTATCTGGATATATTTCTCTTCTATACCCTGGCAATCTACATATTCCACACCCCCGGGGGGCCGCGTACGTGGCTGAATAGCCGATTCTCTAGGTATACCGGGGCCGGGGAGAGGTGCTTCAGTTGCTTCCTGTTGCTGTATAATTAATGCAGAGGCTTCTTGAACTGAAAGGCCTTCTTCGGCGGGTATCTGCCTTCGAGATCGAGTACGCTTTTGCTTCTGCTTCTCGTTGGCGGCGCGTAATTCCTTGTTTTCTTTGGCGAGTAAGATAGCACCTTGTATTGTAAGACGGAAGCCTTTCACAAGCTGGTTTAATGCACGATCTGACGGGCTAGGCGGGCTTCGAGATCTTGTACGAAGTAAAGCTTTGATTGATGAAGCCTGACGATGTAGATCTTTCTCTGTAAAAGGGGTTTTTGGTGTAAAATTCCGGCTTGATCCACTACCCCGGCTAGCTGGGGGGGTTAGAGTTCGAAGCCGAATATTGAGCTTTGAAATCACTCTCTCCGGTAAAAAGGGGACTAAACCGGCTGCTCCGAAGCTATTTTTAATAGTCTCTGATTTAAAGGCTTCAATTCGTGCGAGGGGGTATACTTCGAGGAAGTTAAGCTTATCGATATAGTTGATCCCGTTCCGTATTTTGGTTTTAACTATCCGACCGTACGATCGTTTTAATACCGCAAAACAGCCAATATCCAGAGGTTGTAAAAGATGAGATGAATGTGCTGGTATACAGATTGGTATTACCTTATTTTGCTCACAAATTTCGTTAAATTTAGGCGTTAAATGACTTCCGTGGCCGTTAAGTACTAGAAGCCGATACCCCCCCTTCGTACGCGAAGAAGTACTAGGAATAAAGAGCTTTTCTAGCCAACGGAGTCCAATTTTATCAGAGGTCCAGCCGTTAGGGCTTACTTCGAAACGCCAGTTCTCCGGAAGGCCTTCGAACCATGATTCAAGAAAGACTTTGCCTTTAAAAATCACACACGGAGGGAGGGCCCAACCCGAAGCATTCGTACACTCAATTGTAGTCACCCATTCACGATTTCCAGGTTGTAAAACTCCTCTTCGACTAGGTAAATCACTTCTCGTAATAACCTTTATAGTTGAAATCACTCCTATAGCGAAACCAGTCTTATCGAAGTTATAGATATCGTCGGGATCGATTCCAAATTGAAGGATTGTCTTTTGAACCAGATTAAACCACCCTTGAATGATTTTTGGGTCTTCGCATTTCGCACGCTCGTAGTTATACCGTTTTGAGAATCGGGAGGAGAGGAGAGGATACCGTTGTACGAATTTCGTAACCCAGTTTTCGCCGACCGAAGGAACCGGGGTAGTTCCACGCTTTTGAAGAAGAAGATCCGCCATTTCTCGTACCATAGAGTGCCGGGGGGCCCCTCCACGAGAATCTATAGAGAGTATCCATTTTTGAAGAGATTCCTCCTCGAGTTCTGTTAATATATAACTATTGGCGCGTGTTTCAGGACGAAAGGTATCACCAGCGAGGCGGCGTTGTAAGGTAGAGCGGGGGACTTCGAAACGGCGCGCCACTTCACGAATTGAAGAGATTTCTTGATTCTTAAAAGCCTGGATAGCTAGTAAGATCCTACCCTCTTGCTCTATTAAATTTCTAGAGCGTTGAGAGCGAATTGGTGGTATAGTGGGTGGTTGAAGAAGAACGGGTTAAATTAATTGACGCGTTTTGGATAGGTGGCCCACTCGGTAGTGGTGGCCCACTCGGTAGTGGAATACGTTAGTTAATCATATAAACCGACAAGATACCGATTAGACTGCGACATCGCCCGTCCATGGGCACCTAGGAGGTGCCCATCGCCCGTCCACGGTGGGCCTTGGGCTATTTGGATTTTCGAGTGCCCGTCCATAACGCCCAAGGCCCACGGGCATGCCCACGATGCCCACCATTATATAAAGTTGTCTTGAATATATATAAAAATTAGATATATAGTAAATTATAGTATATATATTTATATATATCTTATTAAAAATCCAGAATTATGATTGTAAATATATAAAAAATATAAATTTAGTTGAAATATTTTGAAATCTGTCAATAAAAATCACGTGTTGCGCTAATTTTGCTTACTAAAAAGGCCCACGGGCGCCCACGGTGTCCATGGACAATGGGCCCTAAGGGTAGGGCCCGTCCATGGGCGTATTGATAGTGCCCATCGCCCGCTTACATAAGGCCCGTGGGCACTGCCCACCCGCCCGTCCATGGGCGATGTCGCAGTCTAATACCGATATAATACTTGGTTTTCTATTTTAGTTCTAGGATTTACCTAGTGTAATCTAGTTTCTTAGTTATCTAGGCTACAAATCGGTATACGAAAGGTATAGTAATACAATGAATATAGAAATCCTGGCGATTCTGAGGAGAAAACAGTGTAAGAAGTACAGATTTACCCTTCCATATACGCCATAGGCGCCAAAGAGTATTAGCCCATTGGGACCATTGACCCCAGGTAACGAGAACCTGCCAAAGAGTATCAGCCCATTGGGTCCATCGACCCCAGGCAACGAGGACTTGGAGACTCTGGAACAGTCTCTTGGCGATATCAAAGATATCCACAGCGATCATCAAGGCCCTCTTAACACTCTCCAGTATCTCATTGATGACAATCATAACCCCCAGAACCGCCAACAGAATATTCTCAGTGCGTTTGAGGAACGCAGTCGTATCCTTCACAGAGATCGGCCGGAGCACAGACAACGCAACAGGTATAGCGGCGGCCATCGTAAGCGACAGCCCGAGAACGAGAGCAGGCGGCATCTTGGGCATCGGCTTTATAACAGGTCAGTAAAGCTATATTCCACACGTAGTATACAGAGATCCTCTTACCATTTTGAAGCAGGCAAGCCGGTAGGTACGCAGGCAGACAGTAGGAGACTTGGTAGAAACACTGTCACAGCGGCAGCAATAGTGTTAGACTCGGCAACAATCTCAGACTCAGCGATAGAGGTTTACCTTTGTAAAGCAGTAGTGGGTCACAGAAGGAGGGGGAGAAAAGCGAAGGAGAGAAGAAGCAGATATTGATAGAGAGGAACTGAGCTTGCGAGAAATCAACAACAATCGTAAACCATTTTCATGAAAATCTACTTTTTCACAAGAAGTACTTCTTTTAATTAGGGGCTCACATATTTAACAGAAGTACATTTTGTTTTCTGAAGGTAAAAGCGAGAATTCTATCTGTCCCCCTCTTAATAAGATATATATCTCTTCATACTAATACTCGGCAGTTCTCCCATATACGAAACTGTGGTCAAAGTGGACTGGATGGGTTTTCATGAAATTTTGTATGAAATCTGGTATCATGATGCTAGAATTAGTGTTATATTCATATAATTCCTACTTCTTACCATGATAATTAAATGTTACTGAGTATACAGGTTGGAACATACGTAAAATACAGTCATTAATCAGCTACTTTATGCATGCCAAGATGATATTTATACAGCAAAATGGGCTTTGATGGGGGCCTCATGGGCCCCCATCAGTGGGCCGTGGGTTGGGCCCTCGAAGCCTGGCCCAACCCATAGCCCACTGCGGGTTGGGCTTTGGGCCGGGGGTCCGGGCCCATTTATGGGCTTTCTCTTCGCCCGCGTCGAATACGACACATCGCGGCTCTTTTGTGCCAATGCATGTGGTATAAACATAGCAACCAGGCTTGAAAAGCGCCCAAAGAAGGTTATATGTAATATGACCGTGCTGCAACATTGATTCGAGACGCTGCAAAGTAGAAGTATGTGCATGCTTGAGGTGGTCGATGAGCAAGAGAAGATGCTTCGCATGTGCCGACTCATGGTCCGAGCTGCTATCCATGTTCTCCGCACATCTGTCGAGCTCTGGGAGGAAATGAAAAAGGAAATTTTGCTCGATCTAAATCCACGTCAGCGTGCTCCTTGATAATAATACTATCTCAATTACCGATGGCTTGTCCTCCATCAGGCTAACAGCCTTGATGTCGTGCAGCACGTCTCGCAGGATGTCGCGTAGACCTTCCGACTTGATGTCTATGAATGACACTATCTCCTTGGACGTCCGGTCTGATCATACTGTTAGTAGGTTTTCGGTCCGGCATGCAAAGGTGTCTTGTACCAACACATTCACGGACAACGAATGCATATTCAGCATAGTCGTCAACACCACCGCTGGTCTCCACCGGTTCGGTGATCGTGTATTTACATGCTTCTTTGTCCCAGCTAGACCAGTGTCAGCTATCTGAAAAAGTGGAAGGGGTGGTTGGCTGGTGGCTAATACGTTTCCATAACTGTTCTGAAATGGGATTTTGATGCCCGTTTCTCAAACGACTTGAAATCATCCGGTGTGGTACAGATTGGACTTTCGAGATCAATCTCGTCTACCGCCTGAACATTCTCTTCCTGTTCATTGCTGGCAGAAGAAGACCGAGCAGGCTTAGTTGCCACAGACAGTTCACCCGAAGCACGTTCATCGCGGGTGAGCTTCACCAGCAGTTGCTTCAGCCGAGCCATGTCAGGGCCAGGTGGGAACTGGTCCTGGGAGACAGGAGTGTTTGGAGGTTCTTGGTTGGTAAGATCGAAAAGCGTCTTCTCAAGAAACACACCAAAGAGATGCTTCAGATCCTTCACGGTAGATTGAACTGAAGCCGACCCCTTCGTGGGGCTATCTGGGGGCGTCAGGCCTTGCTGAGAGGGAGAAATTCTCTTCAATGCCATGCTGTGCTCCGAGGAAGGCATGTCCGGGTCACTATGAGCAGGAGCCATGTCGTTTGATCTGGCCAATGGAATTGTTTATGAGATGAATAAAGATTGAATTGGCAAGGTCAACCCCTGATGTGAGTACGAACAAAGCATTGCATGAACCGGAGATATTGCTCTCATTTATATTTTCGCCAGCTCTCCCTTTCGGATCATCATCACCTATTCCAGGTCTTTGATTGTCTTGTCCAAAGTACCAGCTAGCCAAGTTGTGGACATAGACGAATAGAGAGTCCTTCTCATCCCCCTCCCTGATACAAACCTTTATGTTGTATCGAACTTGGACCTGACAGTATCAAAATCGGTAAGTCAATAATTATCGAGACTTTTAGATTATTTTGTGGAGCCACAGAGTGTTTGCGCTAGACTGGCCACGCCACACGTCAAAGCGGGGGTTTTTCATGTGACATTAGTTCTCAAGCCCGATAAAGTCAAGCTCACCCGGTGTCTAATTCATTAACTGTCAGACATTCATCGGACTTTTATGAAACTTAGACACTATGTCCGCAGGCGCAGTTCTCTCACAATTTTCAAATTTACTTAACTACATGGAGTCTTTTGGTCCCAAATTGAGCTCTAACATCCGCCCAAACCGCGACCAATTGGACGAGATTCAGAAGCTGAGGGATCGACTTAAACCAGCTTTGGCTACTATCGAGTCTCATGTGGAACATCTGTTGAAGAAAGCAACTCCGACAGTTAAAGACCGAAATCTTGCAAACCAAATCCGATCTTTCCAAGTCGCCGACCAATTCGATCCAGCACTGTTTAGAAAGAATCTAGTGCTTATCTTTCGAGGACCAGATGAATCTGCATTAGATGCAGACAAAGTGAGAATAAGGAAAGCCAAATCTCGAACTCGATGCGAAAAGCTTTGCGCCGAGTCTCCCCACTTGATTCTGAGGTGGGCAATGTCACTTCAGCCATCGGCGTGGGTCCACCCAACAGTCATGGCGGATAGTACATTCGATTTTCTCATTAGAGATTTGAAGGCAATCTTCGATCAAATACCTTCTAGGGTCGCTGAAAGCCTACATTGCTTGAAGAACGAGGAGCCCTTAAAACCTTGCGAACAGTTCCAAGAATTTGTCAAATTTATAGATCAATCGATCAGTGTGGAAGAACAAGAGAATAAGGCGCGATACAAACGGAAGCGTACAGAAGAAAGTTTACCAACGGAAGGAAAACTTTATGCCACAGAGAGTGATAATAAACAGATGATAGAACAAAGAAGCAAAGGTAAGTAAACAACGCCATGTCATGCATAGGAAAATGAAGCTGAAAAGATGATAGAAATCGACTACAAAATGTCATCCATGCCGTCCGGCAAGCTGCCACATTTGATCAAACGTCTTTCGTGGGCGATAGAGAGTAGCGAGCAATGGAAGTGGGAAAGACGAGTCTTCGCTGAGAGGCTGGGGGGTAGCGATGCCGAGACAACAGATTGCCTGAACTTTTTCGTCCCAAAAGATCGAAGTCAAGATATATCCATCACCTTGGTGGTTGGTCGCCGTGCTGGATTTGATTTGATATACGAAGCAGAAGTTGAAATTATTCGCGTTTAAAAGTCACAGTTGCTCCGATCACAGGAGCTGCGATCACGCTGACTTGACATCCGGCAGGCACAGTTGCAGTTTCTTCCACAGAAGGGTCGGGTCCATTTTCCCAAACGGCAGGAGACCGGGGATCTGCTTTCGGATCAAAAATGATTATCGATTCTCCCTTTCCTGTCAATTTTCTCTCGTAGTTGGCTTCCCGGAAAAGAGCGCCACCTTTTATTCCATATCTGTGGCCCTCCACCGCAGCAATTCCAACTTCCTCGGCCATTTCAGATAGCTTTCCTTTCTGATTCAGAATTCGATGTAGACCAAGACGACAGGATATTCGAGTCCGTAGGATGAGTTCTCGAAGCGAGGTTTGGTGAAATATTGCGGGAGTGTAACTCGACCAAAAACCCCGCTAGATCAAATTTAATGGAGGGACGACTCGCACGTGACCGTGGCGGCCTAATCGGGTAGACACCGGAGGTCAGTCCACGAGGATTGGGATTCATGTCAACGGACTCACCTAAAGAACCGAATACAAAGAATGTCAAATTTTCTTTGTGAGAAAATATGGAATAACTAGTCTCATCAAGCTTAGCATAGCTAGTTCTGTCTTTTCTATGTCAGTCTATGCTCTGGACGATACAATGGGTCATTCTCACTGTTGCTAGCTGTGATTGCCCAAAGTTTTCAAGATATGCACAGACTGTGATGACACCTGAAAAAAAGCAGAATATTATGGCTGTTAAAGCTGCTGCTTGAAGAGCCCGTTGATGATTGGAGGCTTGATTCTGGAAGAAGTCCAAACTTCGAGATGTTGAGTACGAACTGTTTGACCGACTGCAAATTTGCCAAAGCCGAATACAATGGATCACGAAAAAAGTCTTCTCAGCTGTCGTGAGAAAAAGAAGCGATGCGTACAAAATATGGCGTATTTTGCTCTGTATGTGGTCAAGAAAGAAACTGTCCGATTAAGTCAAGATTAGGCCGATAGAAGCTAAGGAATAAGACTTACGTTAGTAGCAGCAATGATTTGGAGATAGGAAAGAAGATAAAAATATTGATTGACCAGGACTTCTGGTTCACAAGGCTAAGAAACTTGTGGATGTCAGCAAGATCCGCATTGAAGTTGAGTATAATTACCTCGTCTATCGGAGGCAGAAGAAGTAAAAATCCCAGCTCAACTGTCAGAGCAGGCCTCGAGGGATCTGTACGTAGGTCTCGTCAGCTAATGAGGAGAGGAGGACTCGACACTACTCACCCTTTCGTAAGATAGGTTGATAAGTAGCCAATGCTATTGACCCAAGCAGGCCAGCACAGACCAGGACTCCCACCACAGCCTGTGAGAATATATAGGGTTTCTGACAGAGTAGGACCAATTGGGACCGTTGTCCATCGGATATCAACATAAACCAAAGTAGAAGAGATATCACAGCACATAGGGACGCTCCTACTGAAAGGATGATTTGGGATGAATCAATCTCTGCCATTCTGAATTAATCATTTTGCTTCTACACTGTTTGTTCGATGGGTGTCTTATAATATTTTGCTTTCAGATCCAAGGCCAGAAAACCTAGCCAAAATTTTCACTTTTATGGCAATTTCTCAAAGTGAGTGACTATCTTGCGTGTTATAATTTTTGGTTGATCCAAAAAAATGATGACTTTTCAAAAAACATAAACAGGCGCAGATCACGGGGTTTATCCCCGTAGCCGCCGGCCTTGAGGACCAATGAAGGTGACCTGATAGCTGCGCCTACGCTCATGCATCGTTTGTCATATCCATGTTTGGGGCCCAATGCATCTATCACAAGCCAACTGACAGGGTTCCCCGCTTAACTCACTAACGTTCTGTGCATAAATGTCTTGTCCGTGTTGATGGTTTGTCAGATTAATCGAATTGTATAATTACGATGGTTCAGAGAAAGAGCTACCTCTGAAACAATATTTCTCAGTATTGTTGGTCATGAGAGCTCCGTCAACCAAGGGTTGCCTTGTGATTGATCACAGTAGGTCAAGAACCTCAGTGACCTGGTAAATGACAAGGTTCCCCTCTTCAACTGATGAGATTCGACGCACTCAGCCGCATGTACGCTGCCATTCATCTTCACAGATGCTCTGAACAAGGAGGAAACGCCCTCGGTGGGGCTGATCCATGCTTTTCGCATCCACAGCGCACGGATAGCGGGCCTTGGACCCAGATTGGGTTTCGCCGAAGCCTAATGATCAACAAAGCCACTCAGTAATATCGATTGATTGGTGCTCGTGAGCCATAATTAGCGCCAAATGTAGGGGCCGTCACCCTCGAGTTTACAGGGAGGCAGCCTCAGTAATCCCATTTGCAATACAGACCCGTCAGAAACAATCTGATGCTCACAACACTACACTTAATAACTCGCCTGATGTTATGCCCAGGTGACCTGTCATGTCTATTACCCCGCTTTCTTGTATAAAGAGAGTGCGAAAGTAACAATTGTCTCTTGAATTTTTCAAGAATCACTCTCGTGGCTTTGTTTCCTATAATATCTGGTCGACAGACTACCTACTCTGCACCGTCTCTATTGGATTTGGCTACGTGAAGCGATAGCTACCCGTTATACGACAATACTATAAAATTGGCTATTTGAAATTGCTTAGTCGACTGAAGGACATACGATTTTCCGGGTGTACTTTATCTCAGTATGTCCCTGCCCGATATAGGACAATTAACGCAGTCTTAGCCCCTAAATTCAGGGGAAAGGGTGCCCTCCGGAAGCCCGGGCTCGATCTGCGGATAGTGGAGCAAATTGAGCTTTTCCCGGGTAAATCGCAACGCTTCTTGCAGTCTAGACGTATCTTTTCCAATTGTATATAAGTCGGGACATCGGCATACGACCCACTGACTTCATCTATCACGCCTTCCAGCCTTTAAGGGCCGTGAACAAGAGAAACGGGGGCTATACTGTTGATTGCGCTAATGGATTTGGAATTCAACCCCTGCGTAGCGCAGAAACCTCGGTACGTATAGCTCTGGCTAATTTTGATACTAACGCGGATAGGGGTACCTACAGGATTTTCTTTGTAAAGGATAGAGATCCCCTCGCGAAAGCTGATCGGGTAATAATAAACGGTTGGGGTGAATCAATGGCCGAGACTTTTTTAATCGCATGCTTTTCTTCTGAGAAGAGCTAGGCCCTTTTGGACTTGGGTAAATATTGTTATACGGTCCGCCTTCGAGTTGATTTAATTATATAGACTTCATAAGGGCCAAATGCTCATCGCAGCGCAAGCCAATTGGAGTTAACGGAAGCGCAAATCAATCTTATGAAAACAAGAGACGAAATTTGGCGGAGGATTGCGGTATAAAAAGGGGAGTAAGTGGTATTAGTTTCCGAGTAAAAAAGTCCAATAACAGACGAGCTCTGATTCGCTGTAGACCACCGCGATATTGTGGCTCAGGGATATAGTTGGCTTGATTGATGAAAATGATAAAATTACGCCTTGTGCGTGTGCGAAGGTGTCAGTGTTCTTCATTTGCGAAGCCTCTTGACCAATTCCGGCATTGTCCACGTCTTCAAAAAGCACAATGCAACGTTTCGGAAGACTTTGGAAGAACTTGTTCAACATATCGTCGTTAAGCTTTCGAGAGTTCAGGCTAATCGTGTAGATATCAAGCCACAGGCGCCCCGCAATTGCAGAGCATATACTTGACTTTCCGGTTCCAGGAGGACCATAGAGAAGATAACCTCGGCGGTATGGAATGCCACGAAATTTGTACCAAGCTTTGCTTTGTGGACTCAGGAATTCCTTTATGTTTTCAATCATACCATCCTTGATGTTTGGGGGAAGGCCAGAGTTGACAATGGACGAGGAGAGTTCGACATAGTTGAAACCCAAATGGTTGTTTCCGTTCAACAAAACCGCGATAGATTGTGATTTCATTCTTGCGAAGATTAATTGAAGCATACTGTACTTCTTCTAGAAGAGCGAACAGCACCTTTCTGTTCCAAAAAGGTGCGTAGATCGTGAAGGTTTCTGTATCTGAGAGCCAACTGTTTTGCGTGTGGTATGGATCGCGGTTAAGAGCCAGAAGAGACCGCCGGTATAGGAAAAAATGAAGCTGGTTCCGGGAAGGAGTGGAACGAATTGGCTTAATGTTTGCCTCGTCTCTCAAAGAACGCCAGTAGGCCTCCCCGCTCTTTTCAAACCGCGTTTGCTCTATCGAAGGATCTTCATCGGTTTCCTCGTCGTCTTCATTTTGCCAGGGTAAAGAGATAACCCGATAACCTGATACCAAAGCTGGAGATTCTAGAGGATACTCAAACGATATCAGTCCCGCTCGCAATCCCTTCCATCATACGAACGATTTTCAGAGATCTAGTACCGTATGCCACCCGCACAAAGCGTCTTATACATCTTGGTTAATATTTCTCATTATAGGCTCGAAAAGATTTGCGAATGCCTAGGATATGAGCTTGATGATTATAATAGACTGGACCTTTCTGGTCTTGAAAAGCTTCTCGTCATGCCAGCCAACACTGATGCAAACGACACCGAGCCAACCTATGCCGAGCCAACCTATACCGAGCCAAACCACACCACGCCAATCCACACCACGCCAATCCACACCACGCCAATCCACACCACGCCAAACAAGAAACGGAAAAATGGGTCACCCGAAACTTCGTCGAAAAGGCACTGTTGGGCTGTATCATCTGACTCACCAGAAGGTAGGATACCATCGAAAAATTTACGTTTTTCGGGGACTGATCTTTATAGGTGATTATTTTGAAACTTTTAATGGATCACATTGGTCAATCCATACCACGCCTGCTCCATCGGCACCAGGTTCGTGTTCAGATTCTGTAATAGATGCAAATGAAGAGATGGTAGGTTCCAGGGTTGGCTATACAAACTGTAGCCCCCTAAACAGCGGCCAATATGCACAACAGAGCATACTTCCTCGCTCACATGTTGATCTATTGTTTGATCGAGGGGACAACATACCCGATCCGGCGTTGCTAAGGGATACACGTATTCGAACATCATCTGCGGTAACAATTCCCGATTTCGAATTGGAGAGTCATGCCGATCAACTTTCTATAGCGAACCTTTGTTTCGGAATGAATGGGACGCTAGATCTCGAATCTAGTTCATCATCCAACATGGCAACATCACCTGCCAGCACGACTCTCAGTCAGAAATTTTCCCCTAATAATACCACTCAACAGCAAGGGAGCAAATCTGGGTTATCCAACTTGCAAGTTGATACAGTACACATCGATAATGAAGAAATCCATTCTTGTATGGGGAAAACCTACTCGAAGAACGTGTCTGGCAATAATAGGTGTGAGCCACACGAGTATAGAAATGAGCATGCCTCCCACACTCGTCCATCACTATCCTGGACTGACTGGTCGCAACAATACGCTTGGGAACTTGATGGTATACTGCAGCAAGGTCTTTCGGCGAATGATCCTCAACTGCCACCGTCGACTGACCGGTCGCAACAATACTCTTCCGACCTTCTGCAGCAAGATCCTTTGCTAAGCAGCCACTCGCTACTACCCTCTTTGGGTTTAGGCCAGGCGGCCGCCACAGCTATCTCGGGAAATTCCCCGGAGACCCGGTACTATTTATTATTTCGTCCTTCACTTGTGTCCAGAGAGGGCAGTTCTTCTTGGGACTTAGAAAATAGTCACCACGCGCTTGGATTCTCGGACGCCATTTACCAGAATGCTTCTTATTCCCCGAACAGGAGCCTTTCAGTAATGTGAGACATTTAGTAATACGAACAATGAAGCAGAATAATAATAACATTTGAACTTCCTCGAATTTATTTCTTGCTTGGACCGCGGGTCAATATCAGCGAGGCGCAACGACCAGCGTAGTCGTACCCGCACCCACCCCAACTGGGTTACTATTGATCTGTACGAACCATCCTTCCTTCAATAACCACCCGTTCACTTCAATTCCTTTCGGTATTGGAATAAGGTATGCCGAGTTGGGAAGATTTAGTTTTGTAGAATTCTTCCAATACCTCAAGCGTCCTTCCCAGTTCTAGTTGCATTAGTGATATGGTCTGTCAAGGAACAAATAATATTTGTGCCTACCTCATCAATACCGAGGGCGGTTTTCATACGAGAAATCAACACCAAAAGCGCATCCCCGCCGTACTTCTTATTCCCTTTTTCATCCTCTTCAATTATTGTGACTTGTGGTAGTAATACCTTGATCTCTTTTCGGATTCTTTCGGCATCGGTTACATCTTCTAACCGTCGAGGTTCCATCGAGTGCGAAAGAACATTTCTAAATCGAGCTCCTGGGGGTAAGATTAGCTCAAATTCAATATAACCGGGAATTTGAAATACCTTGCGAGGGCAGAGGTTAGATTTTGTTGTATTCACGCTGCGATTAAGAGGGGTAAATAAGTAATTATCACCACGGGTAAGGTTGGGCACTGAATCACATGACACTGTAAAATCAATGTCTATCGGGCCGGTCATCAGACCAAAAAGAGACGTCATAGCCACTAATTTTCATTGTCCGAGACCCTGTCCGAAGTTAGATGCTGTTATCCAAATATATTCACACTAAGTCCAGTGAAGCGTTAGCTCACTGTCAGTGCAGCAGTCACGCGACTCATCGGTGATTCTCACCCTGACTCCCCCCTTGTTATTAGTGGCATTCGGGGCGATGTGTTGGTAAAGACACAATAATCCGCCTGGCTGGGGCATGTGGTGGTCAGTGCATCCTCCAACCAGCCACGAATCACATGAAAGAGTCACCTAAATAGAGTGCTGATTAATCAATACCATTGCAGGTGGTATGGTCATAGCCAGAATGACAACAGTTGGATAGGCAGCAATCAAGAACCTGCTATGCGGTTTCTTTGGTATTTATCATCAATCCTAATAAGACAGGGCTGGGTGGGGCTAAATTTTTATTTGTGCTATTTGTTATTTGATGAAAAGATTCATTGAGCCTTATGTCTTTGAACCATAAACGGACGGTAGATTGGTGATTACATACAGATGGCAAGGCATAAATATAGAAGCAAATGAAACTGTTAGACATCACTTACCCCTTGACCAGTATAGAGTTTATTGATTAAGCTATAGTGCAGTGTTAAACTGGCTAAACTAGATAACCCGTACTCGCTTAGCCCCGGGCATCTGTGCTTTGTGCTGAGGCCTCTTCAATGACCTGGAACGTTCCGTTGCAGGCCGACAATCTAGCTCGCATCGGTGAAAGTCAATAATCGAAGCCCGGCCCAGCCCATAGCCCACTGCGAACTGGGCTTTGGGCCGGGGGTCCCGGCCCATTTATGGGCTTTGCAGAGGCCTATCCGCAAGCTGGAGGGTACAACAAATGAGCAGCAAGCATGAAGGACAGACGCAAGGGTTAGGTAGTCAGCTGTTAGGGTTATGGAGGAAAGAGCCAGTAAAGGCGATGAAAACCGCCAGCACTAAACCAGAACAGCAATCAGAAGAGGGCGTGGAACGAGGTGGTAGCGAATCAGAGGAGGACAGTGGGTCATATTAGCGAATCAGAAGCCAGTATTTGGCTAACAGCAACATCATAGATAAAAGTTTTGACAACAAGGGTATCCCTGCGGGCGAAGGTAACCCTTCCTCTCACTTCGTTCGTTTCAGGGTAAATACTGGGTCATGACCCACAGAGCTCCACAATATTACAACTAATATACAAATGCTACAAGACGGAGAGTGTTGTGATATGAGGCTAGTGCAGATCAGGAACCAGGCTGCACCATCGGAATAAATCCCGATACAAAGTTGATTGGCAATCAACTTGGACTTTGGTGTATAGTATATAGCCTCATGTTTCCCTCTGAATTACAACAGTTAGGTAGAAAATCATTGATGTGGACAGCCAAGCGTTCACGAATACGTTAATATACATTGTGTACCGCCGGTAGCGATATTTTAAGTGCAGATTATCTATAGTCATTCTCCATGTATTATGCTTGGGGCTCATCAAAATTGTTGTTTAGAATCTTCCAGCGTTTTCAGGCACTATCACGTGAGGCTCGCAGTTCACCACCCAGGAAGCCTAGAGCAATCCCACTATATCAGACGAACATGCTTTTTACAGATATTTGTACAGCATGGATGGATGGATGATTTCATTTATCCTAGTACGGCCTACATACTGCACTGCCCGCAATAGAGTCGTCCTCTCCATTATCGTAGTTGGCTCATCAATGCTTTCTAAACGTTTTCTTGCTACTAGTCTTGTACACTGGCCTTCACCTAGTACATATTTCTACATACCTTAGCCAACTTAAAGGTAAACAAGTGGAACCGAACAATTAATGTTCCCGGTACCCAAGTTACCAAATAATCCCTCGTGAAGCTAATGCGATCTGTGGCGCCGTCGATATTGAGTGTGGTATCGATTAGATTGGTGGATGGCAAGCGCTGATAACTTTGATAAGACGATTCAATAAACGAGCCTGATGAGACATACCACGGCTTGCACCAGAGGGCTCCCATCGCTGGGACCGACTATGAGAAGTGCCTAACGAATGTCGCTTCAATTCTATTAGTCCAAGATCAAGCTCGCAATATCCTTAGTGTCACTGACACTACTTCTATACTCAGCAGAGCGAATTACAAGGCCAAATGTCTAGAGTAGTTAGGTTATTCATCAGTCCCAGTAGCTTAACAAAAGCCACTCACCAGAGAAAAAATGACCATGAAGATGAACCAAATGAGTGGTTTCAGAAAAGGCATGAGCGCTCTGTCTTACGGTGTGAGAACAAAAGGCGTATCCAAATTCCTGGCTCGACATTGCATCTGAAGCTATTCTTATAGCTGATGAGATAAAATACCCGCTGTGATTGCGGGGATACGTACTACCAGAGGGCTTTTCAAATCGTGGTCCTCAATATTCGACGAGATCTGCTATTCCGGTAGATATTCCTAAACAAGTTCAACTAATATTTTCAAATACTGAAACAGAAAAGAGAGATACAGCCCATCAGAAAGTAACACCCCTAATTAAGCAGTGGGATTTCCTCTTTGGTTTGAGTCAATGCCCAGATAGTGATAGGCTGTAGCAGGCAGGGCATCAACTCTCACGAGAACCATCCGCCGAGAAATAAGGGCTTGGATAAACATATATATCGAAAAGCCATGTCAAAGCAGTGCCCCGCCTTTGTATACTTCGGGCCTTATGAAAACCCGGAAAATGGCGATTCATTAAGTTTTCAGCGTACCTCAAGCAACATGAAGATAAATTTGTACTGAACTAGTAGATAACTCGAATGCGGCAGATAGGCAGAGTTTTGAGCACTAACCGGTTGGGGCTACATTTAAAGCCAAGTGTAGCTGATCATCCACTTGTGTGGATTATTTGACATTAAAGTAAAGGCCTCAATGGTTATCTTACCCCTACTTTTCAATGAATCAACCTGCGCGGAACATGTCTATAAGGGCGAAGGCTAAATGGCGAGTTGGTTAGTACAAGGTGCAATTTGAGGGGTCGCTCACCCGCTATGTTAGACTTTATTGGATATGTAGTGTTCATGGTTCGGGCATCAACAAATTACATAAATTTATTGAATGGCAGACACGGAGATCTGGAACAAATTGCAGTGGAACCCGAAAAGCCCGGCAGAAGTATTCATCGACCCCATACGATTCGAAAAATGCGGATACCACAATAGGCTTATTTAGTCTGCGTTATTTCCTAGCAAAGGCTGACTTTTCAACTACCACATTTTGTTCTAGATTAATCCAAACTCTTAGCATAAATCTATCCCCCAAAAAATGCCAGAAGTAAATGTTGAATTCAGAACCCCAGAATTTAATACCAAAAGCGTTGGTCAATCAAGGTCTGTTTGGCTAGTTTTGAAAGAGCGTGGTTGCTGAGATCTTTTTATAGCCAATCACTGCGAATTTCGTCTAATACTGTCACAACGTCCGATATTAATGCTCCAAGAGCTAAAAGCTTTCTGCAATTGACTACGCTACACCTTTCAAGCCCAACAGCCCAAAGTTGGATCTCGCCGCTTCGATTGATTCCACCAGAGACAGACATAGACACTCCTACCGTCACTTGGTCAAGCACCAACAGCACTACTAGTAAAAATAACGATGGTATAACCGGATATCTCAAGGTTGACGATGAGCTAGGGAGCAGCGGACTAATAGTTCAAGAGCAACAGAGCTCTCGCACGTTGCCTTTCAGTTTAGCTGAAGCTGACATCGTGGAAACAGCCAAAAATGGCCCGAATTTATCACAAGATGCAGTGTCATCAGTTGATTCCGATCATGATTTTACAGGAAGCAGTGAATTTGTCATTTATGTTCCCTCAGGCCAAGCCACTTTGCACCAGCCGCCTGAAGTTACTTCGATGAAGTCTTCATCTTCACTAGAAGACTTCCAAAGCCTTTCTGGCCAAACTTCAATGGGTTCCTTCGATAAAGCTACATTTCCGGGAACCTTACGTGCTGTGTCTCGGTCGAAACCAATGGAAATCAATAGTTATGTGACAGGGAATCTGGAAACTTCTTCGCATTTGACTGAACATTCTCGTCATTATCAGCCTACACAAACAACGCGAAACGCCCTCAAATCCGACGACTCAGACTTGAGCACGCCCAATCCGATCACCGAAAGCCAGCTCATGGATTCAACCACAACGGTGCCGGCGACTACGACCGCCACGAAAAATCCAGTAGAAGAATTGACGATGGATGGTTCTCGCGCATCTCGGGCCTTGTCGAGCCATGGTGTGGGATTGATTGTGGGGAGCATTTCCGGTGCTAGTTTGCTATTTGCAATCAGCTTTTATTTACACCGATTTTGCTTTCGGCGAATTGGTAGGTCCAGTAGAGGCACAGGATCAGTTACCCAACCGAAAGCAGACAATCCTGCTGCCACATGCCCAGATATGCCGGAAATTTTGGAAATTTCACGATTTTCTGCCTATTCATGATTCAAGGCTGGGGCGTGTTATCAGTGAAATGAAATGGAGTGTATTGGCTTCTCTTAGTTTTGCCCTCTGGATAGCAGCAAGCAAGCGAATGCTGGATAATGAAATATGACGAAAACTTATAGAAAATATGATTCAACTCGCGATTGCAATTCTCGAAACACCGAGCTTTTGAAAATCTGTTTCGCAGCCCAGATGATAGGCTTGAATTGACCCGAGGCCCCAGAAGCAATAAAGTCTTTCCTAGGCGTGTTGTAAGGCCCTAGTTATCTGCAAGGTACACCTAGTTACAGACGGATAGATGGATTTCATTTGCCCTGAAACGATGGAACAGAGTGAAAGGGGTTACAAACCGCGCGCCTGCGCGACCCCGGCTTCTAACGCTGCCAATAACACAGCGACACACACAGCCAACTTTCACGCCAAGCCTATGTCTCATTGGCTTTTGGTTGGATTCCTGATCACGTTCTTTTATCGTGCTTTTGTTATCTTTCGTGCGCCTCCTCTAGCCTTGCAAGGATCATCCTGGCACATTGTATTAACTGCCCTTTCACTTCTTTTATTGCACCGGTATTTCCTCGTTGGTTATGTCTCTTAATTACCATCTATGCTCTATACGTATTGCAAAGCCCGTCCTACCCCGGTGGGTGGATCGATCTCCATTTTACTCTTCGTGTTTTCCTTGCTACATATGCACTGTAAGCTTTTGCCTTTCCTATTTCCCCTCTGAACATTTCTTTCTCCTTTCCCTACACTGCTGCCCTCCTATGACCTCTTCTGCGCCCAGCTTGCGATGCTTAAAGGGAACGCGACTGCCAGGCTTGACGATCAGGATACGGTCTACGCGGCTAAACTCAAGGGCATCCTACTCGGACTCAGGTATATTAAAGATGACCTGATAAGAGAGCTCGTCGCTACTGCGAGAGCCCCAGCCCGCAAAGTGACCATATTCACGGACAACCAGGCCGCTATCCAAGTACGTGCCGATCCACGACCCAGCTCTGGGCAGCAGATTCTCCGCATAATCGTCATGTGATATAGTTGTCCCTAGAGCTCGGCACCAACCGCGGTCTGACCGCTGCGGTGCGGTTAGGTAACCACGAAAACGCGGTTGAGGTTTGGGATTTTCCTGACTGCGGTCGGTGAGGGCCGTGAGGCCACATCCAGAAACCGCACTTAGTTAACTGCGGGTAGACCGCGGTTTGGCAAACAGGCCAAATAGCTGAGAAATTTATAATCCTAGATCTAGATTCTACATAATACAATCGAGTTAAACAAGATTTCCTTAACCTGATATATGAATATCGCCAGGAACTACCATGCTAGTCCTTGCAAACCAAAACAGTTATTAACAAGTGTCTAAATTGATATCAGTCAACACTTTTATACGTCTTAGCATAGCTTAATTAGGTTATTTATGTATTTGCGGTTTCTCTGCGGTTGACCGCGGTCCAACCATGCGGTTTTGCGGTGCGGTGCGGTTGGGGGGTGCGGTTGGGCTTTGCCTACCCATGAACCGGTTGTGGCGAGGTCTAGCTTTAACCATGAGTAATTGATGGGCGTGAAATTTATAGGTGGGTAAATACTCCCATCCCAACAGGGAAAAGCTAGAGCCAACCACCTCGTAAATGATGGCAGGCTCGAGCTGTGGAAGTGAAGTGCTTAACCAATTTCGGAAAATCAATTATCAAATAAACATATTTCTAATATCAGCTGAAACATGTGTCTTTCCGAAGCCGGCCTGAGCTCCGAGGTATTGATGAACAACCGCTCCAAATTTGTGGTGGAACCGTTTACCACCTGAATTTAACCACCCTCTCTAAACACCCTCTCTAAACACCCTCTCTAAACACCCTCTCTAAACACCCTCTCTAAACACCCTCTCTAAACACCCTCTCTAAACACCCTCTCTAAACACCCTCTCTAAACACCCTCTCTAAACACCCTCTCTAAACACCCTCTCTAAACACCCTCTCTAAACACCCTCTCTAAACTACCAGCCATGTTGGCCATGTTGCCATCAATGAAACCACCCACGCATTGACCATCACAGTTGACAGTTATAAATACTTGGACAAAATTCGTGGATTGGATTCTGACAGGGGACACACACGTACAGTGGTTCAATTCCAAGTGAACGTAACTAGCCGCTTTGTCTTCTCCACTCCTGCTTCTCAATTAAATAGCCCGACTCCCCCATGATAACTCTGGAGTCAAGATGGTTTCCATTCAGTGTCAGCCATCTCGACCTCCTGCTGTGTGGTGCGACGAAACACCCGATTGGACCACATCCAAGAGACCAACCCATCCATCTGCACCGTCTTCCAGGTCCCAGCCCGATCCAGCGGTAACCTCAAGCTCACACTCTGCGCGACTGTGCAATCCTCGCCATAATCAGCATCTTCGGCCTTTCTTACTTTTACCTCTTTGTGATTCATTTCTTTCTCTTTCACTTCCCCTCGTCCCCGGGAGGGATTCTTGACTCACTGTCGGTGCTTATCTTTTGTGCAGGCGTCATCTTCTGGTGCTTTTCCAGCCTGGTATACAGGATGGATCGAAATCAGTTTCACCACTTGCACACGGAGATTCTTTCTCCAACCCTGTCCCGAAACACGCTATACCCACTACGGTTCTTCTGCCCCTGGACCCATTTCTTGGCAGTAATTCCAGTACAGGCGTAAATAACAACTTAAAGATAGCTTCTGTATTAGACCCGTACCATCTCCAGGGGTTCTAGAACATTGATCCAGCAAACAAGGCAAATAGAAAGTAGGGAACCATCTCAAAGCTGCGGACCTCAACAAATGTGATTGTTAGACCATGCATTAGTTTTATTATAATAGCAACAAAATGAGATCTCGCATCTCCATTAGCAGCACACTTGGAACGGGAGAAAGGGGATCAGATTAAGCTGCTCATCGCATTCTGGATATCCAAACTCGAACTCGGATCAATATAGCTCCTAGGAGGGCGCTAATCCCACCTAGGCCACCCAGGATTCTGCCCTTTCTCTCCGTCTTTCGGACGCATAACACACATTTCTCCCCTCAGGACTCCTAGGAACTTCAAATTATTCGATGCTGACTAATGATCAGAGTGACCAATCAATATATCGGGAGGCGAAGCGCTTGGCTGAGCAAGGCGCAATGTTCACATGCTGATATTTAAATCCCACGACCACCCCCAAGGCGACTCGATCCATTACACACCATTATTCCAAAATCAAAATGCCTAAGAACACCTATGCTCGTTCGTGCCAAACTTTGGCCTGTATACACTCCAACCTTCCGCAATCGCCTCAGAGGGACACCAAGAAAACCGCAGATTCAATTGCTTATTCAACAATTGACGTCCCTAAAATCAACACCATACCTCCACTATTTGCTCTACCTCCTGAACTGCTCTTAAAAATCCTCGGAAATTTGCAAGATCTTGAAGACTTTTTTTCTTCAATACTTGCCTGCCGCCGGATTTTCGATATTTTCCAAGAGGCACAAAGACCACAAAGACTACTTATCGAGTCAACTTTCGCCAAATATCTTCATCTAAGGACCGACTGGGGAACCTACAGAGTGCTGATCCAGCTCAGTCAGATTATCCGGCGAGATATCGTACACAGAGACATTGTACGACACATCTTTGAAACCGGATGGGAAATTTTCAGACAAAGACATCAAGAAGAACTACTTACTCCATTTGGAAGAGCCCTCGCATGGTCTTATGTCTTGAATGAACGCCAAGCTGATGCAATCTGTCTTTTGCAACTAATACAGAACGGAGAGCCACCCTTTGGATGGTCGACAAGAACATCGTCACAGCAGCCTATTCAACCGATCGGAGAGCTTTTGGACCAGCTAGTCTTGGAGGAGAACGGTGTTGATAGAATGTACATCAGCTCTGACTTGGACCATCCGCTGGTCGAGATTAACGGAAAATCCAAACCAAGTCTCAATGACAAGGAGCGGGTCATTCTTTTGAGGAATGGAATCTTATTCAGGGAAAACTCAATTGTGACGAGAAAGCGCAAACCTTGTCCGCCGAGGGCCTCGTCCAAGCCTATATTTTTTTCCAGTCTTGCCCACACTTTTTATCGCAGATGAATCCCAATGAGACCATGAACGGGGACGCTGTGGAAGCTCTAGCTCATCAGCTCCCAAGTTCATGTGCGGGGGATGGACAGCACGGGTCTTTACACGGCCTATGAATGGCGGGTAAGTCGCTGGCAAAGCCTCTGTCAAGTAGGCTGCAATCTATGTTTGCGAACTGCTGGTAGGGCCCGCATGATGCTCATATCGATCGGTGCCTGGGGCACTAGTACGCTTTAACAGCCGCAGGCCAAATACCTACTCCGAAGGCCCTGTTACAGTATCGGCAGCCATTTTCTACTTTACGTATTCACTCGGACCGAAGCGGTTTAATATCTCCTTGTTGATAAATTTTTACGGTACAGGATGGATCGAAATCAGTTTCACCATTTGCACACAGAAATTCTTTCTCGAACCCTCTCAAAACACGCTATGCCTATTACAGTTACTCTATCCTTGACTCCTTTTCTTGGCAGTATTTCAGTACAGCTGTCAAAGACACCACATAAAAATCTACCGTATTAGGCTCGTGCGGCTTTCGCAGCTTCTAGAAACAAATGGAGGATCCCCCTCTGCTCACTAAGTAAGAGTTCGGGCTGTCAACCTCCCAACTCCAGTGTTCGTACTGTATCAGCTGGTTTCTTACTATAGAATCAGTTCAGAATAGAGACAAACCCGGTAGATGATAAGCTAATATACACCGATCCCGTCGCCAAAAGTAGACTTTTTTAGACCGGAAAGAAAGACTCCTCTACGCAGACGCATTCCCACTCTGCAAGCTGTGCCTCGAGTTCCTTCAGTCGCCTAGCCGTCACTGGTTGCTCCACTCCGATTTCCGCACCTTGTTGGCATAGGCGCCTGTAAAGTTGTATTTGCAGCCGAAGCGAAGCTAGAAGTTTTAACAGCACTTTCGCCGCTTCATGCATCGCCATTCGTTGTGAGTGCCACGTTCCAAATGGACCAAACACCCGTGCGAACAGTCCAACCAGATGCTTCTCCAGACTGGGCTGAAATTGTACCACATACTGTGGATGCATCCCCTGCACTACCTGAATTCGAAGGGCATCCGCCTCTACTACTCGCACCTCCCCCTTCTGCGACGCTTGCACCGAGGAGCAGAGTCGCGTAGCGAGCGGATCATCAAAGAAACCCCACTTGTCATTATTTGATTTCGTACAACATTGGCACGATAGTAATACCTGAGGCCGGATCAATGAGAGACTCGCTTTTGTAAGCGCAAAAGAGTCTTGCGCCAATTCCTTCCGTTTAGCTGGTCCCATCCGCTCTTAGACATCCTTCATAAGATCGTCTGGGAGCATAGGGAATATGTCAAATATGATCACATCGTCGAGCTCAAGCTGCATCTTTGCCAGTGTCTCTTGGAGCCAAGAGAGCGTCGTTGATTCAACCACCATCTCTTGAAATGGCAAGTAATCCCACCAACTCGGATTGAGCAACATCACAGCTGGAAACTCAATCCAACCGGACAGTAATTTCTTCCAATTGAGGAAGCTCTCCTCCGAAACACTCCATTTTTCTTGAAATTGCCGTGCCTGAACATAGAGGGCATCAGTCTCCTGGAGTGTGAATCGTCGCGTTTGCTGGAGTGCTGAAAGCTGCCTGGGGATAGTATTCCGTGTCAAGCCTTCAATTGATTGCACCGAAGGGTTTCGGGAAAAATAGAGTTTAAAGGGGTTGAGTTCAGCACTGCCGTTCACGACCGGCGCTGCTTCCGATCCTGGTCGAAGGAATTTCTCGAATGGGTTCAGTCCACGAGGACTTCTTTTGACTATACCAGTCTCATGCGCCTCTGTCAATGAATCAGTCAAGGAGAGACTGTTGAGTGAGACTTGAAGTGAATCACTGGAATCCTGGTTAACAGCAGCGGAGTGAGGCATCCTTAGAATAAGTAGAAATTAGGAAAAAAATTAGAGCACCACAAACTTTCAGTTTCGAGCGAGCGAGGATTTTTATGCTACAGCGCGAATAGGACCAATCCGAACGCAGTCAAGAATAACGTTATTGAGTTGAAAGATTGCTTCAGATGGAACATCACTCTCGAAAGGTTGAGGGACGGTCGCGCCGCGAACGGAAATCGATGGGAAGCTTCACAACCGATGCGGCGATCGCCCTCAAAACATTCAAAGACATCCTTTCCCTCCCAGTCAATGAGTAAAAGGTACAGTAGAAAATAAATTACCTCTTTGTCTCTCAATAGCCTTCTACCTTACCCAGCGTTTCTCATTGCTTAGCTTGCTTCATACATTTCTCTATCTCGGGGTATGTAAACACTACCCCAGCGTCCTGTTCCTTTGGAATGGCAAGAGGAGATTTCGGTATTTTCGCATAGTATTAGGGGATGTAATTTATGTGAAAAGAGAATCACGTGGCGGCGCTTTCAATACGATTCGAAACTTACAATTGAGCTAAGCCGGAAACAGATTAGTGTGTTTCGGACTAGGGTTTGAGAAAAGATCCTACAGGACCGAAGTGGTGAAGCTGATTTCGATTCATCCTGTATCGTATCCTAAACGCATCCCGTGGCAGTGATGCGGCAGAGTGGCAAAAGCTGGAGCTTGGAGGCGTTTTAGTCCTGATCTGGACGACTACAGTGCTTCCGGAAATTGGTGTCATCACGTACACACTTTTATTCTTTTTTCAAACTCTAATGCCAAGAAACGCTAAGCTTGTCTTAGTATGGTCTATAAACAACCCCGGTCTCTAGGTATTGTTCTTCAAAGTACCGGATAAACACATAAGCCAACTGAATGTTTAATTACATGTCATGGCTTACGACTTCGTACTGGAACGTATTTCCTACCCCTCTTCTTCTTCAGTGAAATTTTACCATCCTACCACAATGCCTTTGTTGAAGAACTGATCCTCTATACTACTGGTAGATAGATCATGGCTCCCAACCTAGCAGAATCCACACTCGAAATGATTCGTGATATGATTCTTAGTAATAAGCTGACTGCTTCCGAAATGGCTAGAGCTGCAGGATGCAGCAAGCGCGCAATCTTTAGAATTCGATCTAATCTGCGACTATTCGGCACCATCAAAGCTCCTCCCGTCAAAGCTGGACGACCACGCAGTATCACGCCAATAATGCTAGAAGCCTTATGCAATTATCTGCTCGAGAAGCCAAATTCTTACCTCCAGGAGATGGAACTATTTTTGCTGGATGAATTCGGCACCCCTATACCCAAATCCACGATCAGCTATACCCTATATCGAACAGGATGGTCAAAGAAGGCTGCCCGACAAAAGGCCAAAGAACGAAATGTAAACCTACGTGACGATTAATGTCATCTCATTTCGGAGTTTGGTTCACATCACCTTATTTTCGTGGACGAATCTGGGTGTGATAATCGGATAGGCTTCACCTACAGATTTCGTTTACTTTACGTTGCGTGGTGCGTCTTTCTACGGTATACAATCAGCATTTGGCGCTGCTATATGTGAGGGTATAGACAACAGCGAGTTGCGAAGATGGGAAAAATATCACTATATTTCCGAAGTCACAGATTGCGTCACAATGTACATATGGAGAGCACAACCACATCGTGGACTAATTAAATTGCGACTTGGACACTATACAGGGGTCAATTTAGCAAACAAGATATATGCAGGACCCTCTTCAACAATCATCGAACCCTCAGTCTCGTTCAATATCTCTTGACTTTCCCCCGGCAATCCAGACTCCAACATTTCTTGGAAGGATAATTGCGCCACTACCCTTTGTCTCAACTATTTTTTCACCAGCTTATGTTTGGAATCTAATAAGGTCGTATTTCAAGCAATATAGGTTTCTTTCAAGATCCTGCATTAGATCATTACCCTATAGAGGGCTGTAATTACCGACATACCAAGGATCTTGCAGAGGCAGAGTCCGCTATACTCGCTAGAATTCTTATAAAGTAGTTTCTCTTTGCGGGATGCTTCGTAGCTTGGTGAACCGAGATTTTGAGTGACCCTGGGCGCTCCGTGGTTTCGGTGGACAAACGTTAAAATGGCATAAAACCAGTATTAAAGGTTGTAAGATTCAAATATGGACTAAAATCAGGCGCAATCTAGGATTTGGCTGAAAATTGCCCAGCTGCCCCTCCCTGAGTGTATATATCAGCCACCTCGTGGCGCTAAGCAAAGCAATACGCACGTGACCCGGAACTCGCCCACCTGTGGCGGAGTCTAGGGTATACCGCTGCAGTGACAATAGGGGATTCCGATTGTCCCTATGATCTTTTGGCCTAACGGTTAAATACTCCTATATAATCACTTAGGTATAGCGGCCTAAGTAAACCTGCCGGGACCGCAGGATTGTACACCCAATCAATAATGAGTTCAGTTTGCCGTTAAACAGGTCATAGTTAACGTATTTCATATACGAGCTGGACAAGCGAGCTGGCCACCTCAAAAACACTGAAATAAGATAAACTACAACAATATGTCTGAAAACCCCCCTTCCTATTTTCTTTGATTGTTTGTCGATAACTGTCGATAACTGTCGATAAGGCCTTTCAAGATCATATATCAATTGCAAAGAAATTGAATCAAGGCATTGTTACAGTATCGAAAATTATATCGACAGAGGCCAGAAAATATATATATCTCGACCACCACATTATAAAAATTCTGTTCACTCTATTAAATGACTACTTACTACTTAATAGGCATTATATATCAATAGAAAGTCCCAATCATCTCTTATTGTTGTGATATCCCCCTGTAATTTATCGTATATAGTATATGTATTGAAGTGGCCAGCATAGTGAGGCTGGTTGCACCAGTTTCAGGACTAAGTGTAGTTCAAAGCCACCTTGACCATGGACATGAATTACCGCTTGGCTTCGCTATTTTGGACTGCTATATTAACAGTCAAAAATATCATAGGCTTTCAAAGTGACGGTCCTAAAATGGTCCTTAGATAAGCCAAGAGCTCTGACTATTCCCTCCAATTCAGACTGGTGGTTTGAGTATATATATAGAAGACCATTTTTAAGGAGTAATAAATGTCCCCTGGACCCAATTTACTTGCAAAGGATCCCTCTCCCGGCGGTACAGGTATTGTAGGTGTCGCCACAAGTCATTTGATGTTCCCGCGGCAATATATTGACGGCTTTCGATGTCGTACACGATAGTGCGACTATATTGATATTCATGGCGATAATTAATTGACTTCAAGTAGAGGTATACTCACACCCAAAAACGACAGCCAGATCCTCCACCGGAGAACTGATATTGATGGCGGAAATTTCGGTAAATTGTATCAGCGATATATCGAACCTCAATAGCTATAGTAACCGGATAGTCCCAGTGCCGTATCGCCGAATTGGTGAGGAGATATACGGGATTTGACCATTTAAGACGCCTATCTATTTCTCTATACTCTGTCACTATATTCACACGCACTGATCCACCGGCCCGAAGAAGGAGATAAATCGAGCAATAGTTGTCCGACCCATCTGTTGCAGCACCAGTGTAAACCACAACTCTTATATGACTAATAGGCCGGGTATCTGCTAGAACTTGATTTTGAATTAGATTCACCATTTTTCTTCAATTCAAAGTTGAGTCAGGAACAGGGGAGGGAAGGCAGTACAACTACATTGCTCAGCTAGCTATCATTTTGGAGGGGTTATAAGACATCGGATTATCTATTATCCGAGCCGGTAGATCATATACGTTAGAGTGATCGAGGCTATCGATCGTTTTCTATCCCTTACTCTACCTCGCCTTCTAATATCTAACGCTACCATGTCTGGTCAATTCGACAATCACCAGTCGATCATTGACTTTTGCCGTTCTTGTCCAGAGGATCAGCTTATTGGAGGCTTGAGGTCTGGTAACCAGGTCGCCAAGCTACCAGATTGCGACTTGGTGGTCAAGTTCGGCCCGTTTGTTACCTCCCATGAGGCAAAGAATCAGCAAAAAGTATACGGTATACTTGATCCAGATATCGTTACAGTCCCTTCGGTTTATACTTTTTTTGTGGACGATGAGGGTTGGGGCTATATAATATCGGATTATATTCGGGGCAAAATTATCGATCCTCTTTCAGACTCTCACATTAAAAAACTCGCCCGCATTCTTGACTATTTTCACTCTATTACCTACGATAGGGCTGGTAGCCTATATGGTGGCCCTTCAATTGGCTTGCTCTGGCCAGATACAAATGATCTGACCATTAGCAATGTTCAGCAAGTGAATAAATGGTTTAACAGCCGGCTTTTCCCCGGAGATAGCAAGGTTCATTTTGATCCTACCCCACTCGTGCTCTGTCATTTAGACATAGCCCCCCGAAATGTTATCTGGTTGGACGATGGCCGTATCTGTTTACTGGACTGGGCATCAGCAGGATTTTATCCGAGACCGTTGGAATTTGCCAGTCTATTTTTTCAAGAATACCGTTTTAGCGACATGCTTTTGAAAGCAGTCGGTTTTGACTCTGGTCGTGATAAAGAAGAACAGCAGAGGATCTGCCAGGCATTGTATAACAATGAAAGGTACTCTTTGTAAGTCAGAACTGACCAGAATTTCTTGTTTTTGTCAATTTTCTGACTCGGAAAATAGTGGTTCACGGGATATTCAAGAAGGGTCTTCGCCTAATGAAACAACTGGTTGTATCTTTCCTCTTCCGTTACTTCCGGAACCGCAAAAACTTCCGACTTCACGAGGTGCGAACGATACTAGTGAATTATAGGGATGAATTTGATCTCTAGATTATCTGGTAGATATATATAGCCTGCAATAGAGGGCCTTCTTACAGTACCAGTAGCTTCTTATAAAGGCTAGAATCTTCTAGGTCTATTGGGATCACCCGATATCCCCAAGGTCTTCGATGTTCGAAATGACTCGGCTGCACTAATCAGCTATTATGATATTAAAACCTATTGACCTACAATTGATGTAGCCGGTAACCAGCTTATTCCCCAAAAGATACGTTAGTGGCCTGGAAAAATGTGTTGAGAGAGACGCCTCTCTTACGGCTCGCGAATCAACAGAATTGAGATCATTGTGCCATCTTCTATTTATGACTTCTATTTACTTAATTATAGTAAGTGATCTCCCCACAACTTTTCACCCAAAGGCCGATGTTACCTACGAACCGTCGGGCAGCTACTATCTTCACACTATGCGTAACGAAGAAACTTGAGTCTTGGTCCTTATAAATCTGCATAAGATCGAGACTGTTCTCAAGGGTCACATTGCGTGCTTTGTTGATATTATCCCTGAATATCTCGTTGGTTACCCGTGACTGCTGCCATTCCGTATATTCGTTCACAGCTATATCAAGGAATCCGTGAATCGTGATTGGTTCAACAAAGTTACGTTTAGCAAGCACACCTTTATAGGCAGGCGAAGTGGACAATGGTATTTAAGATAACGCCACCGGCAGAATATTGTTGATGATATTGATCGGAGGGCACATAGAATAGCTTAAAGAGTTATTCGAGCTTTTCTTCTTTTCGAGGCGCTGATTTTCCTCCTTATAAAGCTGCTCACGAAAGGTGTCGGGAACATCATCATGAGTATCGAGCAGTCCACCCTCTTCCACATATCTGATAAGGTCCTTTGAATGTTGTGTTCTCAATCTATAATACTTCTTGCCCTCTAGATCTTGCCAGCAATATTGCCCTTTATGGCGGCACGGAGGCCCCGGGCATCGCATGATACGATACACATCTCGCCAGACTGGGTCATGACCCGAGGCATGCTCGGCGTCAATCTAAGCGTCTCGTTCGGCGAGCATTCGCTTAGTCACGGATGATTTTCCTCTCTTGTCAGTGCTGGAAGGAAGAGACCCGCTGTCATCTATATAGGTAATAGCTATCTGAAGCCGGATCGTCTTGCCACGATGAAAAAGATAGGTCCACGCCAGTAGCTGTTTCTCTATATCCTGCCAATCAACACTAGTACCCTCGAAATGTTATTTATATTCCGTTGGGAGTTGACCGATAAGACCATAACAGTATCATCAAGTCTCCCCCGCCGGGTGCGAGCTATCTTCCGTCGTATAATTATACTAGCGTCCGTTTTCATCTCTTCCCAGTAAGAGCTGGGACGCACTGTCAAGTTTTGTTTCGTATCTTTCACCAGAACTCGGTTATTCAGTTTAACCTTCCGCTCAATTTGGCAGTGAATACAGTCTGTAGACTGTTCATCCCATGCATTTCCCTCACCACGTCCAACCTGTTGGTGAGACGGATATTCATACAAGGAAGAAGAACGTTCATCATTGATATCGTCGGGGTCCGATAAAGGGCAGATTATTGACGGTGTGTATTCGCGGTCCAAAAAGCCAGGGGTGGGAGCATACAAGGGAGTCTTTTCCCAGACGTAAGGCATTTCATATTGGTTGCAATCATTGTGAAAAGGAGTGTTGGTCATACCCTCAAGGCGAAAGATTACACTGAAGAGCCTGGTCACATTCTTGCGTGTTAGCCTATCCCAAGATGGTGTCACAAAGCAGCATGGGGAAGCTATAGCTAACAGGCTGATTATCACGCTGTAAAGAGACATAAGCGTTCGTGAGTAAGCAGATAACTGTACGGTAAGCCACTGATTGCACTGCTACAATCGATTAATCCTCTGATCTGAGTTAGACATGAGAGTTGCAAAGAGAAATGATCACCTTTGCCAGATCGTTTAGACCCACTCTCTGCCTCGAGTGTAATTCAATGGAAAGTTCTAATTTCTACCCATACAAGCATAGTACATGACATCATATTCTTTATCTTCTTTATCTTCTTCTTTCTTTACAAATTTACAAGTAAATTTATAGAAAGAGGTGATTCAAATGATTTTATTTGATTAATGATACTAGAATTAGTGTTATATTCATATAATTCCTACTTGCTACCATGATAATTAAACATTTGAATGCTACTGAGTATACAGGTTGGAACATGCGTAAAATACAGTCATTAATCAGCTACTTTATGTTTGCCAAGATGAAATTTATGCAGCAAAATGGGCTTTGATGGGGGCCCTATGGGTCTCCAGCCCATTTATGGGCTTTGCAGAGGCCTAATCATTAGCTGTATCAGGTTGAGCATGCCCCGCTTGCTTTCTCACAATCTCTAATATACCAGACTGCATAGCACACAATATGATCCGACGTATGAAAATATAACGGTAGACGAAGGGGCGATGCAACTTATTTATATTAGCTGTTGTGGCATCTCTGGTAAGGATAAATTGCCCTCATTTTTCCATTGTGAATCAAAGAAATACCGCAAAAATTGAAGAGGATCTTTCAGCAAGCCGGCCACTAAAGTGAGAGCTCAAGTTGTTGGTAGCTGCTATGTAATCAGAAGTTTAATTCTCGCACTAAACCGAGAGGACGTTTGACTAGAGGAAAATACCATCAGTATTGATATTAGAGACGGGATATCAGATTAAATTACCTCATATAACTTACACACCCACTGATAACGGCGAGAGTCTGATTTCTAGTGGAAGAATGTGAGGGCCAACTCACTTATCGCTATAACAGAGCTGTCACACGGAGTCATCAAGTAATTGATGGCAGGAAATCCTTGCACAAAATTGAAGATACCGGAAACAAATAATATAAAAGCACCAACGCTCTCAGGAAGTCATATTACTTGCAACGCGCAGGGGATCATTATGGCGGCGTGGCTCGATATACTCTCTAATACCACCGGCAGTTCTTTGGTAGACACGGGGCGATTTGAAGAAATTGTCCAGGGAATGAGCCACCCCAACTCGCAATACCCCTCTCTTGTCTATTTTGCTGGCAATGGAAATCGCATCAAAGCCCTTCAAGCTTTGTTTCCTCACAATAATGTCACACGCAAGGGACCTGCTGGGCTTATTCGAGCGCACCTTAGTACAGCAACTGCACATACTGAGCATCCTGTCATATTTGCCGAGAGTAATCCTTTTAGTCAAGCTGGGGTGGGTGACAGTTGCTTACTTAGGTGGTCTGGAGACAGACATCGACGATATCCTCTCGCCCTTGGGGAGTCTCAACGTCTAGCAGACCTTCAACAAGAGGTGATTAGACACAAGATTTTGCCATGGACACAAGTTCTTTGTTTTTTTGTCGACACCGTCTCTGAGATACGAAATGTACAACAGCTGCTAGATGCACCTATTGGGACCCTATCAATTGGAACTTCACATATCCACAGTATGATGCGTGTTGTTATTGTGCTGTCAGGCAACTCTCAACCCGAGGCGCATGACGCAGATAATGGCTTTGAATTACCCAATGCATGGTTAGGGCAGCACAGGATCACAGTTCTGGATATCCGTGACCGGTCAGAATTGTCTCCATTCATTGCATTCGACCCATTGAGAAGCCTAGTTCTTGAGCAAATCCAAGAGATTCGATCATTACAGAAAGAGAAATGCCTCTCATTCTCAGCCGTACATCTCAACGCACTCTGGGGCCGAGGTCTTCAACTTCGGATGGGAAGTTCAAGCCCAGCCAACCTTGACTGTCTTATGGTGGCACGAGAGGGTTATAAAAGGAAACCAGCAATGGTCAGTTGTTTTGTAGAGCTAAAAACTCAATTTGCAAGTTCTGCTTGCCCTGAGGATGAGCTTTACAACTTCATCGCCTCGGCTCTCCTTCTGGATGCTTATCCGCCTGAGATGCATCGTAAGCTATCTCTGCCTATAGCTTACTCTGTCACCCCTTACAATCTTTGTATGGTTTGTCACTAATGATTTAAATCATCTTAGTTTTCGAGCCGAATATGGTTTTCAACGCCCTTTATCGGGTACATTGTTGGAAAGCCTGGGAAGGGGGAGACGCTGAAATAGTTTGCAATAAAGTTTTGTGCCGCTTCATCGGGGGCTTTGTTCAATTGAGGTCCAAGGTCTCAGCAGACATTCGTCACGAATCGCTAGTTCAGTTCCATCGCCGATGGGGGGTTTGCATTCAACAACAACTTGCTTTGCTTGTATGTGTGGACCACCAGAGCATATGCTGCCTTGCAGGCATGCAATTTGTGATAACTGCGTTGTAATATACGGAACTAAAAGTCCCCGTACGGAGTACCATATCGACCTACCGAAATGCCCTATCTGTGATAAGGCAGTGAATCTCACGATTCGTCAACTTCCACCAACCAAGGGGCCAATTGTGTTAAGTCTAGATGGGGGAGGGGTTCGTGGTATCGTTCAATTAGGGCTTCTGCGAGCACTAGAAAGGCGGATTGGCGGAATATCGATAGCACACATCGCCGATTTATTTGCCGGGACAAGTGTTGGTAAGAGCATCCGTGACAGTAAAGAATGCACCTGTGATTGAAAGACTCTGATCCGTAAAAAAAAGGGGCGCTTTTGGCGGTAGATATGATATTGAATGGCCTATCTGCAGAGGAGAGTTGCGCCAAATTTCCGGCTTTTGCTCGGATGATTTTCGGATCGCCTCCTAAACATGCACCAAAATCCTCGATATCCCGGTGCGCTACATGGATAAAAAGCCTGGCGTGCCTTTTAGCTGATTGTCAGTACGACTCGGAAAGACTAGAGGATGCCTTGCAAAGAGTGATCGACCCCCAACGCCGAATGTTCGATGTCACGACGACAAGCTCCACTGGTTGCCGAGTCGCTATTATCACGAGTCGTACTTCTGATGGAAAGGCTTGTGTCTTGGCAAATTATCGTGGAATGGGCCAGCGAGAAGTGAATGCAGCATATGAGTTCCTTATCCCTAAGATGGCGGATGAGAATCCTCACGTCTGGAAAGTGTGAGTTGAGTTGAACTGTTATCAATTTGATTTGGAACAAACGAAGAACTTTGCTGATGAACAATACCAATAGAGCTCATTGCAGCGTCGCAGCTCCTTTGTAAGTGTCCCAGTAGCTTTGAAGACGGTGACTAATGACATGCAGCTTTTTCCGATCAAAATCCCTCCCAGGCTTTGGTGCGCTACAGGATGGCGGAGTCCGAGCCAACAATCCTCTGGCAATTGCGCTCAAGGAGTCAGTAGTCATCTGGCCCTCTGCGAAAACCCATGATCTACTCTTGTCAGTGGGAACGGGCTCATTTTCTTCTGCCGCTAAGCCAATTGAGCGTGCTATTGGTATATTGCAAGACAGTGCTATCCCTCGTATGATCCGAGCGACGATGTCCTCTCCATGTATGGATGGCGAGCAAGGATTCCATGAGGCACTCAATTTCGTGCCAGATGTGGAAAGATCAAACATCTTTCGGCTGAATCACGAGTTGCCTGAACCACTTCCTCGGTTGGACGATGTGAGCAAATTAGAAGAGATGTCCAAGATGCATTTTACTGTTCCGACTGAACTAGTGAGAACTATCTTGGCGACCGCTTTTTTCTTCTTTGAACTCGATGAGTTGCCAATCAAAAGCCAAGGAGCGTTTTTCTGTAAAGGCTCAGTTCTGTGCTCCCGATCATATTCTAGGGACCTAGTGAAACTGGTCATGGTGGAATTTCCAGGCGCAATGTTTGAAACGGCCCGTGGCCAACGCCTTGGGGACGTTGATGATGATGATGGTTGCCGCGTATGTGGATACTACCGCAAAAAGGTGGGATTTTCAATCAATGGACTTCATGAAATGACATCAATTGGGATTGCCGGTTCTTCGTTCTTCCAAAGGATTGGCGGCTTTCCAAAGTCGGTGCAAGAGCTCCTCGATGATCAACAAGCCAATTCCCACTTTGGTCGTGCAGACCATTTGGTTGCTTCCTGGCCCCCGAAAAGGAATTGCTACTGTTCCCCACGGGTTAAACGTCATATCAAATTTTTGGAGCCAGCCTTGATATACAAGAAGCGGCGGCTATGAATTGGCACTGCACATTTGCTCTATGTTGACGTTCAAGGTGCTCATTTATTAGAACGCTCAAGGCTATGCTTTCCGTACTATGACGTGGGCGGGCTCCCACTATCATTTGACTCTGGTGAACCCGATGAAAGCTATCGAAACATTCGGTTTATATATCGCTGCGAACTGCGAGCGCCTGAATTCTCTGAATACCCACTGCTACTGTCTTGAGGACAAGCAGGGGAATTGGGAAGGTTTGTGAAACGAGGAATGATAGGAGGTCAGAAGCGAAAGAGTTATCTCCTTTAAAGGTCAAAAATAGAAAAGAACCAATACCTAAACAAGTCTAGCAATGATTGCTGAAGCTCAGTATCTCCCAATATCACTAAAGTGATCTGGTATGAGTGATTTAATCCAATTCCACTAACAAGGGACCCTCTACCTCTCCAAGTACACAGGCGTACATCAGAAAAGAAAAGGGGTATTTTGAGGCGAAATGGCGATGAATTGGGTCTATGGATTTCCCAAGGGTGTCAGATTCACTAAATGCAAAATTTATCATTTGTTTTTCATATTATCTTCTGTTTTGCATCTGTTTCGCTGGATATTATTCATATAACGTTGTTCATTACGTTGGTTTATCGTTTATCATAGAAATTTCATCGTTGATGTTAGTACTAAAACGTATTTTTTATAGGGGATTGATAAACTCACCTCCCCTTTGGCTAATCTCACCCCTCCCTGCCTGCAATTTCTGGCATTAACCCTACCGCCTTCTTAATTGGGTGTGATACTGGATTCTGCCAAATATTTGTACGGCTTTCAGGAGGGTGGGCCCCTTCGGGGAGGACGGAAGCGCTCTGCACCGTCCGACAATGACGATGCAGTTCCCTCTCCGCCAGCTCGAAAGATAAAACCTGATACGCCGCCGACTACGTCGTGGGAGAATGAACGTACCACTGGCCGGGAACATATCCCGAATGCAGAGCAAACGTTCGCATGCTTCCAATGCCCCAAGACATACTCCGACTATAATGGAGTGAAGAGGCATTTCAGGACATCCCATTTGACGGACCGGACATGCAATTTCTGCAATTTGTCCGTCCTGCACGAGATGCACTTGCGGAGGCATGCCGAGGATGTCCATGGCCTTCGAACATGAGCGTCAGATTCTACTCTTCCGATCTTCGAGGGCCTTGCGCCATTTCTTTATTTCTCTACTTGGACACACTTGGCGGAGCCATAGCTGGTGACTATTTCACTAAAGCGTACCTTATGTGTCCCGATTATTTAGAGTCACCGGAATAAAATCCCATCGTAGTTGTTTCGACCTTTTGATTGATGGGTCATAATGAATTCGACTGCCTTCCTCTTTTACTCATCTCTGTATACCTATTAACTTTTCGTGCGTCTCATCACGCGAACAAATCACTATCATGGAAGAGACCTCAAATCTCGACTGCAGGCCCTCAACTTTGTCTGTTTCCTCCTTGGGTGCTATTATTGAATTGTACCGTACAGTTGACCACTAAGAGTTTCTCTCAAGGTCTGCCCGTGAACTTTCATATGAGCTTCGGGGAATGATCGAGGTTCAAGGTCATTTAATGATATAGTTAGTCGGGACAGAAGTTGCTGGTGATATAACATTCCTATTGTCCCGGTGCTTGAGTCCAGATGTATTTCGAGGATATACTGGTGAGTCACTAGATGCATATGGCGAATAACTGGCAAGTTGCATTATCTTACTATCAAGAGCGTGGATAATCATTTTTGCTTGTATATTCGGGTGTAATTCAGATGTCAATAGATTGATCATAGATCCTATCTCAGAAGTCTTCTGGCTAAGCAATGATATCGTTTTCTACTTTGAAAGGTAACCAACAGTAACTAGGATTCCGACGACGTTTAAGAATAAATATAAAAGGATTTCGGTAGGCAGCAGCTCCATACTATTCAAATCAATGGATTTCATCGGTACCAAAATCTTTCAGGGGGGTTAAAAAGGATACAAACGAAGCGGGCTCTGCGGCCTTAATAGGTAAGGCTCCACATCGGGTCGATGATTGGCTTCCAATGAGATGACTAAACATGTTGTCCTCAGCCGCAGCACCAAACAAACCACATGGAATAGACTACTGTACTGATTTAATTTTAGACATGAAGATGACGGGCCGAGGGGATGAGATTCAATCACGACGCAAAATTTTGAACCATCCGGCGCAGCAACCGGTCCTCTTCTTGGATTTCTCTGATACTGTATTTTTGGATACCCGTGTTTTGGTAACCCTACCTTGGGGTGCTTTGAGGGCCCTAAAGATCTAGAAACAGCGTCTCCTGGCCTGTATGGTTCGCTGTCCAAGCTAGACACACATCGAGTGACCCGAAGCCAACTATGTAATAAATCTATAGAAACATGTCCAGGCAGGTCCCAGGCCTGGAGATGTGCGTCCGTGGTTGAGGAGCTGCGACGGCAAGGCCTTGGTTCTAGGCCCCGTGATCCAGGACAGTTGACTCCAGGCCAAGTACCGAAGGCTATGGATGCAGACCCACATTAGACGTACGTCCACAGCTCTGAGTCTAGGTAGGCTTTCAAACTGTCAACTGGCGACCACCCTAGTAACCGCAAGGGCCTTCGGTCTTCTGACTACGGTCTATATGGGTCACAAGTATTTTGATCTAGATCTCAGGTGCATTTATTCGTCGTATACTGGGGTAGAGATAAAACGGCCACAACGGTTTCCCAGGGGAGCAGCCAGTAGAAATTTGAGCCTATTGGTAGTCGAGTCCGTAGAAGATATCACTTGGCGTCAAGCTTGGGTGTGCGTTGATTATAGACTTTCAGTCATTGAACTAGACCTGCAACACGATATATATATGCTTTATCCTGCAAAAGGGTAGCATCCGATATATCCCGTGATTGGTACCCGGCAGATAGGACACTTCTCCATTGTTCCAAGACTTCCTGCGCATGGCCTGCACACCATGTGTCCACATAGAATGAGCACCCAGCGATCTGGCTGCATATAACAGATCTTGCACTCTAAGATATGCTTTTCTCTTTGCTGGGAAAGTTCCTCTTGCGTCTTTTGGTGCCTCTCCCTCTCCTGGCGAAGTTCATCTCGAAGGATGCGATTTTTGTCTTGTAGCCGTTGCATTTTATGGCTAACCGCCCCCCGGAGCTCCTCAACGGCGTTTTCCTGGCCCATTGTTAGTTAAGGACGACAAGGTCTTATGGGGAACTGGTACCAAAGTTGACGGCTCTTTCGTTTCGGTTCTTTTGCGTTTGCGTGATGGTATCGTATCCGTCTCATCAGCGACTGATTCGACGATCATACTCTCAAAATCTCGATAACAGTAATCAAGGCGAGGGACCCTCCGAGGTCGTGAGCTACCTGGCTCGAGGCTTGGCAATTCCTCGTCATCGGTGATAATAATCGTGTCGGAGGGGCTTGCCATCGTGATCTTTGTCGCCACTCTCAGGGGAGGAAAGTCGATACAAGCTTGGGAAGAGGAAAAGAGAATGTCAGAGCATACAACCGGCTGGGGGAAGGAGGCCCTTTATATACCTGAGATCCAACGGTGACGGACTCAGCCTCGGGAAATAATTGGACACTGGTGCGATCGCAATCTTCCAAGCTACATTACACGATTGGGAATCAAGTCGTGATAGTGATGCAACTAGGCGATAGCGTTGCATGTGCTGCCCCGACGAGGCAGACAGTGTATACCTATATTTATCCGGATCTCCCTACTTGACTGCGGCTCAGGAGATCATGGCCTGCTTATTCTTGTCTTTGAAGTTCCTGTACTGAATTCGAGCAACGCCAGCGACTGACTGCGCACATGATGCACATCAATAGCATGGCGCCGGAACGCCATCTTATGTAGCAAGGATACTTCCAGTTGCAGTTGAGGTGACTGTTCTTTTAGATGAATAGCGCCAAAGTGGATCCGGCGTCGTAAAACATCTGAAAGCGAACATCGTCTAGAAGTTCCTCATTCGCAAAGCATTTCTAGATTCTCAGACTTCTCGAGATATTCCTTGGTACTACGCGACAGCTCGTGGGGTACGGACACAGGTTGCTGGGCTGAGTCGCCATCACTTTGAATTTCGCTTGGATCCAGCAGCTGGGCTATAAGATAATCCGACGTAGCCGATTTAGAAGCCTTCCTCTTAGGCCAGCCCCTTAACGGACCTCCCCCGGGGACGTCATTGTAAGAAGAACGATTATCCGTAAGAACGCGATTCACTGCAGTCTGTATCTCACTGGTTGATGATCCCGACCGCACAACATCGATAATGTGGTGGACATCAGCATCATTAGAAGTCCGTATTGCCTTAAGAAACCCGTCCATAAATTGTTGATGGTACTTAAGTTCTTCTTCCATCATACTTAAGTAGAGTTTGCGTCGTTTGTCAGAGCTCTCATTGACATCGCAGATACAGTCGCGTTTTCTGCATTCCGAGCACGGATTTCCACCACTGCACTATTTTAACGAAAAGTAAGTAGAAGATCTATACTATTATAATATTCCCTACCTTTGTCCGCCGACGCTGACATTCTTTGCAGACAGTGGACTGTCTTCGTATCTTGTTTTGATGCTTCATTTTGAAATTGATCAACTACTGCTTCTTTGTTGGTTGTTATTGGAGGCCGAATGGGTCTGAAGGGGGGAGCAGACATAGTCATATAGTGTGTTGAGAGGAAGGGGGGAGGAGACGGTTAGCGGGAAGTAGAAGGTGGGGTGACCGAGATAAAGAGTCAGATCAGACAGAGAGCGGGCCAAAAAAACACCCTTCGATACCGCCTTCTTCATCGTGGGACGGTTTGAGTGGCTGTATATAAGCGCCCACCGAGGCTCTGAAACGAGAACGCGGGTCTAGCGTCCGCAGCGTGCACTGTCGTCCAATGAAAGCCACTGCAGAGACCCGCTCCTACAGCAAGATGATAAGCCAATGAACGCAATCCTCACTGAACGGCGTCTGGCAATTCGTGGTCGCCCTAGACCATCTCAAAACCAGCCCAGGCCCAGAATGATAGGTCTATGCGTGTCCTGAAATGGGTATCTCATGAGCACCTAGGATGCCATCTATAGAAGGTTCTTCTCCTTTACAAGTCGACCATTGGTCGCGAGCTTCTCTTCCTCATGCTTGGACACCACAACTCGGCTTAACGCCCACGAGCTTCCTACTTAGTGTGATATGTCATTTGAAAGCTGTGCCGGAAGTTTATTTACATCTTGTGTCTCATTAAAGGCTCGAAGGCTCAAATGCGTTTATGTTCGTAGTCGCTATTTGTATTGGGCTCTTTTGTGCATTCTGCTGACCGCCTCTAGGAAGCCCCGACGATTCGCTACGCTTCTAGAGTGCTATCAGTTTCTATATAGACTTCCTTCCTATGTAGCAGTTTCTATATAGACTTCCCTCCTATGTAGCAGTTTCTATATAGACTTCCCTCCTATGTAGCAGTTTCTATATAGACTTCCCTCCTATGTAGCAGTTTCTACATAGACCGCCCTGCTATGTAGCAATTTCTTATTCTCTGAGAAAGTATCACATGGCTCTTTGGTTGTCGATCCACGCCAGAAAAGATTCTAATGACTCTTCATCCGCATAATCCGTTGTAGGGCCGGCAAAAACAAGCCTTGCTTCCAGTCCAACTGCCCAAATATCACGTAAATGTTCACAATATTCAGCCGTACTTCATTTGGAGGTTTTAAAAGTCCAATGGGCCGTTTAGGAAGGCCTCAGTTTCATCCCGGGCAGCCAGAGCTTGCTGAAGAACTGAGACCTTCACATAATTCTCTGTAGACTTCGGCACAACCCATTCTAACCCGGACCCAACCCAACCCAGCCCAACCCAAAGTGGGTTTTGGGTCCATTGCTTCGACCCAACGATGGGTTTTGGGTTATTAGTTATAACCCAAAACCCATTGGGTAACCCATTGGGGCCCCAATATAGTGCAAACAAAACAAACAAAAAATTTATATGGTTGAAATTCAAAGATTTGAATATATATATATATATCTAGCATAGTAACTCAATTTCAAAACAAAAACAAATTTATATAAAAAGCATTTTATACTATTAAAAAAGTATATTTAAAAATGCCAAGACTTGGATTTCATGAATTTTATGAATTTTTATGCAAATGTGTTTAAATGGGTTATTATTGGGTTATTGGGTTTAACCCATTGGGTTTTGGGTCAGAAAGCGCAATGCGAACAAGATACGTAAGCATAAGCGCCTACGAGATAAATATAATATATAGCCACTTCCACATTCTTTTATTCTCGGCCTTCCAAGGGAAACTTGCTCTTGAAATACGGTTGCTTTCCCGTTTCCGCACCCATTTGAGGACCGCAAATAACACTGGTGATTGCCCTTCAAGTCTTGCGGGGGCCGCCTTTATGAGTTCAACATATAAAGGACCAATTTGCGTGTAATAATTTGAGGAATATCGTGGTCTTTGAATATCGTGGTCTTTTCGCGTTCCATGATTGATGGCTCCCCTTTGTGCAATAACATTTATGTTTATTGAGCCCTTTCTTATTAGCGGACCTAAGTCTTATAAGAGTCCCCTCTATCTATATTTTTCTATACAGGTTTCTCTACTCCCTAAATACCCCCAGATATAAAGGCAACGTGCCCAATGGCCGCTATCAAGGCTACCAAGTCCAAGGATACCACTTCGAAAAGAAAATTGATGCGGCAAAAACAATGCCGCCGCAAAACAAGTCTGATGAAAAAGGCATGCGAATATAGTAGGATGTGCAGCGCAGATGTGTGCGTGGGAATTCGTATCCGAGAGACGGGCCAGGTACATATTTTATCAGCGGATACTTCGAGATTCTGGGCTTTCCTCAGCTCACAATTAGTATGTCTCAAACTATGGCTCTGATGAAAAGATGACTGACCTATCAAGAACTCCTACTATCCAGCCCCGATGCTAGTGACAGACCAGGATCTACAGCAGGTTGGCAAAGATACACCGCAACAACCTATATGAAGTCATAAGACCGAAGTGGAACTCTCACCAAAAAGAACCTTTGTTTTTCCTATCCTCGGTCAGGGATTTCATGCAACCATTATCCCAATAGTTTAATTTAATTTACGAGAATATAGCTGTGATTGGCGGTCCAATGATGAATTCTACATAAGGAAGAAGGCTCCATAAGGAAGAGATCTCCGTATGGAAGAAGGCTCCGTATGGAAGAAGGCTCCGTATGGAAGAGGACTACAATATGGAGGCTCACGGAGACCTGATTACCAACCCAAACAGGGCTGGCAAATTCGAGATATCATTGGCTAGCCTGGCTACTCGGTCTTCCTACTCCAAGGTGGAGAAGTTCCTAACCCCGTGCGGGGATTTAAAATTCAGACTACAAAAACACAAGAGAAAGTATATGAATGACAAATCTCCTGTGTTAAACCCCTAGATTTTCCTTGGCTGCCGTTAAATGAAACGCGTCTCAAATGTAAGCCGGCACCTGATTATGAGTTGATACAATTTCCGAGAAAGCCTTTTTGGGCATTGTCAGGTGACATATGCAGATCGAATTGCTCTTGCTGAGCAGCTGCACGAATGATAGGATCAAACGGCATGGTTTGCTTGGTGGCTTTGACAGAGACTTGCCAGGAAATGCAAGACTGTGTCTCAACGTTGCCACAGAATGCCTCCCAGAGAAGGCACACGTTTGCATTGCCACCGGGCTCAGATACATGCATCTGGTTCAGTACCCCTGTGACCTGAGAATAGTCAAGCCAAAGTCTCCTGGTGGGACCGGAGATACCATGAGTTTCACTAAACTCCTCCGAGAAACGGATTATGCCAGCAAATATGCCTAAGAAGTCTCCTTCGCAAATGGGTACAATAGACGAGACAAACAAAGACCCGTTGTCTTTGGGCAAAAGGGTGACGAATGCGGACTTATCGGTCCCACCTTCATACACCAATTCATCGCCGTGTCTAATGCCTAGATTATCGGCACAAACAGACTCCGCGGCGCACTGTTTGAAAGTTTCCTCTTCAGCGAGAGAAGCCCACTCATTCGAAGCACTATTCCACGAGGTTTCTGGCACTTTCAATAATCCTCGCACGTGAGGATCGTTGAGATAGCTTACCCGTTTCAAGTCACCTGTGCTCAGTGATAAGATCCGCGTTTCTAATTGCTGGATGTGAGGGTGATACTGCTTTTCCCACTCTAAAACTTTGTTCACAAATGAGATTTCCGCTGTTTTAGGATAGGTTCTGCAAAAGCTGTCGAATTCTTTCGAGCGGTAAAGAAGAATTTTGTGAGCGCCAGCCTCACGCATTTCATATATATTCTTCCAGAATGTACGATATTGTCGCTGATTCTCGGGGCCCAAGCTATGCCCGATGTCCTCCATGAATCTCCTTGTAGCAGCTTTTTCCGCCATTGAAAATCCATCGATCGGGCCTTTCGCGGGGGGCAGTGTTGCAGGATCTATCAGAGCGGCGCATTTAAGGATGATTGGCCAAAAGATGGTTTCGTTGTAGTTGGTCTGTATTGCTCTGCCAGCGTTTAAAGCAGTGTCCCTTCGAATGGTCTTGATTGCTTGATCATAACTGTATTTGGACAACTCGTTGACATAATCCTGTGTCTTCTCCAGCTTAGTTGTTACCATAGCTGTGCTGGTGTGTTGCCCGTACTTCGCTATAGCGGAGTTCGATTTGACGCATTCCATGATTATCGTTGTTATGACCTTCATTTCGTAGGCTGAATTCATATATGATGGCAAGGAGCTATCGCGGGGTGTCGGTAAACTCTGAGGATTAGCGTCATCGACCTGAGGCAAAAAGTGAATCATAAGTCCCTTATTTCATCAATCATGGATTTGAAGCAGTAGTGTCTTACCGTTTGGCACGTTTGAGGCGACAGATTTTTTTGGGGAGCCTTGTCGCTAGATATCCCACTTTCACAACTCGCAGATGCTCCAGGATGCTGGTCCATCAACTTCAAGCCATGACCGTTGTTTCTCTTCTTCCTTTTTCGCTCCCCTCTGCCAGCCATATCATTGTAAGTCGTTCGGCCTTCCGTTACAGCCTGTTTCAGAAGGCGCTCAGATCCACGTTTGTCATGTGGAGGAGTGAGAGGTGTTTCGATCGTCTTTTCCTTCAGCTGAGAGTTAGGCTCGGACCCGCTGCCTCTCTCGGTCCTGAGTTGGGCTTCGCGAACTAGAAAAATTGTCAATGTCCCGATATGGCTTAGCACTTGGCGGGGGCTCGCTCACGATGTTCGACAGCATGGGCGGTAAGTGACCTAAGAAGCTCCTCACTGCTTTCAACTCCACAAATTGCAAACGACTCCCGAATCTTCTGGGCTGCCAGGCCCGAAACAGTACCATCCATAGCGAGAGATGAGAACAGGAGGGAAGTTTGATTTCTTGGAGGTTCAAACCGGAACTCCATACTAGGAATCCCATTTCGAATGTTCTAGGCATTGACACCCTTGAGGGCGGGGATATGAGCCAATCAAATCAACCCCAGCGACTCGCAAAAATAGCACCATCCAGGCCAAAGCAAGAGTTCACAGAGATTCGCCTTCTTTTGGGTGTCCGTCTCATCTACCTCATAAGGCAAAAATGCAACAATTTAATGCATATCAAGGTGTCAACTCAAAATCATTATTTTTGAGGTGGATGTCAAACAGCCCATCTAGCATATGCCTGACCACACAGGGCCTTTGAAGACCGTCGGAATTTGTGCTTGAAGTTCTGAAAATAGATATTGAGGTCGCTCATGGACGGTGGGCCGCAATTTTTTTCGAGTCGAGAAATGTCCTCAACGCACAGACAAACCAGCGAGGGCGTGGATGGCATGACTCGAAGTCAACACGTTGGGATCATGATTCAGACTGTACAATCTTCCCATTTTGTGTAAGTTAGCCGTGTCGACTGCTTTGAGGTTGATTTGTTGAACAGTCAAATTGTGAATGATGAAGGCCGATCAGCGTTATGTTGATGTGTTGATGTGTTGATAGTGAAGATGGTGATAAAATGAATTAAACGGCGGCTGGTGAAAGAAAAACGATATTAATCTTGGGTAAAAAAGTACGGGCGTTCAATTACTGCCATTGGCTAAATAGATTGTGGTTACTTTCTCTTCCTGAGCCCACATGCGTCACGTGCATTCCCTAGTACCCCTCTACCCCCCAGGCTGGGGGCGCGCTGCGCACGCATTTGCCCTGAAAAACGAGCCTATAGGCGACCGGGCACGTGGACGGTGATAAAGTCAGACTGTCAACCTGTCCAGTGAGGGTTGATTTCATTGGCTCATCAGCTTGCTGTAGGAGCGGATCTCTGCAGTAGCTTTCATTGGATCTAGAAAGTCTATGGAAAGACAGACAATGTGTGATTGGTTCACTTCTACTCCCACGGAGCAGCCCTCTTCCAGACGGAGCCTTCTTTCGGGCAGGACCAAGTGACCATCACTCTTGAAATGAGCTAGCTGAAAATAATCTGTTGCCCACGTCCTTTCATGTTATCACTTCCATGATACTCTACATAGCTCTACCAAGAAATTCTCATTGTCTCCTTAGAGGGCATGCGAATACACGGATGAAAAGGAAGAGCGCGACACTAAACCTTGTGTCGCGCCCATTGCCCCACCCCCCAGTGCGTCCCTACTGTCCAATGGGTCCCTACTCTCCAGTGTGTCCTTACTCTCCAGTGCGTCCCTACTTTCCAGTGTGTCCTTACTCTCCAGTGCGTCCCTACTCTCCAGTGCGTCCCTACTCTCCAGTGCGTCCCTACTTTCCAGTGCGTCCCTACTCTCGAGTACGTCCCTGCTCTGCCACTCCTGCGGGATCGTAGACAATCTACAGTTCTCCGCTACTCCTAAGCCCTTTATGCAATTGTGACCACGGTTTCCCGTTACTCCTAGACTAGCCGCACGATTATAATGATCGCTAGAAACTCTATATCATACGAAATACCATGGTTCCCCGTTCCCAGACTAACCGCACGATTATAATGGTCGCTCGAAATCCTATATCCTACGAATAGACTTCCGCAAAGCTCGAAAAGCCCGAAACCCGACCCGACTCGACCCTCAAAAGGGTCGGGTTTCGGGCCTATTCCTAAAGCTCGCAGGGGGCTTCGGGCTTTTGGTTTAGGCCCATAGCTCGAAGGGGGGGGGGGGGGGGGGGGGGGGGCCCGACGAGCCCCCCCCCTACGACTAAACAGTGCAAACATACTAATTTCTCGTGACTGCACAAATAATGCAGAAATTCCCAGTATTTTTGAGTATTTCGATTACATCGTTCACTTTAAATTCAACAAATCATTGATTCGTTTAAGCATATATCAATATATTATGATTAAATCAAGTGTGAACTAATGAGACTGATACATATCATCCTCTATATGCTTCCTTTTCCTCCCTGACATACGTGGCTGAGTAGTATAACTTGGCAATGGAGGATCGCCAGCATCATCATCACCAGTATTATCATCATCAACATCAATCAAACCACCTAAGCTCTCTGGCTGTTCTTCTGTATCACTAATCTGTTCAATTTCAACATCATCAAGCCTATCGTCCTTTTCCTCGCTCAATGCTTCGATCTCATTCAAAGAGAAGAATCGTTCAAGCTCTTTTGCCTTATGTAATTCAAGGTCAAATCTTGATGTACAAAGGAATAGCATTAACTCTTCAATGGTCTCAGCCTTCATACGACCGCGGCGATAATGGCAAATATCGCGAGCAGTGTTGAATAATCGTTCCACACCTGCACCAGTTGCTGGAATTGCAAGAATGTCCCGCACAAGTAAAGCAATCGCAGGAAAACGGCTCTGGTTCTCTCGCCAAAAGGGCAGTGGCTCAGAATCAACGATATCTATATATAATTAGTGACGGATATTCATCGAAATAAGACTAGAAGAAGAGCATAACTTACCACCATCAAGATACTGGGTTATCTCGTCACCAACCGGCTTCGCTTTGGGTTTCTTTCGGCGAAGCAGATTATGAAGAGCTGTGCTTGGCCTTGATCCAGGAGAGGAGACTGGTAGGCCTTGACTAGTAGTATGACGCTCTTGGTAAGGTAAGAGAGTATCTTGGAATGAGGCTCGATTTTATCACGCCATTCCTTCGTCCAATCATCGGAGAGAAAGAATTGGAACCTGTTATCTGGCGCTAGCATAGTACTAATCGCATAAAGGTGATCACGATCATGATCTGTCTGCGAATAGTACTCATCAAGCTTCAATCGGCCAGCCTCAAGGGAGGAAAGCATCTGTTGTTTCCATGGGACACGCTTTCGTTGAAGCTGCTTGATAGACTTCTCAAGGTGCTCAAACAATATGTTGTAGATCTGGAATACTAGATGTGCAGTCACATCTCGAGTCTTTGAAAGCGCAAGAGTGTATTCATAGAATGGCTTTGTGAGACAAAGAAGGTAATCGATCTGACGCCATTCGTCGTTGTTAAGTGCCATCTCCTCGCAATTGTAGTCTGTACAGAATGTACCAAGGAAATCACGGAGCCTCTTTGCCCGGCGAAGCATAAGAAACGTTGAGTTCCACCTAGCCTTCACATCCTGAAGTGGCATAAGTGCCTGCTCTGAGGGCTGAAGACTAACAAAAGCTTCGCGACGTTGGGGACTAGCCCGGATATAAACAGCAAGATACCGTACCTTGTTCAAAGTATGAGATATACTGCGATTTTTGCTTTGGGCATTTGCTTTCGCGAGTATTGATTGGCGATCAGACCATCTGGTCTCAGTTATATCATTCTGAGGGACTGCTTTCAAGCGATCAAGAAGTTGGTTCAGACTCAATTGGATAACATGTGCCAGACAGGGTATTCGGATAATATGAACATTGCTCGACAAGGCCTGTTGAAGCGAGTCAACGAGGGTCTTGTTATTCGATGCATTATCCGTGGTTAATCCAAACACACGATCCTGGATGTTGTGATCAGTAAGTATCTCCAAGAGGACACCACTTAGATTAGCACCAGTGTGAGTACCTTCGAGGGGTTTAAACCCAAGAAGCACCTCCCGGTAGGACCAGTCAATATCAACAAAATAGCCAGTGATAGCCATAAATGCTTGTCCGAATGGTGAAGTCCAGCAATCCAACGCAATTGAGATTTTCGCATCTGCCGGAAGCAGTTTGAGTATAGAATCTTGACGTTCCTTAACACGAGCAGATAGTCGACGTCGAACTGTATCAGCAGAGGGGATAGATGGGGGGCTTGGGGCCGAGTGTGCTTGTGAAATTATCCGTCGAAACGTTGGATGTTCGATGAGGTGAAAGGGAAGTCGATTGATCGTAAGAAACTGTAATAGATTGTCCTCCTAAGCTGCCTCAGAGAAAACCTCTCGGGCAGTATTATCCTATTTCAATTAGTGGTACGAATCGTATTAAAGGGATATCCATACTGTTGACTGAATAAACTTATCGAGTCCCCCTCGTTGCTGACCTCCACTTACAGCCCTTTTACAGGCAGAATTCCTGAGATGCCTAGTCATAGTAGTTGTACCATGACGCGCATCCTTCCCGTTTATATCTTTTTTGGCTGTATAGGGATGCTCAAGGATCGCAGAGCAATGCTTACACATAACCTTTGGGCTGCCATTGCTGCTATGGGCTACCTGGGTAAAGTGCTCCCAGACATGTGAAAGATGATTTGAGTGCCATGCGACTTTGCCCTTTGATCCATAATCGGTTTGTAACCACCACTCTACCCACTCTTGGTGATTCATTCTGTCATACAAGAAGTATGACCTTTTCCGATCAGGTCCAACACGTTCAAATCGTTCAAGCTGTGGGAGTAAGGGAGGGTCGTCCGGTCGAAGAAAAGCCGGCACAGATACATCAAAAGTCTGTTGGCTTGTCGAGGGCGTAGCTGGGTAATTAGAGGGTATAAGGTAGGGTAGGTTCTCGTAGTCACCTCCGAATTGTGATGATGCAAACTCGGACTGCTGACTTTGGGACATCGTAGAGTTAAAAAACCTGACACAGCAAGGGCTTTTGAGAATACATAAGAGGGTCGATACATTACCAGAAGCTCTACCACCTAGAGGTATTACTTGACTAGTTGAATCAATAATCGATAGCTCAAAATAGAGGGTAATAATACTAGTAGATGATTAGTTGAATTATCTATAATAAGTGGGGCCGGCTCGAAAAAAGCCCATAAAGCTCGAAAAAAGCTCGTAAAGCCCATTAATAACCCGTAAAAAGCCCGAAAGCCCCACTGAAAGCCTATCAAAAGCCCACTCCCGGCCCATTCCCAGCTCGTTGTCACTTCATTTCCCTCGAAATATTTCAACTTACGCTAGTCCCTAGGTAAAAGGTTACTTTTAGTTCAGTTAGTATTGAACCATTCTATAGACTAAGTTTCTGACCTTAGTCAAAGACCAGATTTCTAGCTTCGGTCAGAAATTACTATTATATATTGTACTACTATGAGCACTGCTGTAAACAGTGCGTAAGCTTCCACCTATAATTTCTGACCTTGGTCAAAGACCAGATTTCTGACTGCGGTCAGAAATTATACTTAACTAGTGATATTCAACAATATTGAGGACTAAGTAGGATATAGTGTATGGTTCAAAGTGTAGAAGCTCTAAGCTCAATATAGTCCAAAATGTAGATGAAGGATAAAACCCCGAAAACTCTAGAATATATATTTGTATATCATCATTGCTTAATTCGGTCTGTAGAGTGATCTATACACCTAAACAGAGAATACTCAGAACCATTTAGGCATATAAAGGTAGCAATAATAACACATGGATAGTCATATCTCCAAGTGCTTTTTTTAAAGCAAGAACAGGTAGTTTGAACGATTTGTACTGGTCAATGATCATGGTTCATGAAGGTAGAAGACCCGGGTCCAGATACAGCTTATACACTAAAAAAAATCAGTATTTTATCGACGTAGTTATTATGCTAATATATTAAGGATATATATCTATTGACTAGAATTTCCAAATATTTCCCATTCCTGATTATGATAATAGAGTACAAAAAGCATTTGTGCCGGCGCGGCCGGATTCGGCCGCCCCCTCGATCGGGTTTGGCGTCCGCCCCGTTTGGGTTTGGTCTATCCAAATTCGGTTTGGCGTCTACGCTTTTCCCAAAATGGCAGAAGCACAGCCCGCTCCTGTTCTGTTTAGCGGACTCGGATCTGGTTTAGCAACTCCCGAAGTAGTTCGGCGCCCTGGGCTATCCCCAAACTGGCATCTGCCATCTCCGACCGCCTGCCAGTCTCACCCTTTGGACTATATAACTTCCAGTGCGTCGCTCGATCATCCTCCTCTCTTTGACTGACTGCACTCTTTTCTCTCCCGTCATGCCCAGCCGTGAAATGATACGTAATTCCGGATCGCACGGCACCCTTCCCCCTGCGCCTCCCTGTTTCAGCTGAGTTCCTCGTCATCGCCTGCGCGCCTTTTCTCCACTCGACTCGCTGTAGATGGATCCATCCATCGGCCCTGGTCGCCCTGATCCTCAAATTAGACCGCTGCGCTGCAACCCTGTGATTTGACTTGGGCGACAGATTACATGCCTACCCTCTGGTCCCTGTTTCTTCGGTATGTGCTTGTTTTGCCCGCTGCAACGGCGCAGCCTTCTACGATCGGCCCGGGGAGAGAGCCTTGACTTGCGAGGAGATTCGATTTACGACCTGGTCGGTCGAGCACGATTGTGAAGCGGCGCTCTCTGAGCTAGTGCTGATCACAAGCTCTCGCCACACCCATGCATCCATTGGCACTTGCTGCTCTTACGCCCCCGCCCATGACGAAGAATGTCTCATTTCCGGATTCTTTTTTGTGAGGGCTTCGACTTTTAGTGGCCTTGAATAGGCTAGCGTCACTTAACGGATGATGGGTTATCATTTTCCTGGACGCTAGTGTCTGCGCCAAGTGATCTTCCGTGGACGATCTTGCCGCAATTTCACTGTTCTAGCGAGGCGCAGCAAAGAAGACCGAGGAATCTGGACTATCGGAGATTCCTGGGAGGGTCGGCACCGCCGTGCGCATGATGATGTCTCACCCGACTGGACGCTGATGCCCACTCTAAGCACCCTTTCGGAGACGATCCCTTCGCTATAGTCCTCTTCTGGCAAGGCGCAGCAGGGCAGACCGTGAACTTATCCGAATATGAAACGCTTTGGTCCAATGGGAGAAATGCCGCATGCAGTGTCGGCCTTGCTCGTGACTCCTTTGTGAATTCCGTTGTGGATGGGTTGGTGGATCCTCGTATTGGCAGGCTGCGCTTTGTCTCACGACTCTTGTCCATTCGACCTTCCCAAAGCGCTCAGAAGAGGCAGGGGAAGGTAGGCAAGTATAAAGGGTCGTTGGAAGTCCTCACTGGGACCGAGAAGGAGGCTGACTATCTGTTTATAGTTCCTTTTCTTCTATTCTGATGCATTGCGTCTGAATCTTTCTCGCGGCATGGCACCGATCAATCTGGACGACGTCATCCATTATCGTCCGCCTGCTAAAAAAACCACATTTCAAACCGTTCCGGGCACCCGGTTCCCACGATCGTATCTATTCACAGATACCTTTGGATAGACCCGCGCCAGCCCATCCGTTTCTATCCAGCCAGCACTGTCGTTCGAGTCTTCCATTCTCGGGGCATGCGCCGTACCTTCAAAGTCATTTCCATGCACATAGTGAAGTCGAGACGTTATTAGCCCCCAACGAGCTTGCGGAAGAAGTGACCATTGACAGCTCGAATGAGTTTGACATGAATTTCTTGAATGCCTCTTCGGGAAGAGATGCAAACGTTTCTATATCAAATATACACACGGCGAGTCGAGAATTGCCGGATGATGTTTCCAGCAGTGATTTAGGGCAAGGTTTATCCGACCAGCGTCACGATGGTACGTGGTGGCCATCATTTTGACTCCCCTTGATTTCTTCAATTCACTCTGTTGAACTCATTGTGCCCTATCTTCCTTTCCTTAACGATAACGTGGTCGACAATAGAGGGCTGACTTGGCACTTTGAGACCAGACTTCCAAGGTGATGAGCATCATGAGAGCAACGTGACATCTTCTTCTCAAAGCTTTGATTTCGGATAATTTTCACTCACATTCTGGGATACCAAAAGCTGTCATACTTGATTAATATATCCGAGCAGTTGCTGCCCGACGATATCATTGCGGCGACGGGGGAAGGAGGGGCAGCGGGGTTACATTCTCCCGTAGCTTTATCCGAGATCATTCTAGCCCATCGGTGACATTAGTGAGCGCTATGAATTAAGGCCAACTTATAGATCTGTCGTGCTATCGGTCCGCTTCCCATTTGTTTCTTGGCCGCTTTCTTTCAACTTGATAATCTGCTTCGCTTAGCCTTCTAAGCCAAATGATCCTCCACTTAATCCTCCACTCAATCTTCCACTCAATCTTCCACTTAATCCTCCACTCAATCTTCCACTCAATCTTCCACTCAATCTTCCATTCAATCTTCCACTCAATCTTCCACTCAATCTTCCACTCAATCTTCCACCCAATCTTCCACTCAATCTTCCCCTCATCTTCCACAAATCATTTATAGAAATTCCAATCCAATCATTCTCACTTGTGACCCCCTCATACATCTAATTTCATACACTCGCAGCATGTACCTCTACCACAGGATGAGGCGATCTAAGATTGAGAGAGGGCGACCGGAGATATAAAAGAAAGCAGCTCCATCCGTTCCACGAATCTTTCATTGATATATACATCAACTTTTGTTATCGATTTCACAACCTTTTCGAAAACCAAGTTAGCTTCTGCTGGTTTCTAGTCTCAGTCATTAGTCGCACAATATGGCATTGAAAAAAACTTCCTCTGACAGTCACCAAGGCTTGACGCCACCCGATAGCCCAACGAAGGGGTCGACTATGCCTCCTGCCACCTTGAAGGATCTGATGCTTCTCTTTGGTGTGTTTCTTGAGAACGCGCTGCTCGATCTTGCCGACGAAGAACCTCCAAACACTCCCGTCTCCCAGGACCAATCCCCACCAGGCCTCGACATAGTTCGACTGAAGCGGTTGATGGTCAAGCTCACCCACGATGAATGTGGGTCAGCTGAACTCTCCCTGGCAACTAGGCCTGCTCGGTCTTCTTCTGCCAGCAATGAACAGGAAGAGAATGTTCAGGCAATAGACGAGATTGATCTCGAAAGTCCGATCTGTACCACACCGGATGATTTCAAGTCGTTTGAGAAATGGGCATCAAAATCCCAATTTAAAACAGTTATGGAAACGTATGAGCCACCAGCCAACAACCCCTTCCACTTTTTCAGATAGCTGACACGGGTCTAGCTGGGACAAAGAGGCATGTAAATACAAGATAGCCGAGCCAACAGAGACTAGCAATGACCTGGACGACTACGCTGAGTATGCATTCGTTGTCCGTGAACGTGTTGGTACGTAACAACTTTGCATGCCAGACCGAAAACCTACTAATAGTATGATCAGACCGAACGTCCGAGGAGGTAGTTCCATTCATAGATATCAAGTCGGAAGGCCTACGCGACATCCTGCGAGACGTGCTGCACGACATCAAGGCCGTTAGCCTGATGGAGGACAAGCCATCGGTAATTGAGGCAGTATTATCATCAAGGAGCACGCTGACGTGGATTTAGATCGAGCAAAATTTCCTTTTTCATTTCCTCCCAGAGCTCGACAGATGTGCGGAGAATATGGATAGCAATTCGGACCATGAGTCGGCACATGCGGAGCATCTCCTCTTGCTCATCGATCACCTCAAGCACGCATATACTTCTACTTTGCAGCGTCTCGAATCAATGTTGCAGCACGGTCATATTATATATGACCTTCTTTGGGCGCTTTTTAAGCCTGGTTGCCATGTTTATACCACATGCATTGGCACAAAAGAGCCGCGATGTGTCGTATTCGACGCGGGCGAAGAGATAACACAAAATGACGAGACGTGGTTGAATCTCGAGTGCCGATTTCTTGATTATAACGGAGTCAAGTTCGGCGAGGCCGGTATCTTTCTGCGAGTGGCCAAGTTCCGAGGATCAAAGCCGATCGAGAGCCTTGAGGCCTTCCCTCTCTGCCACTATACAAGTCACGAGCAAGTCCGGAAAGACCTGATCGAGAAGGGTCAAAAGTTTCGGGATTTTGCCGGCTCACACGTTCGGCACTGTAAAGGCAACGCATTCTTTATGAACAAGGGGAAGGCTATCAAAGTCAATATCAACGGTCGAGTGGCAGTGGACGCCGCATTTTTCTATGAAATGCAGCCAAACTACTCCCGACCGTCACTCCGCGACATTGGGGTCAAGGATAAGGTTGGGATTGCAGTCTTTGACATTGGTGCAATGCTCATGGAGGACCGTGAGCGAGAGAAGGAGAAAATGCGAGGAGACGGTGTAGATACCCAAAGGCTGAGCGAGGCCGATTTACTGGTCGCCTGCCCAACAGTTTGCTGTTTCAGTTTCAAGGAGAAAATGTTCTGTATGTGACACGACTGACAATGGTTTGGTGTCCGGCTAATGTGATTCCAGTGGAGTGCGCAGTTAGTGCTCTTAGGGACGTGGATTGGTCCCCTGAGTCGTTCGACTGCCTGAAGATCCCCTCAGAGACTAAGACTATCCTCTTGTCATTGGCGAAAACCCGCCTAGGGATGATACCGACGATACCGTTCGACGACGTAATTGATGGAAAGGGCCAAGGATTCAACATTCTTCTGAAGTATATCGGCAAACCGTCTATACTATCAAGACTTCCCATCCTAACTCGTGCTAGTGGCCCACCGGGAGTCGGAAAGACTTTCACGGTTGAAGCAACCTCGGAGTATTTCAAACTCCCCCTCTATTCGGTATGAACCATCCAGCTCGGCTGATTTTGGCGTCACTGATTTTTCCAGATATCTGCAGGCGAACTTGTTGTCAACCACGGGGATTCCAATGCGCTTGAGCAACAACTTGAAACAGTATTCAAGATCGCCAAACACTTTAATACCGTGCTTCTCTTGGATGAGGCAGACGCGTTCATGGAGCAGCGTACATCTTACCACGATGCCCACAATCGCCTTGTGACCATTTCCCTCCGAAAGCTGGAATATTATCAAGGAATTCTTTTCTTGACTTCAAATCGGGGTATCCAGTTTGATGACGCAATTCTCAGCCGGATCCATTTGATCATTGAGTATGAGAATTTAACGAGAGAGTTTCGCAGAGATCTCTGGTCAACTTTTCTGTCCAAGGCATGTACGATGCAAGGACCTGCTATTGTTGAGGAGCACGAACTCCGACGATTGGAGTCTTTAGCTCTGAATGGACGAGAGGTGGGTGTCCGAGTGGCACTGAACATCTCACTTGCTGACCAATCATGAACCAGATCAAAAACGTCGCAGCAATTGCACACGCTCTCGCTGAGGCTGACGTCAAACAGGTGAACTACAAATGCTTGAAGTTAGCCGCCGAATCAAATAAGAAATTTTCAAAGGAGTTTGGCAGAGAGAGGCCTGCTGATGGAATGTATGTCTAACAGCATACCTGGGAAAGTCATGTGGATAATCTCATTCGTCGAGGTTGTCGAGCGGTTGGGCGCTTATCGCAATATTTTCGGTTAGTACACGACAGTCTATAATATCGGTCCTGAAGCTTCATAGTTGAATCAAGGTTTCCATGTGATTCATAGCATCACAGAAAAGTTAAGTCCGAGAGCCAGAATTGGATGATCAATTCGTGATTGTCAACGCATCTATAATCATATATCATCAGAGGCGATGTAGGTGCATTGGAAAAGCGGGCATCAAGAATAATAATAGATGGAAACCCTGACTGATTCATGCGGATGCGGGCCGGAGATGCTTCATGCTTCATTATCATGCACAATTGTGTTGCTAATCCAATAAAATAAGCACACTGCCTCACGTCACATGAAGACGTTTTGGATCTCCTATCTCTGGTTGACATAATCGTCGTTTTACGGCTCGTGGCCGCTGCAAAGTCGGTCGACTTTTCAATGTGGAGCAGTGAAAGTCGATGATCAACGCCCGCCCAAGCTCTTCGTTCCAAAGAACATTGTCACGTCGCAAATCTTTGTGAATGATTCCCAAGGCTTTGATTTCTTTGTTTGATCTGCGAATCTCCCGGTGGAGCGACGGTGTCAGCTCCATCGATGCTGTACTTTCGCCTCCCCAGCCCATGACGAGCATGTGACGAATCTCTCCAGCCCCATGAAGGAAATAAATTTTCGCCAAGTCGATCGTACCCAGGAAAACAGGCACAGCAGACCCTTGGGCCTTCCGCAGAATCTGATATACCTGCGCTTCGCGAGAGACTTCTTTCCACAGTCCCGAAGTGGTTCCTTTTCCGACGACAGTATAACCGTATATAGTACAGGCCAGTTTGAACGGCGCACCGTACGCCCCGCAACCTCCAAGGGGTGTGCATCTGTCAATGTTTTCGTCCAGTTGTGCCTTTAGCAAACGCACCAAATCTTCTGGGGTAATGGGATGATGAAGGTCGTCCTTGCTTCGACGATGGAGCATCACATTTGGACAACAGTCATCTAGAACACCGCCAGTCTGCAACCCGACTAAGCATCGCTGGGAGCAAAATTGCGCATCGCGATATCGGGCCTGGGTGCCTTGATTACTCCCCGGGTCCTGTTGACGACCTGCTCGTTGGGCATATGGGGAGGATGTAACTTGGCTAAAGCCCCGTTTCCGGCCTGTTGCTTGGTTTGAATCGGAGCCTGATGAGTCTGGCGACTGCGAGCGATGCTGTACACCCGACGGTGCACAGCTGGCCTGAGACCTTGTAGACACTCGGCGACCTGCTGCTGTTGGAGGAACCGGCGGAGATGACGGTGGTTCGTAAGATGAACTGGATTCCGGACTCGTGTACTCCATTGCTGTACTATCGGAGTGAGGAAGAGTCTGTTGCAGTTCTGCTTTGGGAATCTGAGAACGAGTGTGGTCGAAACTGGTCGTCCAAAGAGGGAGCTCTGATCGTGTGGAATTTCGCCATTCCTGGCCACGAGTAGGTGAGCGAAAGGCCATCAAGCACAGACATAGTGTTCTTGCAACAGAAGTCTTCAGTAGCTGAGAATAATATTCATCTTCTGGGTTGACTTCGCTGTTGGGATCACAGAAAAAGTAATAAAGCGTGCTAGGTGTATCACGTGGAACATGGAGTAGGACACGCGCAATCCCATTAGTCACATAGGAATACTCGAGTCCCTCCTGAATCATCACGTGATATTCCTGGACAAGAGTGGAGCAGGCAAGTCGCTCTGCATTGTACCTCAACTTCGCTTCCTGGTTTGTCGGTATTTTGTTTGATTTGACCATATCCTTCCATAAGTCCATTGGTCGGAGACCCAGACGGAGGGTGGAGACGGAAAGCTTGTGGGGCGGCTTATACTCGACAGATGTGAGGAGAGTGGTAGTGTTGCCGTCGACACGATGGATGCAGAACTGATCAGGTCTCGGGTTGTGTACACTTGACGGTTGGCTTGTATCTGCTTCAATAGCTTCGTTCTCGTTTAGGGAATTCGTATGATTGCTGAACTGGATTCCATCGCCGAGGCCGAACTCGTCGCGAGCAGCGAGTAGTTTGCACAACTTTGTTATTATATCGTAGACGTGTTCCTCCACGGCAAACCGCTCATAAGCCTCCAGTTCTTGCTCGCTGCTTATAGGCTTACGACCCAGTAGTCGGCCTAATCCTTCTAGCTCAGACAAAGATGGGAACAAACGCGGCGGCCCCCCCGGTGACAACTGCAGGTATCTGTAGACGGAACTGTAGAGCTCCGACAATCGTGCTGGGCAGTCTGTCCAATGTTCCAACCGTGTCGGGCAATATTTCCCCGTGGGAAGGGGTATTTTCCCGGTAGTCGAGCGAGATGGTGTCTCGACTCTCAGTGGTCGGGAGAGCAAGCCATGGGAATGGCGCAAGAATTCCACGAAAGTGGTCGGTTGGGTGCGCTCTTCTGCTTGCTTGCGTCTCTCCTCTTCCTGCTCCCGCCTCCTTTTCTCTCGTCTTCCTTCATCTTCGGCCTGCTTCTGTCGCTCTTCGGCCTGTCTTTGTTGCTCTTCGGCCTCTTTGCGTCTCTTTTCCGCCTGCAGAAAAAGAGCCTTGTAATCTGGCGAGATGTTGTCGGCCATCGATGTGTCGGAGGGGGAAATAGCTTGAGACAATCGCGACAGGTCTCGATGGGTAGGTGCTTGATCCAGGAGGCTGATGTCAGCCGATCACGGCGGCCGGTAGAAGTATTTCCCCGAGAAATGACGCAAGGTTTACGGTGAACTGGGTCGTCGCATTCCCCTCAACTCGGATCGCTTTGAGACAAAGAGATGTGGCAGCGACCGAGAAGGCCAAATAGTGTGTTGGGTTGGAGTCACCGTTCTGCGGCTTCTCGGAGCCTTTGTTGTTCTTCAAGCTGACGTCGTGATTTGGCGATTGTTTCCTCCATCCCTTGTTGAAAAAGTATTCAGCAGATAATCGAATGATGCAAATTGAAGTCAACAGACAACAGAATAGGGATTGGAATGGACTGTCATGGAGGATCCCAGCTTAGTCACCCCTAGACTAGGAGTCTATTGGTGCCTCAGGCATTAACGTTCTTTGGCCTCAGTTGATTTCAGTGTCTGTTCCAAAAATATACGCCGGCTCGATGGTACCTACGTGGGCCTCGTCAGTACATAGATAAATTCGGTCCTCCTTCGAAATACTCAGCAAGTACAGTGTCCGTAGCGAGATCATTATCTCAATTGCATCTCTCGCAAGGCCCGCACTCCGTCCTCCAATAAAGGCCGTTTGCTTCGAAGGATAACTATGTTGTGCGACATCGCTGTGAGGAAGGTGCACAACGAAGCTAGTAGTCAGCGAAATTTCGTTTGAAATAGAGAGTACGCTTACCTCTCTCGCTGTCCCTCCGTTTGACGAAACACGCTTCGGTATGCTCTAGGCTCTGTGGTTAGATACCATGCAAGCATTCCAAGGGACTTCATGGAAAAGGAAAAAGACGTACCTTACCTATCTGAGTAGTTAAGTCCCTAGTAAGGAATAGGATCTGTGCATAGGGCAAACCGAACTTCGTTCGCTGACACAACCTGCAATGATCATTAGTTAGAAAATGCCAGGAGGGCCGACGTCTACGAGGTATTTATAGGGGCAAGCCTGGCTTGGACCTGGTGGTCTCTGGCAGTATCAACAGTTTTGAGCAGGTTGATGGCAAATTGTACCATAGAACCAAGGAGCTCGCATAAATATATCAAAAATGCCGAAGAGATAACCACTAACATCAAAAAAAGACCTTCATTACCTTCACTTGAAGCTTGTGTAGATACAGTACCCCAGGGGTTATATCCGCCGCATTAGATGCCTCATATTTCAATATTTATGCCCTCATTCTTCATTGCTGATACCCGCGAAAAAGATCCTTTATCCAGTATTCTTACCCACTCTCTAGACCGCACTTTTCTTTGGAATTGAAAGGAATATCAGCACGTATGCATAATATTCTGAACGGAGATATATCTTATCTGGTAGAACAACCATCTCCTCACCTTCCCCAAGATCCATCAACCTCAAAAAGTTTGCGCTAAATAGCTTCTCATCATATACCTCAAATTTCCCCCCGATCCATTGACTATGTCGTTCCATCGTTGACTACCACTCACTAATGCTTAATTAAAGCCCAGCCAAGTATCCTAGCTACAACGGATTGTATGCCTCATCTTTTGACAAGCCGACCTCAACACTCAACTTCGCTGAACTGGTTATGTTCTGAATTAGTAGTGTTCGAGTTGGCCTGCATTAGCGGTGATATGTTAAGTCCTTGCATTCTTGAGGGCATATAGGCTATTTTGAGTCCTAAATCTCCACCGAGCCCCACTGATCACCACCGATAAGGTTAAATGACGTCATTGCTCTGGCTCGATCCCCAACGTTGATATTCCAACGTGTTTTAGAGATGGGCCGGGCAGCAACTTGACTTTAGTATCCGAGAAGGTCTATCAGAGAGTATGCCACGTTGGATACAGGCTATTACTAAGTCTAATGGACGGGTTCCGGGTATAGTTACCTTAATACGCCGCGGGTTCGCCAACGTCAACGATCTGTCCGTCGTCTCCGAGCTGTTGCCGTACTAGGCCTTACTGCAGCCTAAGTCCTTAGAAGGGGTATCGAGGAATAGATGCCAGGTAGAGCGCCGAGTAGATCTATACCGGGGTATTGGTCTGCTCGTAGTGGTTGTCAGGTTATAACACAGTTAATCGAGTCAAGTCTCAAAGGTAGTCACAAGTAACAATGTATGATTGAAGACGAAGAACTGAACTAAGTACATGAGGGAGTGTCCTTATATATCCTTCGTTTCTGGGGGTTGACAGGCTCCGTGGAGTAGATCCTACCTCCGTGCAGGCATATACTCCCAATGTGTCACGTGACTGCTATCCTTAACCTGCTGGTCGTTTTGCTGGTATAGCCAGGCACATATGCGTTGGTTTTTAGTCCGACTCAGGGTGAGTCATGCTCCTACTCAGTGAGCAAGATCACGTGTCCTGCTGACAGATTGATCGATTAGCTCTTGATGGCCCATTTGTGCAGTGGAGCCCCTTGGCCTGGTTGGTGCCTGATAGGTCCATAACAATGGTCTAACGTAATCCACTACCGAGTGACGCACACTACCGAGTGACGCACCCCCACCCAACTTCCTGAATTCAAATGCATTTATCTCAACCAAAACGCCATTAAATTAAATAAACTAAAATCATCATCTATCTGGACATGTCTCTCTCCTATGTCCTGGCTTCCTACATATTCCACATGCTCGTCCAGCCTGGGGGGCGGCCTTAAACCTTCCGAAACCTGCTCACGATAGTTGTTGATACGCGCTACTTGAGCCTCAAATGGCTCTGAACGTAGCTCACGAACATCCTGAACTGAGAGATCCCCTTCGTGGACTATCGTCCTTGTAGATCGGGTTCGCTTTTGCTTTTTCTTCTCGTTTTCAGCGCGTAAATCGCTCACTTCTTTCTCTAGTAGTGCGGCGGAATGCATCGTGATCTGGCAGGCTTTTAAAACCTGGTTGATAGCGGAATTGAGCGGGCTAGGGGGGCTCCTTGATCTCGTACGAAGTAGTGCTTTTATTGAGGAGGCTTGCTTTTGCAATTGCACATAGTTCGAAGGTGTTTTTGGATCCCAATCACTACCCCGGCTAGAAGGGGGGTAGGGGTTCGAAGACGAATATCAAGCCTCGAAATCACTCTCTCCGGTGTAAAAGGGACTAAACCAGCTGCTCCGAAGCTGTTTTTAATAGTCTCTGATTTAAAAGCTTCAATTCGTGCGAGAGGGTATGCTTCGAGGAAATCAAGTTTATCAATATGATTTATCCCAACCCGCATTTTTGCTTCAACCAGCCGGCCGTACGAGCGTTTTAACACCGCAAAACAGCCTATATCCAAAGGCTGTAAAAGGTGAGAGGAATGCGGAGGCATACAGATCGGTATAATTTTGTTTTCTTCACAGATTTCATCGAACTTCGGGGTTAAATGACTTCCGTGGCCGTCAAGTATCAAAAGCCGATATACCCCCTTCATACGTATAGAAGTGGTAGGAATAAAGAGCTTTTTTAACCAGCGAAGTCCAATTTCATCAGAGGTCCATCCATTAGGACTAACCTCAAATCGCCAATCGTCCGGGAGGCCGTCAAACCAGGATTCAATAAAGACTTTGCCTTTAAAAATCACACACGGTGGAAGGGCCCAACCAGTAGCATTTATACACTCAATAGCCGTCACCCATTCACGATTTCCAGGTTGTAAAAGTGCTCGCCGACCGTAGTATTCGCTTCTCGTAATAACCTTCGCAGTCGCCGTTAATCCCATCGCAAAACCCGTCTCATCAAAGTTATAAACGTCATCCGGATCGATCCCAAATTGTAGGATAGTTTTTTGAATAAGATCAAACCACTCCTTTATAATTTTTGGATCCTCACATTTCGCACGCTCGTAGTTATAACGTTTCGAGAAACGAGAGGAGAGAAGAGGACGTCGTTTAACAAATTTTGTAACCCAATTTTCGCCAACCGAAAGAACCGGGCTAGATCCGCGCTTTTCAAGAAGAAGATTCGCCATTTCTCGTACAGTAGCAGGCCGGGGGGCTGCTCCACGTAGATCCATAGAGAGTATCCATTTTTCAAGAGATTGCTCTTCAAGCTCAGTCAGTTTATGTGAGTTAGCGCGTAAAATCGCGCGGTTTTGAACACCCCGGAGGCGGCGGCGGAGGGTAGCCTCAGGCACTTTAAAACAGCGCGCAGCTTCACGAATTGAAGAGAATTTTTCATTCTTAAAATCTTGGATAGCTAATAAGATCCTACCCTCTTGCTCGGTTGAATCTTTAGACGATCGAGAACGAATTGGTGGCATAGTGGGTGGTTGAAGAGAGAGGGTTATATTAATTGACGCGTTTTGGGAGGGGGTGCGTCACTCGGTAGTGTGCGTCACTCGGTAGTGGATTACGTTAAATATTAGTTAGAATAATTGAACAACTGAATGGAATTTTTGGTGAGGCAGAATAATGGCAGGAAATAGCGGTGACTGAACAGACACTGTGCTGCCTGTTTTGGTCTAGTGGCACTCTCAGCAACAGTAAGAGATACGCTAACCACATTTTGACATACCGGTTCTCCAGCTCAAACTATGTCTGCGTGGTTCTTTACCATGACCAGATTCCACAAATTCTATAACCGAGATGAAGCTGGAGGTTGCATTCATCTATCAAACCAAGTTTGATAACGCTCCCAGGACCTATCCGCATAGTGGGAAAATTTTCGAGTGAAGCAAGTTGGCATCCACGTTGATAATGCGTTTGTTGTTTACAATACTATGAGTTCCAAGTTCTCCGGTCTCGCCCGAGGGCTCGGAATGGAGCGGAGGTGGTCCTTACAACCAGGCCGAACTAATTTCGGGCCAGATACCTGGGGGGATGCGAGAGTATTAGGAAAATGCACGGACCTTAGATGTAGGTGGAGAAGGTAATATTGTTTAACCAATCCTATTCAATCAACCAGGCTTTTCTTCAGAGAGGACAGCGTCTAGATGACCTTCTCACCACTTTCAACAGCCCCATGTCTAAACATTTAAACACTTGAATTCTAATTGCTACAGTATCACCACCTCCGTTTTTCCTCTCATATTTGTTGAACTTACAATAGGCAGGCCTTTATGTCTCCTGGACCAGTTCATTTAATCTGATCAAGATACCGACATCAATTAATTGAGAATCAACGGTAAGCCGTGACAGCAGTCCCTCAACTACCTCGGCCCTCACAAACAAATTGGGTGTGGTGTTGAAGTGAAGCTGCACTAAGTTTGCAAGTCTGAAGGCGCAACTACTCTAAGTATAGAGTACAACGCTGAATTCCGGACCGGGAATTATTACCCGAAGAGCACCTTCCGCCAAGCAAGAAACCCTTCCTTTTCTGCTTTCCAGGGTGTTCTTTGTTCGCAACGGCACTTGGAACTCCCAATCATTTTTGCGATTCACCTTAAGTCCAACTGAAAGCGACGACGACTATCACATGGCTCGCGAAGGCTTGTAGAACTTTCGAGGAGCAGACTAACCACGCATTGCACTTCCTATGCTTGCTCCCAGAATAGCAACCCAAGACCAATAGGGAACGCTAGATACCTCAGCTTTTTAGCATTTACAATGACCTACAGTGTGGAGGACGCTAGTGAATATCGGTAAAAGCAGCAATAAGCGCAGTTCCTTGTTTGCTATATAGAACTTGAACAGAAGACTTGCGCCTTTGCGCAATGCCTCTATAGCTATTAACGATTTACCCAAACGAGGCCGGCTCACCCTAGCTTCCCTATGGTACTTCGCCAGCGGGAGAAAATCGAAACTGACATCCAGGTCAAGAAGCGATGAAGGTGCTCGAAACACGGCGTGAGTGAGGTGGTGCCAATTTCGGTCTAGTGGCACTCTCGACAAGAGATACGCTACATAACCATATCCGGCCACTTTCGTCGACGGGGCTGTAAATCGAGGGAGGGTAGCCAATAGGGTTACCAAGTAGTCTGGAACTTCTCCAAGGTGGAGCAAAGAGTAGTCGGGAACCAATCACACATTGGCTTCTCTGATCCATTGTTACTCCCCCATTTTTGTTTTCAAGCGGTACTTCGTGCGTGACTTCTCAGCTGGCTGTCAATCGCTCCTTGAAAAAGAGACTCCCGCAGGAGTGGCAGTACGACTATCTAGAGAATTACCAGTCACAGTAACCATATTATGCGGCTCTCTCGGTCTTCATTATAAAGGTGAGATCAAGTGGTACTTGGCTTACAGTATCACGTCCATGCTTTCAGTGCACATCATCTGAATACAAAGTTGAATATATCATGAGTAGCTTTCTTGAGACAAACCCCGACAATAGGCAAGAAGAGTTATTCAAAGATGCCCTCCCCCACCTCGACGTGATGAATCTTCTAGTGATTTCGGTAAATGTTCAAGCTCTTTCAGAAGCGCTTTTTGGTCGCTACACTTTCGTGCCGAGTCAAAATCGATCAAAACAGCCGTTGAATCACGAATGAGAAAGTTGAACCGGTTTGTATCTCCGTGTTGGATCCCCAAGTGATGTAATCGAGACAATGTCTTCCGGCAAGGCTCCAGGTCCTGAGGGCCAGCATGCCGGGCATTCTTGATGCGTTCCATCAAGAATCCGATCACACGGCCATCTTCCGTTAGATGGCCAAGGAACCGGGGACCGATATCATTGCCCTCGATCCATTGATAAGCCGTGGTCTCACTCTCTAGATATGGGATCTCCCATTCGAAGCGAGCGAATTTAGCCACAACCACGTCATCGAACAAGGGGCATTTGACTTCATAAATGCCCGTTCGCAACTTTTCTCCTACCAGGATCTCCATATAATCCACAAAAGTTCCATTCCAGGTGTTCTTAACGCCAGGGAAAGCGGTCCGAATGGCATGGGCAAAATGAGGTTGGCCAGTCGCTTCATTTTCGGTCACCAGTCCATCATTCCAATCTCCATCGGGTAGAGTGGGTAGAAGTGAAACTAGCGAGGGGCCGAAGCACATATCGTCCGCATTGTAAAGGCCAGGGTTTATAGTGACGTATTTTATATTTCGATCATTGAGCAGGAGACGAAAGAAACTCTGATCATTTTCATCGACTTCTGCTTGAAGCAATTCGACTTTCGTTTGAATGAGCGCCATAGTGTCGGGCAAGCCTTGGACAGAGAAAGCGAATTTAGAATGTGACGAAATAATGATATTCGAATCTCGAAAGAGATCTATGGACAGCTATTTATATTTCAGGATCCTGAATCATGAGCTGGAGAAGCCAGGAGAACACCGCCCTGCGATCCCTGGCGCCAGGGAAAGCGGTGGGGAAAGGTGTACTAGTATTGGCCTTTCGGGCTCCCTGGCTGAACCTTAGCTCGCTAACAACGCAACCTAGCTGAATAGTCCACACTAAAACCTTGAACGAGGATAATTTGGTTTCAACACTAAGATTTCTACGCACGAGCCCCATAAGGTTCCCCTATCATTCATCGATCACAAAACTTCATGCAAAAAAAAAAAAAGGGCAGGCGCAAGATCCTCCTAGATTTGGAATTGGATCAAATCGAAGAAAGCTAAAGTGCCAACAGCGCTAAAGAAGCGTATCGCCAGTCACCAGACAAGCGCTTATGGGGTGGAAGTATTTGATTGGCCCTGATGCAACCATCTATCTTTAGCCAAATACCCAGGGTGTCACATCTTTCCCATTGACTTTGCTTTCGAAGCAGAGTAAGCATACCATGACCATGAAGAGATCCCGGGAAGCAAGGCATATATAAACCCCCAGCCCATTGTCGACAGGACCAAACACATTCCATTACCCTATTTGTTCATACCAACCTTTAAGGTGAATATAGACCAAGGTGAGTCATAAGAAATCTACGATTTGCCAAAAGACCTACTCTAAAACTGCTCTAGTGTCAAGCAAGATCTAGATAACAAACCCGGAATCACCGCCCAGATCTTCGCAAGGTATATATAACACTGACCTTCTTTTTCTCATTTCCCGTCAGTTGAGTCTGATCTCATATAGATGTGTACCCAATTCTACCGAATGTATACATGTGGGTGTAAAAAGATGGAAGAGTTTAAACAATGCGATGAACGCCTTGGCACGAACGTCAAGTGTTCCCCTGTGAAAGAGGAAAAATTGGACCCTTCTGTTCATATGTGCGCGCGGCATATGGTGAAACCTGGAAAGGACGAAATGCGCAGATAGGAGAGATTTTGAGATATTGTTAATGGACGGAAGGAGTCATCGAGTTTTTATACAAAACAAGCAAGGCCCAAAGAGAACGTCATGCTCTGCAGCTCTTGCGATGGCAATAACCAGCTCCGTGGCATATGACGGAAGATCTCCAAGTTGACTCTGAAATAAGTTGATTTAATTCATCAGTTTACTCATGTTTGTGCTTGCCGTCAATGATCTCTCCACACTCTCTTATATGATTTCGGTAGCTGTCCTTGGTAAATTTTCGGCGCCAGTGTAGCGGACGGCCGTAATGATGAGGTTTGCAAGCAGTACAATGAAACCCCCACTGTGGAATTGCCGTGCGAGTGTCAAGAACCGGTGCTCGAATGATTCCCATAAATCGTATGGGGTTAGACGAAAACCCGTCAAAAGATTCTTCAGACCTGGGCAGTCGAGGTGGTTTCACTCCACCGGTGGATCTCGCATTTCGAGATTGATGGATTTCAATTCTCTTGGCAAGACTCTCTGATGCGTATTGTTTCATTGAGTTGCTATCCCCGTGCACAAAAATTCCTGCCTCACGCGCAGCAGAATGATCAAATAAAGTAAGTCGACGGTGACATTTGATTCCTCGAGACGAATAACGACCAGGAACACTCTTGAAGGAGGGAAGCTTTGCTAAGTGTTCTGAGCGAAGTCCAAATTTTCGAATCACGTCACTTCGAAGGAGTGGTAGGTAATCGGCCTTCTCGGTGAAGCAGAGAAAACAAACGCGACGACAGGTGACCAGGTACAGGTAACCACCAAAGTCACCACAGCTGTCACACTCAGCTGTACGCAGTTTATCATAAAGATCTTGGCATGAAAAAGAAAATCCACTTCTCAGGCTGAGACATCCTCGGATTGAGGCTGGGGCATGCAGGACGATTTGCTTGTATTGTGGGATATGATCTACAACCAGCCTTGCTCGTCTGTTGACGCGTCGGAACTGAGTCATTGATCGAATATCAAGCCGCAAAAGAATCATTTGAAGAATTTCCAGAGGCACATTTTCCAACGGTCCAAGTCCGTAACATGGGACGCGTCGATCATGACCGTTATCTAGATGACAAAGACTTTCAATATCATCTAGCGTGTGGTCGATAAGAGCAAGAAAAGTATATGTCGATTCACTTAGCTTTTTGATTGCCGACATGATGTCAGGAGAGAGTAAGTACTGGTTCTCGAAGGTGTTTCGTCGCTTGAATAAATGACAGAGAGGAAGAAAGGACTCTAAGAAATTCCTGTATCGATTACGCGGAGAGACGTTATTCCGATAAATGCAGTGTGCCGTTGGCAAACAGACAGGGAGTGGATTTAAGATTAACGCAGAGGTTCGTAAGACTTCATACCCCCGAAAAACCATGTGATCCATCGTTGTAGTAAATATTCTCCTCAAGTAAACCTGCCATATAGGGATTGGGCCGGCGATCATGTGATTCTCGGGCATTTTGCGACTGACAGCCCCGCCCGCCTTTCTTCATCTATGCAAGAGTGGGAAAACTTCTGTCACCCACTAGATTTTTCCGAGAGTTCAAGCGTAACCACGGCTTCAATGCCACCCAACGCAAGCACCATATTATACATATTGCACAGGTCGATGAGCGGTTCATTACTGATATTGTGGGTAATGGACAGCCGGGAGTAGACACAGCGCACTTGATCCGCTCGGTAGTGAAATACGTTACATGGTGGGATGTATGACGGGTGTCCGCAGCCTGGTCCTTCTTCTTTTACTGCTCCTCTAAGAGTCTCATGGATTGTGCACAGTACCGCTTAACTTGTCAAGTCAAAGGTCTTTCCACATGAGACCAACCTGAGGTAGTCGAAAGTGTATGGCATAAGGCTCGGACTGACCTTGCCATGCCTGGCTGATATAAGCAGGCGGGGCTCCCATTGCCACGTGATAGATTTTCGCGCGGGGCAGTCGAAAACTAACCTTGCTGCCAGAAGGCCTTTGGGCGGATCAGAATCAGCAAACCTGCCATCTAATCAACCTAATCGCATTGTCTGGTGAGATTCTATATCAGCTGTTTTGTTTTGCGGTGACACGGAGGATACACATTTTGGTGTCTTATAATCTTCTAGCATTTTGAAGGTAAGTTGCCAGCACACGGGATTGTCGCGATAACGGCTTACATGTTCTCATAAGTTCACCATCTCTTACTTTCCACATGAGTCTGCCCAACAGCGACGAGATCCTCCAGAAAACCCTAGAACATGTTGAACACACGGTTGTGGAGGAGTTGAAAACCTGGCTGGACGCAAATCCACACGCGGAATGGAAGCAGTCTCCTCGGTTCAAACTTGTGGAGCAATGTTCGGAAATTAAATTGCGGGAAATCCTCCAGCAGCTCGCGCAGGTCAGTCCGTGTTGTATCTCTAATATACATTTCGTGCTGATAAATGCAGAACTCTAGCGTCGCTACTTTTCGGACATCACACTCAGGCTGGGAGGTGAAAGAAGGAGAGCTCATTCCCATATCTTACAGTGAAGGCTGTATAATTCGATATGGAGACAGAACGTATCCTCTGGCCAATGGAACAAAGATGTGCATATCAAAGAAAGTTCGCGTGGAGATCCCTGAGGGCAGTGTTTTGTATTTAGTATGGAAGGTTAAGAATTCGAGTCACTGAGAATCTGCAATCAAATCACAGCTAGTGTTGATTTTGAGTAAGTGGTACATTTTGTTCAAAAGAATAAAAGTGAGGGAAGAAAGAGTACTGCGGATCAACAAAATCAAGATCGGCCATATCAAGCAAGGGAGCAACAAAATCGAGATCCGTTAAATCAAGGACATTCTCATTATTCGATATAGAACACTGTGGGCCGACAAAATCAAGAGCAGTGAGGTCAAGAAGTGTTTCTTCATCTTGTGGTGACTGTGGAGGGACGAAATTCATTGTTGTCGTTTCGACAGACATCTCTTGGGCGGAGTGTGCAGAGCATGCAGCCGAAACTAACGTATTGAACCGGGATGGAACTTCATTGCTGGCTGATCCTTGTGTGTTATTTCCAGATTCCTGTTCCTCTTGTTGCGCTGGACCTGCTCTGGACTGATTGGTTTCTGAGGCCTGCCCCGCAAGAGAGTTTGAAGTAGACCCTATATCATTGGGCATGCAAGATCTCTCACTTGCCGATGCCGTGAGTAGCTGCGCGTCTGGAATGAATTCTCCAAGTCGTTTGGTACTTCCTAGGTTGTCGGTCTCGAGAGTAGGAAATGACTCTGGAACCCCTTTCTTACTTCTCTTTCCGCCAGTTCTTGTATGTATCTTCGTATTGTGCTTTCTTTTGCCCGATGAGCTCTGCCCCGGGTCGAGTTCGGCCATCCAAATGAAGTTGGCATGAAAATCCAGCAGGGACTTAGCCATACGAGCTGCATTTGAATCTTCAGATTTCCTTATGATGTCGATTTTTCGAAGATGTTGGATAGTCAGATCGAAATCTTCTCCAATGAGACCTTTATCGTCCCATCTTGAATAGTCAGCAGAGAAGTGGATTGGAGTGTTGATTAGAAGCTCACATGCTATCTGGAATAGATGAGAAGAATAAGGGTCCGTAAACCTCATTGTATTCTTCCCTATTTACAAGACCACTGTTGCTATGATCATCGGCTTCCATATTTTTATGGACCAATACACCGGCTGCAAGTTCCTGGCAGAAGGTGGTATGTCTATGCCCTCGTCGAATGATGTCACCGAATTTGTCAACATCATTGTCTGAAATAGAAAGTCCCACACCAGTCAGAAATCGCTCCACGCTTTTGTTCGCCACTCGAGACCCTGACGAGGGAATCGCTCGTTTAAAGAGCTTGTAGGCAGAGACAGCAACAAACCTCCGTAGAATACGTTGCTCATCGATATTAGTATCTAATTGAGCTGCACCTTCGAGGAAAGTCTTTGCCCTATTCCGGTCTGCTTGCTCGCTATATCGTGGTAAAGGCTCAATGAGTCTTTCCCAGAACTCAAAGGGGTTTTCTTCGAAGCGGGAGAAACGATCATGTAGGGTTGGAAGCACCTCGAGGCGATCAACGCTTTTGACTCGGTCATGGTTCGCTTTGGAACGAGTTGTCGTGGTACCAAACAGTCTGCGAAGAGGCACATATAGCTGTCGAAGAAACTCGAGCTTCTGTGTGTCATCCGCAACAGCGAATGGACCGTCTTTTGGAAGAGTCTTCAAAACTGCGATAACTTCGCCATTAGAAGGACCGCCTGGGTTATTATTTCGCGGGACCGGTGGTTGGGAATGACGTTGTTGGAGGCCGGCCATAATAGCATGATAAAGTGAGAAAGCAGAAGAGGCAATGTCATAGCTGAGAAAGAGGATGTCCAAACATGTGACCCGACTTTGGGGGCTTGGCGGTATTGCAGGACACTAGTCCAAAATGGGTTTCCAAAAGACCGCGCGAACTCCTAAATGTTATTTTCGGTTTAATGATGACATTTGGCATCCACCAAAGTCAGCTCGGAATGGCTGGTTCTCACATCCCAACATGTACTTCCGTCCTAATACGAGCTTCACCCAAATCGGTAGAACCTGTTTCTCGATCAATTTTGAGTTTTGATTTACGCTGGCTTTCTATTACTGTTTCTCTGGCCCATCCCTCATCTGAAACTTCGACCACAAACCCACAGCAGCGAGCTATGAGCATACCAAATGTTTGTTTTCAAATTGCATGACCCGCCTTTTCTCCTCCCCAGGCAGCTCGCGCGAGACAGGTTTTATTTAGAGGCCCAGAATTCCATCAAAGTTGTATGCATGAATCTGCCAAAGACACTATGCATATGTCGAAAGAACAGCCTTCCTCTTCTGCTGGTTCTGCCAGTGACTCAGTACCAATTCGCTTGCATGTGAGTTGACCTTCCTTCTTCATTAACACCGAGCTTTAACCAAATCAGACCGTGCGAGTTTGGTTTCCTCTCAGCGGACTTCGTATCAAGGAAGAAATAAAAAGAGCGGGCCTTAAAGATGAGATTTTTGACGCCATTGTCCTCCAAGATTTCAGCGTCCAGCATCAAACCCAAAATTTTGGCATCATAAAAAATGCATTCCTAGTGGACCTTGCAGTGCTTGAGACTGGTATCTGACGGGTTTTGGGGAAATATGGAATTACAAGATTCGTTCCTCTGAGCAGCGATGATCCGATTGTTTTGCAACCAGCAGAAGACCTCGACTCAAAGAAAGCTCTCTGTTACCAGTTCCTACATTCGTTATACTCGCAGGAGTATATGAAAAGACAACATCTCACAAAAACTTTAGGATTCAAGATGCACGAGCTTTGGAAGAATTGGTACGATGGCTCTCTTGAAGACATTGGAAACCGCTTGAAAAAGCTTGGTTATTGTTGATTGTAGTATACATGTTTGCACTTCAATGGACAGTTCAGTTCAGGTCAAACAAAAAGTCAAAGTTTGGAGGGGCCACTTCACACGTAATGCTTTGATATCGATCATGCAGTATTTTTCTCACGCTATCGCATGGCTGTCTTAAGAAACCAATCAAGTCCTGCAATGCTTCAGAAGGTAAGGTGCCAGAAGATAAAGTACCAAAATTCCAAGTAATCAGCGCTAACATTAAAACAATACCATAACTGAGTTTATGTAACGCATCACCCGCGGAGGCGCATAAGTCGTTCTTAAGGGAAAGCTTCTCATCAAGGCACGATTGCCTAGATCTGCTTATCAATTCCCCACAGACTTTAAGCAATATTCTAGCATCTTGACAAGGGCTTTCCGAAGGGTTCCATTTGCAGAGTGACAAAGCTTCAATTCTCAAAGTGAGCATCTCCTTCAGGGTAATTTCTGCTGGCCCATACAGGAAGTAGGCAGGAATCGGAGTGAACTTCTAATATCAGTAGATCATCGTCACCAGCGCAATATGCGGATACTTACCATGATTGAAACTTTGGTTCAATGACGAGGTACGATCAGTGGCGCCTTGAACTATGGAAATAAGCCCCTTTATAACAGCTGGCCTTGACGCTTGTAGAAGCCTTTTACAATATACTTATCTACACGATTCGGGTCGACCTCATGCATTGTCTTTCTTCCGCATCGATCCGGTCTCTTTTTCCGAACTGGGTACAAACCTTTTGGATATCGGAAGTAGAGCAAAATAGAGAAAGGCTGGAACAAAGTATGCCCTATGTTGCCAGCCCGTATACCCGAACCGAACCAGCGGTATATCAGCTTCAAAATACCGAAGTCAAAAAGCGTCCACCAATTTATAATTCAAACCAAACAAATAAGGAAATATTATCGCGCGTCGGTCCTTTCAAAGGCTATTCCAGTGAGTTTTTCCTCCAAAGCACAAATCTTTTGATGTTGCTTTCTCACCCTTCAACCTTTAGCAAACCGATCTCGAAACGTCTCTACACAATCAGACGGCAATACAGATGGCGAAGTCATTGTGCTCCCTCACATTCCTCCAAATATCCGACTTGTTAAAGGCAGAATTATTGGCGTGAGAACGAGGAGCACCGATTATTTTGACTGGCCATCCCCCACATTTGAAAAGATTGCTTTGAGTCGGAGAGATGGGCCTCCAATAGGTCTCTTACTAATTTAAGTTCTGATGGCTTCTAGTAGCCAGGGATTCTAGATATCATATCTTATGACTAAACTTTGGCGGGATGGAGGAGACCATTGGTATGCCAAGTGCGAAATCCTGGATTCTCCACAATATTAGCAGCATCCAAGGGTAACCCTAAGGGAACTTGTGAATGCTTTTGGCCCTTTGACAGTCCCTGATCCCTTTCCAACGAAATAGTCACTGCTATTCCAGGGTGGAGAAAGGAGTAGCAGCTGGCCAATGACATAAGGGCCCAGTATTAGAAATATAATTGGCTCAACGTTACTCTTTTAACATAAAGCAACAACGCCCTTAGTTACTAACTGAACACTATATAGAAAAGAATTCAATCATCGTAAATTAATATTCCTATCAATGCTTTCGGTTTGGAGGTTATCTATTTTGGCAAGATCGGTGCCGGTAGGCGCTTAGTGGGCCATCAAATAATGGCCTTGCATTTTACTCTGTTCCTAGCCCGTACGAAATACACCATTTCGCGGGGGCTTTTGAGCTTTACATAGTACCCCAGGAAGCCACATACATCAGCTTGTGGAATTAAAATGATTTCTGCGACGTACCAGCTCGTCAAGGCCATTATGGAATGTCAAACATTCTAGGATGTGAGTAGGGTAAGTACCCATTCAAGTATATAAAGACAAAGACCTCTCCCAGAAATCTCCGAAAGAAAAGCAAGCGTCAGATCAACAAAAATGGAATTCCCTTTTTGTGGTACGCTCTTCAAACCATCATGGCATCATTATAAAGCTAACCCAAGGACCCCCAGATCCTGATATATTCTTATACATATTTAGACGAATAGGGCCACACATCTATGACGTTCCAGATGGTCAGAAAGAGTATACCTGCTAGGCGAGGCTATATTAGCTAATAACCTACAGACTTTATCATAAAACTCGATGCAACGAATTGCCCTATGTACGAGCCTGTCGACGACAAATTATGGATCCTGTGCGCCGGAAGCAGCACTACTACACATTTTACACTTGATCGGATATACGAAGTCCTTCTGGAATCTGAGACCTGCAACCATATTTGGGATCTATTCGAAAAATCCTTTTTATCTTCGATTTCCCGGACGTCGAATATAGAAGAAATATGCTCGGCTAAGCCAGGTGTCTATACAGTCCCTAGCGGTAAGAAGCGTGTTATGACTTTGTTAAGTTAGAGATAGAGGCTGACATGCGATAGACTTGATGATAATGCGCACGAACAGACAGGCCTCCAGAGGAGGTTATTCTTACAAACTTATTTCGAAAAAATTACACAGCGATTGTCAACGCCTCTTTGCGCTTGGCCGAGACGGACAAGAACTTATGCTCGCTGAGATATACGCGGGTCTATCGATTCTTGGTAAATTCTCGAGGTCTATACTCCTAGGAATGATTGTCATCATGAGGGACTGGCTTCGAAATCAAGAGTTTTCCATTACCGAGGAGGGGGTGTTGACTAGGCTTGTCTTACAATTAGGGCGGCCTGTCAAAACCCAGGGCATTGCTAATCTTGTGAAAACGCGGGTTGTCCAAGGTGAATATCGTATGACTCAACTTTTACGGAATGGAGACCATTGGGATGCCAAGTGCGAAATGTTGGGTTCTGACTATTGGCAGCAACCGACGGGAACCCCACAGGAACTTTTGAATGCTTTATGTTGAAGGACGCCCTTTTACCATTTCGGCAGTATTCTAGTACGGTAATCAATAATGTCATAAAAATAGCCATCGTATCACGGTTGTATGGGCTATGCGTGTCTAGAACCATGTGCTTGCAAACGAGCCAAACAGACTAACTGACAGGAGATTCGGTCGGTTGTCTGGCCACCTCTCATCTCCCCTTCAGGCCATCAATCATTGCTGGCTAGGGCAATGTAACAGTACCTTAGAAGCCATGGATGCTAGTTCGGGCGCTTAGTCTCTCCTAAGTGGTTGATTACTTGTGGCCCTAGTGATTTAATATATTACTTTGTGGCTTCAAAACCCTTAACTGGATCTCGCACAATCCCGATTTGGGATTTCTATACTGTCACCGCTTCTTTCCACCGAAGGTGATTCTGGAAATAAGGATATACATAGGCTATTCAAGATAAAGCGAGTTTAGGAAAGACACAGGGATCTAAAGCAAAATGAACCTTGATCAAAGGCAAGGGATGGGACTCTTTTCTGTAAGAAAGGCCAGGGGTGGGACTTTACTCTGTAAACGCGAGAGATATGACAAAAACTGATGAACAACCGGCTCACAGTACAGTACAATAAAGTCAAGTAAGTGCATGTCCATGATTAGGTACAACATACACGCACACACACTTTATTAACGCCCGGCGGCTAAGCCGAAGGGCAACCATCTCTGATCTACTATACATGTCATAATGTACACTTTACTGTGTCTCCTCGGAGCCCATGCATAAAGCCTTGCAATATATGTCATCTCAGAGACGGTATGATACGTATAATTACTTGTTATTATAGCACCGGGAGTTCGAGAAGATTCGTTGCAAACTGTGAACAGACTCGTTCCTCGATAGTCTGTCAACGTTACGTCTGCTTCCCTCGTTATATAAAGGAAATATGTTATGACAGTAAATGTGCACCCCTTGTAATCTTATCGTCAACATAGACTTCTACTGCCAGATGATATGTTATCGACTTTCCTCCTATCATCGCCGACCTCGGCATTCCAATCGTTTAGAGACTGGTGCGTATACTGTACAATGTTAAGTTTTGATAAAAGAAAGAGAATTAGGCAGCAAATCAAATGTCAAAATCGAAAATAGGCCGTGCTGTAACTAGCAGTAGATCTACTTGTAGTATTTGGCATCCTTCATCAGAAGGCTCCTCTTCAGGCCCATCTTTTGAAGACAAGTTTCGATGTATCGGGCTGCCTCGCTGAGCATGGTAAACCCTCCAGCGCAAGCTCCAGACTCAAGGTGCTGTGCCAGCCCACTGAGTGTATTAAAAGACCGCATAGAAGCGAGTGGAATGGGGGCAGGGTTGTCGTTCAGTAACGATATTGGGCAGTTGAAGGAAACAAATCACAGGTGCGATAATATCAAAATCTCAAAGACAATATTGAGGATTTAGGAGACATATGAGTACTGAATACTTACATGGTATGATTCCGGGGAACGAACGAGGTATTATATAGGTCTTTAATGCAAAGCGTCCTGGGCTGGTTCCATAGCACCTGCTGATCTTGTGATACGTGGGAGGAAGGCGATGTTGTACTAACATTCCCAACCTTTTCATCTTATGTGGCGCTTGGACGGATACGCTCATTCTTCCTGATTCGATATACAGAAGCAATGCGAACACCCATCCCATTACACAATAACTACCTAGTAGACAAACATCCGCTGCCTGTGGATATCTCATTAGGTCTCAATACTAACAATTTGCCTATGATGACTTTGTAAGTAGTCCTTGGGATTTAGTAATTCTCAACCCGGTCTCATTGGCGAAACTTGTATTACTACAAGATCTCAACCGTGATTCCGAGTAAATTATTTATCGCAACGTTTCATAGGCGGAGTCATACGATTTGGTTCAGGTAATATCCGCTCTTGGGCATTTTGCCGCCCTGTAAATGACGTTCTTCGGCTACTTTGGTAGTGCCAGCTTCGCCTGGAATGAATTGAAGAATTCTAGTATCGAAGAGTAATATTGGCAGAGTGGCAGTAATGAGTATTTCGTTGTGCTGATCTCATTCGAGCTAAAAAATATGCTTTGCATACTGTGCATACTAAACTCTCAGTTTATAGTCCTAGGTAGCGACCAATCGTTCGTAGTGGAGTTGTGCTGTTCGTCTTTCATCAGCTTCGCCATTCGCTTTGAATTTTTTACTAGCAAAGCGGGGGTCCCTGGACATGAGCACATCCACCAAGTACCGCAAAGAGAAAACTGGGAATGCTAACATTGCCTCCCCTTGAATGACGTGTCCCACAACAGAGGTTGGCTTGTCTCTATGGTCCAGTGTACGACGATCTGTATATACACGGTATACATATCCTCCATTTCGATCTACGGCGTTGTACTGTACCTGGGTAGTAGGAAGGAAAGACCGGTAGTTTTGTCTTCACGCTCCTCGTTCTGTAGAAGACGTAAGGTGCATAATTTTTTATCTGTTTGCTACAAATTTTCGGTGGTAATTGCGCAATCTCGGGAATATGTATTAATACACCCTTTGCGAGAAGGAATGTTGTCAGTATTGGTTGGAGTGGTGACTGAGGGACGTCGTGAGGTAGGGTATCAATATTTCCAATAGATTACACAGCGGCCCATCATGTGACTTGGACTGACAATACGTTTCGAGATTTGGAAATTGCTTAAGTCGAACACAGACTAGCGTGTTTCAGAATTAAGTTTGGGAAAGATTCAAAGAGAGTAAAATGGTGAAACTGATTTCGAGCGCATCTGTATCTTGCACGGCTTCTATTAATTATTTGGAGAACTATCTAAGCCACCAAGGTACGAGGGGGTTGGAATGGGGCCTGGAAAATGTGGCATGAAATAAGCTTGGCACGGGTGAAAAGAAGTTCTAGCTGGAGAATTGGGGGGGGGGGGGGGGTCTAGGTATTAGGAAAAATGCGCGTGAGTTGGAGTGGAGACTGCTGTCTACCCAATAATATTCAATAAACACCCTACTTCTTTAAAAAAACATTAAAGTAATTATAATTATAATTATTCTAAACCCTCGCATTTCTGAGACAACCAATTGTTTAATCAACAACTGCAAGTTTGCTTGCGGTTGACCCCTCATCTTTCACCACTATGGGCCTTCTACTACTCGTCGACGATGTCTTACAGACTATGTGTCTACTCTCGTTTATTCTACTGATTGTTGTGAAAAATATCGTTGATATTGAATGTGCTTTCGGTCAACTCCCAAATAACCGTTGGTTGTATGTTATTGTTCATCAACGTCATGTCTCTTCAAACAGTGTCTTTACGCCTTGCCCGCGTTTTAATTTGCATTCCAAATAAGATCCCGCTTTTTTTTATCTCGCGAGTGAGACCCTAACATTTCTGGGATCAGATATTATCTGGCACTGGTTTATGTACTTCCGCTACGATAATTCATATACCATATTCTCGGCCGTTCGTAGGGTCGAATTTGTCTTTCCCACCAATTGCTTTGCATACAGTTATACAGAGTTTTTATTTATTCCACCGAAATAGTTTAGCTACTCCAAGGTGGAGAATGGAGTAGCGGTAGGCCAATCACACATTATATTTCAACCAACCCATCAAACATATGATCAAGTGTCCTAGATAATAATTGGCAGCCTGTGAGGGATAACGGGCCCATTCGTGTCTCATCTATCTACCATCAGATCATCTAAAGCCTGTAATAAGGCAATAATATGGCCAGCAGCCTTAGAATTTACGTGTAATTGTCTACTCGGGATCCAAGTCCGGGTTAAGCATTGTGTTTAAACAGAACATGAATGATTTGGTCCTTTTTTTTTCTTTCTGTACTCACATTTTGAATCAACCAATTATTTAATCACTGGTGCAAGTTTGCCTGCACGTTGTCTCATGCTTTCCACCAATATAGGTCTTGCACCGCTCGTCGACGACTATGTGTTTATTTACTAGATATCGTCGAAGGCATCGCTGAAAATGCAAATCGGCCAACTCTTAAATAACCGTTGCATTTTTTTTTTCTTTATCACCATTGTGACTCTGCGAACAATTTAGCTATCTTACAACCCCCCCCCCCCCCCCCCCTTTCAATTCGGTTAGCGTCTTTATATGCGTAGCTCAGAGTCACGCTAGTCCCGAACTGGTAACATGTCAAGTCGCGGACCGAGAATATAAAAAAGGAATCAAGGACACAGAGCAAAATATGTCTCAGATTTTTTTTAAAGTGATCTGATAGCCAAAAGCCATGAGCTGGTAGTAGCTATGTTATTGATTAGGAATGAGAGGGACTGATGTGGGGCACGATGAGCTGAAAGCGGTTAGCCTTTCTCTGTCCTCCACTGCTGGTAGATCGAATAGATTCTATCGCCTATAAAATCAGGAACAGATTTACACTTCTGTCAAAAATAGTGGTTTAAGTACAGCTAAGGCTGACAGTAGGAGATAGGAGGCGTGGCCAAAACCGACCGTACATTTAGCGGCTTTCTTACTTTGGTGCAAAGCAGCTGGGCTCCAAAAGGCAACGAGTATGATTCATCTCTGTGTATACGCATAAATTTACTTTATAATTAGCGATAATTCTATTTAATGAGCAGGTAGAAGTAAATAAAAAACAAGAATCAGGAACTTTGGTACTTCGTATATCCTCGCTTCGCGCAAGCCGGCGACTGGTGTAGGAGATATTGTTCTTTTTGAGGAGCAGCGCGAACAAGTTCTTCAAATGGTTGAATTGCCCGAAGAGCAACAACCGAGACTTTCCACATGAGATGCCCTTCACCCCGTCCATCGATGAGCTCCCACCGAAGACGAACATTGGAGTCCCCTCCAGGAGCAGATACCTTCATGAAATTTAGTGCCCCAGTCACCGTGGAATAATCCAGTCAAAGGTTTTCTTCGGGACCAGGTATACCGTAGACAACGCTGCATTCTGAAGAGTACCGGATCACTCCAGCAAATCTCCCAAGGGTATCTCCTTCCTGGACTGAAATGATGGGGCAAACCGTGAGAAAGACATCGTCTTTGGGTTGAAGAATAACGAAAATAGACTTGTTCCGCATTGTTTCTGCCTTTGGCTGCAAGTCAAAGAACCCACCGAGTGTAACAGCGGATGGCTCGTGTGACCCGCTCAATTGGAAGACGGTTTCCTCCACGCTGGAGAACCATGGGTTGGTAGCGCTATTCCACGCATTTTCAGGAACACGAAGTCTGTCCGCTACAAGCGACTGGCTCAGCCATAGTCTTCCCGTGAAACCGCCCTTGCTCTCCTCGACCACACGCTCTTCCAACTGTTTGATATGGAAGGCATATCTTTTTTCCCAGTTCCGGACCATCTCTACTAAAGAAGCTCCAGCTTCTGACGAGTAGCTTTTGCAGAAGCGGTCGAATTCCTTTGTGCGATACAAGAGGATTTTGTCAACACCCGCGTTCCGCATCTCGAACAGTCGTTTCCAAAAAAGACGGCACTGCCGTTGATTAGCGAGGCTAAGTCCATAACCCGCTTCCCTCATGAAGCGCTCGGTAGCGACCTTCTCGGCCATCGTGAATTCATCAAGAGGGCCTTTGGAGGTTGGCAAATCCTTTGGGTCAAGGAGTTCGGCGCCTTTTTTGATGATTTCCCAATACACGGTCTCGTTAAATCGAGATTGGATACTTTTGCTTGCCGAGAATGCATTCTCCTGCTTGATTAGCTGGACTGCATCGGGGTATTGCAACTTGACAATGCCATCCACAAAACTCTGAATCGCCTCAACCTTCGTTGTCACAATTGCCTGCTTTGAACAGTGGCCATATCTTCCGAGTGGATCGTTAAGCTTGATACAGTTGACAAGTATGTTCTCGACGATACTGTGCGGCACTTTTCCACCTTGATGGGTATATACGTCGGTCAAGGGTGTTCCAGCCCGGGGTAAGTTCATCGCTGTGTTCGCTTCATCTGTCGACGGGGAATCGGTTGGTATGTTTCCTTCTATAGGTGGTACGGCATCATTCATCCCTTGCGACATTTCTTTGAGAGTAGTCTTGTCTTTCGCCTTGACTTTGTTCTTCCTTTTCTTCTTATGAGACGGTGCGTCTAACCCCGTGTAGTCCGCTCTACTTCGTTTTTCAGGTGTGGGGAGGAACCGATAAGAGCCGTGCTTTGCTTCAGGATCCGGACTAGCTGTGGGAGTACGAAGAGGTGGTGGATCTGTTATTCCTACCTCCTGTCTTGTTTGGCGGACTATGCGTGTCAGTGGATATAGTTGCTCGAACAGCAGTTTGGGGGCTCACTGAAGTCAGAAATACCAAGTATGTGTTGCTTGATAGGCTCATCGCAGCAGTTACTGATTCCGCAGATTACTAGCAGCTCCTGGATTTTCTCCGCTGTCAAAGACCATTTCGAAAATAAAATTGATACGGCAAAAACAATGCCGTCGCAAAACAAGTCTGATGAAAAAGGCATGCGAATATAGTAGGATATACAACGCAGATATATACGTAGGTATTCGTATACGGGAGACCGGTCAGGTGTATATCTTGTCGGCGGATACTTCGGGCTTTTGGGCTTTTCTTACTTCGCAATTAGTATATAAACTACATGGTATTATCTACCAGGCGGAGCGCTGACTTACCAGAGCTCTTATTACCCGACTCCGACTGTGATAACAGATCGTGATTTAGAGAAAACCAGGGAGGAGACAGTGTTCAGGGAGCAACGATAGGCACTTTATAACGCAACTGCTATATACTAGAGCATTCAAGTGTATTTCAATCCTTATTGCAGTATATTTTCGCCCATAGGTATTTTTGTGAAAAACAGTTGTTACTTTTCCTTTCACTCTCTTACTTGCTATATCAAGAAGTATATCAGAGGCTGTGCCAAGCCAAATACCACAGTAGTCCACAGTATCATTTTGAGCTTCATAAATAAAGCAGGAAGAGGCTCGAAGCTTGACCGGGAAGAGCCGCCAAATTAGGGTAGGGAAAGGAAGATAAGCCGCCCTGCAATAGACCATATCATAAGAGATATACACCTTAGTGTAACAACGGTTCCAAGCAGCGATATAGGTACCTGAGAAATAAACGTGGTAACGCTGAACGAGTTGTTGCTTCCGGCATAAATATTAGTCATCCTACTGGTAAGGATTACTATCCTAGGAGTATAAAGCGCCGTGGTTTCCTTGCAATAGTTGAAAAGTATATAATACCTATATCCTGACTGACAATAGAAATCACGATATTTTACGCCATTGCAGTGGGGTGCTTACTGACAATACTCTTTCTCATTCGTATAGCCCCGTCCTTTCTGAACCTACTCAGAATTTTGTCGTTCCTCATTACGAAACACAAGTGCTGAGTCGGGTACAGGGACTTCGTTGGTTCGAAGGCAGACTCCGAATCCACTTCCCAAGCTGTTAGACTAATCCCGAGAATTGACAAAGAGCGGTCCTTCATCACAGACTCCTGCCTAACATTTGGATCCTTGTGCTGCTTCACACGGGCAGTTCGGATACCGGGACAATGGCTTCGTTGATTCATGGCCGGTCTATTCTTGTTTTTGAAGTCCCTGCATCGGATTCGAGCATGGCCAGCGACTCCGCACGTGATGCACATCAGAAGCATGGCGCTAGAAAGCCATTCGATGTAGCAAGCCTACTTCACACCAGTTGGAAACCTGTGTGGTTTTAATATGTACAACTGGGGTGTCAAATACTTCAGTGGTAATAAAATAAGAGAAGCGAAAAAACCCCCAGGTATCAGACTGGCTCTATTGGTATTAAAACTATTGTGTTAAAATAAGAGAAAAATCCAAATTTGGCCCTCAGGGACCTGGCTCTGGGATCCCACTTGCAGTTCCTGGGTTCTGGGCGGTTCCGGGGAACGTGGTTGGTGTTCCTGGGAGCCCCACATCCCGCTCCTGGGAGTCACTGGACTGTCCCTGGGAACAGTTTAGTTCCTAGGAGACATGCTGTGTCTATCCTTGACTCTCGACAGTATCCCAAACGATCTCTGGGTGATCGATTTTTTCATCTATAACGATATCACCTTGTCAGATGGCTTTGAGCTTGAGCACTGGTTCCATACGGAAGAGGGCTCCGTATGGAAGATGAACGCGTGCATGGACCTCTTCGGGAGCGTATATGGAGACTCACGGAGACCTGATTGCCAACCAAAACGGGGATGGCAAAAGCGAGATATCATTGGCTAGCTAGATGTTCCGTTTCCAGTGGATACTTGTTTATAGCTAGCTCGTTAAATTAACAGCTTCAAATCTTCTCTTACCTCCAAGTCTTTCTCTTTATCTTTCCATCCTGCTTCTGATAGAATGCTCTGGATGTAGAGGCCAAATATACCTTGCTTTCCCTGGAAGTATGGATGTGCCAGTGCCATTGGATATCCACTATAATAAAGATCGAGAAAGCCGCATAATGTGGTTACTGTAACTGGTAATTCTCTAGTAGTCGTACTGTGATAACCAACGGATTGTGGAGGGACATCATAAAATGGATACAATTACTTCAAGGAGCGATTGGCAGCGAGCTGGGGAATGACGCACGAAGTACCGTTTAAAAAAAAGGTGGGGGAGTAACAACGGATCAGAGGAGCCAATGTGTGATTGGTTCCTGGCTACTCCTCGCTCCACCTTGGAGAAGCGCCCCCAAGCAGGCTTGCTTTCTTCTGACAGAGCCCGCCCTGGGACAAGACCACCATGTATCTTTACTCGTACAGACGCGCTCGAGATCAGCTTCACTATTTTACCAAACTTAATTCTGAAACACGCTAGTCTGTGTTCGGCTTAAGCAATTTCCAAATTTCGAATGTATTGTAAGCCCAAGTCACATGATGGGCTACTGTGTAATCTATTGGAAATATTGATACCCTACCTCACAACGCCCCTCAGGAGTCACCACTCCCACACTGACAGCATTCCTTCTCGCGGAGGGTGTATTAATATATATTTCTGAGATTGCGGAATTACCACCGAAAATTTGCAGCAAGCAGATAAAAATTATGCACCTTACGTCTTTGACAGAACGAGGAGCGTGAAGAGAAAACGACGGGTCTTTCCTTCCTACTACCCAGGTACAATCGGAAACATCATTCAACCAAGCTTGCCTGCGGGCTGTGCGGATGACCAATTCTCTCCATGACAAATATCGTATTCAGAACACCAACGGAGGACCTCTCAACATTTGGGGCATGGTTTTTGGTTGTGGTTTGCTCAGTATTGGATAATATACGTGATTATTGTCTTGCAGGGCGATTGGCTATGAAATATCCATCAATGGTTGAATTTTCGATATAAAACAATAAAACGATTTCAAGTAGGGCCAGAACTCCATTTTAGCGAGAGAAGAGACTAAAGTTTATGTATGCTTCAAAGAAAACATACACGAAGACAGACATTAATGATTTTATGGATTTTCCATATTCCTCATATGAGATCCCGCATACGAACACCTGAGTGCATATTTCTTATTCCAAAGAAGGCTCAACGAGAGAGTCGACCGGAGATAGGAGTGTATGGGCAGATCTTTTGTACTTTTTTTTGCCATTCTTCCTTGGAGGGGGTGCTTCCAACTGCTCCGGTTCTGTAGGATGCTCCAAAGAATATTCATCCTTGAGAGTCTGCTCTAATATATCCGGGCTGCATGATCTGGACTGTCCATGTCCTGGTTCAGAATTAATCCGATCAACCGAGTTACAAGAGTTAGAAGGTAATGTGGCTCGATTGTTTCGTAAGCCAGCCTGCACTTCGTTTTTCGACTCTACAGACACGGTCAGCAGAGGTATGGAATCGGGCTGACTTCTCTTACCAAGGCCTCTGATGCCAACGAAACGCTTGCAAGTATCCGAACCTTTCCCGAGGATCCACAGCATTTTATTCAATTGTTCCCGTCGGCTTTGGCTCTCCTCAGATTCACCTGCGATTTGTCTGATCAATTCTTCAGGCATATGGAATGCGGTTATGGGTGTAAAAAGTGTAGTAATTGCACCCAGAAGCTTCACTTCGATCACCTCAGTGGCAATGTCATCAACAAAACGCTTGAGTGCAACCTGGTATTGATATCACACATGTTAAGTAGATAAATTGAGAAAGGCGGTCGGAACACGTACCTTGTAGTAGGCAAGCATACAGTCAAGTGCTTCCTCGGATGCAAAACGCGTCATATCCGGTATGGTTGTCTGAACAAGGGAGTCGAGAAGCCCTCGAAGATTGATGTTATCCATATAAACTTCGCAGGTTGAAAGAGTATCAACACCAAAGTATGATTCAAGAGCTTTACCCAAGGTTTCTTTTTGACGACCAGCACGAGTTTTTTGGAGTGTTTCAGTGAAGTAGTGGTTGTAGGTGATAGGATGACCTCGTTGATGAGGCACAAGTAGCTCTTCGCTTCCCTTCTCCAATGTATGTCGTACATTTTCCAGAGCTGGCAAAATGAACTTTGCAAACAAGGCTTTCGAGGTAGCCTCATCCGCCACATGGGAAACTGCCCGGTGAATAAATTCTTTCACGGCTTTCCATGAGGCAGTAATATGAACGCGTGTTATGTCTTCCCATGGGGCGCATTGTTCTTGGAATAGATCTTTCACGATCAGAGGATTGAAAGTGCCAGGTAGTTCTCGGCCTCTTGTCTTTTTGAGGAGCATTCCGATTTGCTGAACGAATTCTTCTCTTTTGAGAAGCACTTGACCTTTGGAGATCGATCTAGGCTCTTCACTTTCAAGGACATGGCGGAAATGGCCATGGTGAGAGATGTCATCCGTGAATTTCTGATTCAGATTTTGAATGACTGCTCGGATGCGCTTCTGGTACCCATCATCAGTTTTTGCATCTCCAAAGAAAGGCTCGTTGTAAGTGCCATCCACGGCTGCCTTGACTAGTGACTGGAACGCTTGGCTGATATGCAAAAGATACGATCTTTGCTCATCTAGTGTTGCACGAGGGTCTCCAAGCTTCTGAAGCTGCAACCTGCAGGTGTTGATCTTGGTATTTATTTCGTTGATCAGGCTTGGAAGTTCACCAGCAATCTGACCAAGAAGTAGGCTGCTCAGACGGGGTCGCAGTGAATCTACGCCCACCAGAGATCGAGGTAGGTCTCCCCATATTCCTTGGGAGAAGAATTTCCATTCATGGATATCCCGATCAGATAAGCTCCACTGGCCTTTCTCCGAATCCATATTCATCAACACGTGCCATCCAAGACGGAACTCTACATCTTGGTTCTTAGCAAGCGACACAAAGGAAGCCTCACTTTCAGATCCTGGGACTAGCATATCAGGCTTGGAGATGACGCCTAATGTCCGGTTGCCGGATGGATCGGCTTCCCGCGCTAAACGGAGGACAATCTGGTTTGCAAAATCATTCTTGGCGGAGACGACAGCGAGGATAACGCTTCGTGGCTCACTCATGTATGATTGGACAACGTCTTGAACTAGTTGCACATCGGCTGCCGATTGCTGTCGTGTTTCTGAGTGGATCAAACCCGGAAGGTCGACAATCGTGAGATGTGGCCGGTCAGGGCCTGAAACTTCCACCCGCAGAAGGTCATTAGAAAATGCTTTTCCGTGAGTGGATATCCCCATCGCTGCCTTTGCATTCTCTATCAAGTTTGCAAGGCCATCGAACCCATCAAGTTGTTCGCAAAAGCTGCTGAGAGAATGCTGCTCGGCCTCACTGCGCGATTGGTGAGGGACAATGGAAACACGAACTCCCACTTGCGAGTTCTTCCGAAGAACCAACTCGGTTGGGAATCTAGTGCACAAACTGCTTTTCACTGGAAAAGACACGCCGGATATCGCCTCAAGAACGGAGCTTTTTCCGGAAGACTGGTCTCCGCATACGATTATTTGTGGGAGCGAGACGTAGTGGCTGATGCCTTGCGATCGGAGCGTATCGATGGAATTCAGAAGCTCTAACTGCTCCTGAGTACACAGCCCCTCAAGTGCATCTGTTGTGAAGTTTGTCAACGTCATGGTTCAATTGAATAATGGACTTGAATTGGAATGTCGGACTGGATGCTCCAATAGTTATGTCAACAGCGCACAAACTTCACATATTTATAGTTTTCTAATTGAAAAACCTCTAGGTCAACACCCCCTTTCGTCCCAAAGCTCCTTGCGTGGCGGATACCCTTGTGTTAGGTTACAATGATCATTCGAGCTGCCAACCAACATAACATAACTGTGCGCCACTCAATTTCAAATCGGATAATCCCATTCGGGATTTCAATATCCTCTTTTGCCAATAGACTATATTTGTCACATTCCCAATATAGACAAAGATCCATTCTTTGGCTGGTGTATCTCATTTCTCAAGTTAGCATAAGCTGCCCATTTGGGGTCAATGTTACGCCGAGCAACTTGATGAGATGCGCCAGGTATTCCTAGCTGAATCATATTTGAGATTGCAACATCGTCACTAGATTTCAATGGAAAAATGCAGGCTGAATGACCCCTCACGACATAGAACGTGCGGCTTATGGAATGTGCGATTCAAGCCCACTATTGTATTAGATAAATGTCTAGCTGGAATTAACCCAAGACAGAACCAAGGCACTTTTTGGTGATTAATCAATACTTTAAAACCCTTGTGCAACCAACCAGTAGTCAATCAGCTAGGAAAAACTAACCGACGCACGATCTAGCATCAATGACTTCTAAGGTAATCGTGCCAAGCGCCTAACATAGGGTGTGCTAGGCGCTTGGTACGATTACTGTCACTTTGCCCCTAGCTTGGAATAATTGAGGGCCCGCAGTTTTCAAATCATTCTTCTAGAAACAGCCATGCTCCTGGGAACAACGAGATTTAGGGTCACGTGCATTTCCCAATACCCCAGCATCCCCCAGACGTCCGACCAAAAGTCATTTCATCTGCTCACTGAGCAGAAGGGTGAGAAAGGCTGAGCATGGAGTTTGTTTCTTGCCACGCGGTGTATTCTCTCACAGCCACATCTCGGGGCCCGTCAATTACGAGCTGATCTACTATCGGTCCATTTTGCGGTGGAGGCGTGGCCAATGCTGGAATTGAGTTGGTCGCCGGCGATTGCAGGTGAGGTTGCCCTCCCATGAAGTTGATATTGATAGGCGGGCAATTCCCTGGCGCGAGCATTTTGTTGCCCTTAGATTGTAGACTTTCCAATTTCTGCCATTCTTCCAAGAAGAGTTCTTCACGAACAGCGTCAGGGACATCATCTTGACACTCTCGAATGCCACCGCTTTCAACATAAGCGATTAGGCGTTTCAAATGATGTGTCCTTAGTTGATAGTGTTTTTTCCCATATGGGTCCTGCCAGCAATGCGGACCAAGATGACAAGACGGCGAAGGGCAACGCATCAAGTTGTAGACTGCCCGCCAGATCGACTGTTCCCCAGTTATATACTGTTCGGCGTCAAGTTGTTCATCCCGCTCGTTAAGCATCCTTTTGGTGACAGATGTCCTTCCTCTCTTGTCGTTTCTACTTATTGCGCTTCTAGGGGAGTGGTCGTCCTCTATATAGTTGAAGATTATCCTCAGCCGCAACTCTTTATCGCTGGTATAAAACTTCCCCCAAACGAGTAATTGTTTTTCCACGGCGGACCAGTCAATATTAAGGCCATTAAACCGCTTTTTCAGGTCGTGTTGCTTGCGATCGTTGATCGACACAACAATGGATGTATCGTCCGACCTGACCCTTCGTTTACGCGCAACTTTCTCCTCGATTACCTTATACAGCTTGTCCCTAAGGGCCAAGGGCCAGTAAGCACTTAGGGTCAACGCTACGTTCTGCTCCGTATCCTCTGATATAGACCGATTATTCACTTTGACTTTCCACTCGATAGTATACCGAATAAAGCTTAGGGGAAGCTCGTCGTCTGGCCTATTTGCTTCCCACTCGGAGAGCTAAAGCAGCTTACTGGTTTCTGGTAGGGTTGAAAGTAAGGGCTCGGAACTGTCCTAGGGGCAACGGTTCGGTGAAGGACTAAATCCATATTCTGATGGTGGCGTTTGTTCGTAATACACTGGAGTTAGGGCGTATTACGAGTCCTGGTCCGACGGATCGACGCCCTGGGCTTGGGATTCATCACCGTTGGGATAGAAGTGGTTAATCATCGTCCTCAATTTCCTAATAAACCGAACTTCAGCACATAGTGGTCATCCAGGGTTCAACAGAAGGGGACTAAAGGAATCCAGCATTTGTAGGGCAGGTAAGTCGGTTGGTAAAAAATACTTCGTCCTACCAGTATTATATCTACGTATGTCTTCGCTCGTCCACTGTATTAGTAGGGTAGTCGAGTGAACGTGGTTAGCTAAAGGGGGAGGTGTGAAGTGGCCAGACAACCGACCGAATCTCCTAATTGTGACTAAGCACTCACCTACACCTTCCCGTGTGTAGGTGAGCCAATGCCTAAACCCAAAAAATTCAATCTTCAATTTTTGGCCTCATTTTTTTACCACCAATACAATGCCGATTTCCTCCGAAAAAGAAGAGGTCCTTCTCTCAAATGCCCTCTCAGCCTATAAATCTGGCCAATTTAAGAGTATTCAGGCGGCAGCCTCTCATTATGGCGTCTCAAAGCACAAACTGAGGAACCGCAAAGCCGGTACGCCAACTAAAAATGGCCGTACAGCCACCAACAAAGTCCTAAATCAGCTGCAAGAAGCGTCCCTTATTTGCTGGATCGAGCTACTTAATTCAGTCTATATACCGCCGACCCCTTTAGATATTAAGGGTGCTGAAAATCGTATTTTACGGCACTGCGGTTCCGATTGGGAAGTCAGTAAAACATACGGCTACCAATTTATTTAACGCTTACCACCGTATATCACCCTCCGTACGCAAAAACCTTGAGAATCGAGGCCGAATTACACGGTGAATTAATTCATTGGTATGAAGTCTTCGGTCAATATCTTCGAAAGAATAAAATTCAGGCCCACGAACTATACAATTGGGACGAAACCGGCTTCTAGCTAGGCATTAGATCCCCGGAAAAAGTGGCTTCTACCCGCAGACAAGAGACTATTAGGACCGGTAGAATTGGCCAAAATATTACCGGTATTGAATGTATTTCGGCCGACGGCTGGGTTATGCATCCTTGGTTTTTAATCCGTGGTTCCGAACAAATGGAAGACTGGTACGACGGCGATACAGTAATGACCCTTCTAATTACCGTTATTAAACTAATATCTAAAGGTTAGACAGACGATAAAACTGCAAACCAATAGCTTGAAAGACCACGGGTTTTGAACGTTGACATCTGCACCCTTTGAGAGAAGGGCTGTAAGTTTATCGGAGGGAAGTGTGGTCTGTCGTGGGATGCGAAGCATCGGACGGGCCACACTTGAAGAGAAGATTAGGCAAGGCTATCTACTTAACCAAAGGACAATAAACATAGTTCCTTGTTTGCTATATAGAACTTGAATAGAATACTTACGCCTTTGCGCATTACCTCTATAGCCGTGAACGATTTTCTTAAACAAGGCCAGCTCACCCTAGCTTGCCTGCGGTAGTTCGCTTCCGGGAGAAAATCGACACTGGCACCTAGGTCAAGAAGCCATGAAGATGCTCGAAACACACGGAGTGAGTTTGCCAATTCCGGTCTAGTGGCACTCTCAACAACAGTAAGAGATACGCTAACCATATCCGGCCACTTTCATCGACAGGGCTGTAAATCGGCGGGACAGCCAGTAGGGTTTACCGAGTAGTCTATCTAGAGAATTACCAGTTACACTTATCATTCTTTATTACTCCGTACAGAGGTGGGAGATCCAATGGAACCGGCACATCCATACTTCCAGGTAAAGCAATATATTGGCTGTCTAACCCCCATAGGGCGGTGGGCTGCGTGGATCGTATGAAGAATCAGAAACTTTAAACGATACTAATATTGACGGAGTACTTCAGCTACTCACAATCCGGAGGCGTACTTAACTGACTATGTGGAATCTAGTGTCACCGTTCCCACTCCCCCCTATACATATTCGGGCCCCCTCCCGTTTCTCGTCCTTGATTCGGTTGGAATTCCTTTGAGATTTCGAAGTTTCCGATCCACTACGATAGAGCTTGTTTTTCTTCTCGTCGTATGTTTTGGGGTTCGTCGATTTAACCCACGATTCTCTCTAGGGCCTAAGTGGGGCTGGGAATAACTGGAAGGGGTAAGAACGGCCTTACTACACCAAATACACCAGAAAGAAGGAGAAGTAATATAATTCATCTAAAGCCTCGAGCTTTTAAGCTATACATTGTACTGACACTGCGCCCAGTACCCGGGAATAAGAGCACCAATCTGTGAAAATTGCGGCCAGACTCTCCATTATGCTGCCTCACAATAAGACTGAGCATTCGGTCAGTAGGATCACTTGTGAAGGCAAAAAACTCACATATAAATTGAGTGTGATGCAACAACCAAAGCGGGCAAGAGCGTGTGACGTTGGTGCAAAGTGTAAGTATCATTGAAAACAGAAATAGTTAGGGACTCGTTTACTGATTGTCATGAATAGCTGTATCCGTGGTTGAATTGCGCGTCTTCAAATCCGATCCGGCCAACGATGCACAAAAGACCGACATCACCTTTGCCTATAACGCTAATTTCATCCTCTACGCAACCCTTGACACTTCATGCCTCGTCACCCATGAGCAAGTGGCTGAACCGCTGTTGCACCCCATATTAACTGGTGTGCCGGTCGCCAGTGTCGCATATCCCGACCGTCCCTCGCAAGCAGGATACTTCATCTTTCCCGACCTGTTGATACGTCATGAGGGTCAATGCTGTTTGAAATTCCATCTGTATGAAGAAATCAAGGATTCTAATGATGCCGATAAGGACTCGACTTTACCTCTTCCTAACCTAACTGCCCGTTCTGCCACAACAAAGCCAGGCACGCCGCAAACATTCCTGCATTTCCGTCTCGAGCTTTTGTGTATTTTGCCATAAATAATCATTCAATTGGATTCGTTCCTCGGCCCGCACCCGAAACCACATTAATCCGTATTAGGTTACTCTGGAAACAACCCTGCCAAGCCCCCGCATAGGGAGGAGTATTATTGGTTCGTTAGATCCAAGACCCTGAGTGGTCCGCTTTGTGCCGAACTATGTACTGGGGGATGGCGTCAGACTGGAGCTAACCTGAAGAGGCCGCTATTGTATTTTAGGATCGCATGCGGATAAATTATCTCCCCCCAATCACAATCTCCCTCAATCGTCCTTCAATCGTCCCCAATTATCCCTCAACCGCCTATGTCGAGATCCATGACAAGGGAGTCTCAGTTACACCCCGGGTGTGGATGTACCTCGCATCAATCGATCTACCATAACTGGCCGAGAGAAAACGTCACAATACGAGGCCGTGTGCCTCTCGTCCGTGAGTTAGTCATGCATACTTTACAAAAAATAGGTGCCAGGAGTCACAATCAGCAAAGTAATTTGAGATCTCCTTGACGAGCAAACATCAGACTCATTACAGTAACTACTTAATTTACTATGCATTTATTGTAGACCGAGGACTTCAATTGGTCAAAGACGGTTTCTTCTGCTTTCTTAACATGAGAGGAAAGCGATATTTCAAACCGCAAAAGCTGTACAGTGCGACGGACGCTCTGAAACGGCTCGTTGACAAAGCTAAGAGTCTATCCCTTCGAGGATACCTTAACAGTAGCGAGAAAAACAGCCCTCGACTTCTTCACCCAATCGGCTCTTCTTCACCCAATCGGCTCTTCTCCACCCAATCGGCTGCACTAGAAATAGCCATCTCCGGGGTATCTTTATACTGCAGCAAAAAATTTTGGATTGCGGCCGCTGTGAAGATCTTGCCTGGGACCTCACTCGCGAACCTGCCTGCCAACCCTAAAATTTCGTCCTTGTCAACCCCAAGTGGCTCATAGAACAAGGAGAATAGTTCTTTGATCATCTCTTCTGTTGCGTAACCAAGGTCGAAGGTTCGGTCAATTCGACCGGGTCGTGTCAGAGCAGAATCTAAATTTTCCCGATGGTTGGTAGTCATAAAGAGAACACGCCTCTCCTTTGCACCGTGCCCGTCGAGCACGTTCAAGAGGGCAGAGAGAGATATACCGGTACGTGCTTGTGACCCCGTACCCGATGGAGTGTCTGTTTTGGATTGCTCTACAGAGCCCCAGGCCCGGTCGATATCCTCGAGGACGATCATCGCGTGATCAGGGAGATCTCTGAAGATCTTCACTAGGCCACTTTCCGTGACATTGGAACTGTTCAGACTCAGGGTGTAAATGTTCATACAGAATATTCCGGCCAAAACTGCACAAAGACTTGATTTGCCTGTCCCGGGAGGACCATATAAAAGGAAACCGCGACGGTGAGGTTTGCCAATTCTTTTATAGAAAGCTTCGGTTGATGGATGCAGGTACTCTTTGATATCGGACACGATATCCGCCAGAACCTCCCCGTCTAGTACCAAAGTGGAGGGGGATCGAGGAGGCTCTTTGGCGAGAAGATACCAGTAGGAAACGTCTTTCTCTGTTTCGCCACGAAAATATTGCACCCAGTCGTCTTTCGATGTTTGCAAATCGCGAACATCCCTAATTAGGCTTTGAAGAATGCTCCGGTTTGTCGAGTATAGCCAGATGACCTCGGACTCTTCTGTAAGAATGGTAGTCCCGGGCTTTGCCTCACGACAAAGACCTATTAGGTAACCTTTATAATAGAAAGTGACGACATTTCCTCGGGTTGGCTCGAATTTGATTTTTTGCAAGCCTTTTTGCTTCTGTCTCTTCCAGTAGAGTTGTTCGTTTTCCTTGAACTGAAAGCCACGAGTTTCGGCGTCATCCTCTGAGTCGGCATCATTCTGTGCCCACATTGACCATTTCGACTTTGTTCTTGCAATGGAATGTCGTGCGTTTGCCAAGCTCGAGTTTTGCGAAATCCATTTCATCAAGGGCGGATGCAACTCGTCAAATGAACTAATTGAAATCGAGTACGTGAATAGATACAGAATCCAAGTCGTAAGATTCCCCCATTTATCCTGAAAATAGTATAGGAGTTTGGCAAAGGATGTGAGAGCTGAAGACATGAATTTTGCAAGGAACAAGAAACGGAGTATGGCTTTGAGAGCTGAAGACCGGAACTGTGAAGACCGGAATTGTGCAAGGAGCAGGAAACGGAATACCGCTTTGATTATATGCGACGTCGACCTTGCCATGATTTTCTGAAAGATGAGGTCAAGGTGCAAAAGGCTTCGAGGGATTGATGCTGTCGTAATGCTATTGGTAACGAAGGGGAATCTTAGTTATATAGGTAGAAATTGCGTATCAAACCATCACATATCCTGCTATTTATTATATGGCGAGGGTTAAGGCAGGGCTTTAGCGGCCTGGGGGTGGAACAACATGCTAATAATGGCTCTATTCGAGACATGCTGAAAGTACGGTGTAGATCTCGGATATTTGGAAGAACTCAAGCCTAAGAGATCCACGGAAAAGTCGATTTCACACAAAAGCTAATCCTGCCCGTTTGATTGGTGGTCGACAAATTAAGTATGAGCCTTTGCTGTTTCAGGCCAAGGACGTTATCCTTAGGTGAATGTACAAATTTATTTTAAAATCGCAAGAAAGGAAGAACCAGGGATCTGAAGTAAAGCGAATAATGGATAATGGGAGCATTTTAACCCGAGAGTGTGGCTTTGAGCGACGAGTACAGAACATGTATAGCCAGTCTTAGGCACCTCGCTGTGTGGAATAATGATCAGGCATTGATCCTATATACTTTCCGATATAGAAGTAGCAGACAAAATGGTACAGATGAGTCTTCTTTGACACTATAAGCCATAGAAATACGAAGCATGCTTCTTTTTCTGACTTTCTTCCAATTCCCAAACGAGTCCCAAGGCACTAGTTCCTTCGCCTTGCAGATCTTCATATACAACAAAAAATGATGGTGTACAGACTCCGGTTTCCCAGAAACCCACGAGCCGCAGCGAACAATTCCACTTGATCCATTGACGTAGTCCACTAGGAATAGCAAGTCTGGACTTTCAACTGTATTGTGGTTATACATTGACCCGCAAAATTCTCTGAAACGCTTCACCGAGTTCAATCGAACAATATCCAAGGATGTCGGCTGAGTAAGAAGTGGTTAGTCGAACAAGGAACAAGGACTTCAGAGGGTTTAGCAAGCGAAACGTACTGGCAGCTCCGCTGTGTGAAGCTCTTGCGGCATCCCAGAGTTTTTTTTCCCCTTAGAAAACCATCTCCCCCTCAGAATTGAAAAATATAAGATTGGAGAGGCGGATGGTTTCATCATCTATCACGGTCAATCATGAGTCAGATGGGCCAATGTAAATCCACAAACCTACTAGGGAATCGCTGTCACATGTCTGGTCATGATGAGGCAATATCGCGTCCGCTTGACAAGGGGTTGTTGTAGTATTTTGGGGGTGACTTGGATGATCATTTGGTCGCATTCCCGGTGGTACCTCCTGATTATCCCATAAATCATCATCATAAATAAGAAGTTTGCTTGGACTCGTGAGCCAACTAGGAAGCCACGAAGGTATCCGGATCTGCGGGAGACAGGCCATTCTGTAAAGGAGACAGCACTGAATAGCTGCATGAGTGTAAACCCGGGTAGCTAAAGAAACAACGAGGATTCTTATAAGACACCATTTTTCCCCTTGTATGATGATCCCGTCATTTTATTCCGTGGCACCTTCTTTCATCCTAAGGAGGGAAAATGGTTAGTGTGCTAGCCTTTACCAAATCATTATTCTAACATAGATAGCCTACCTGTTCTCTTCTCCGCTCCCAGGCTAAATCTGCCCTCAAATTATTATTAGAATTGCGGGTGGATTCGACGCAATATCGGGAAGAAGTCCCCGCTAAAGATCTGACCTATGACGCTACTCTGGTTCTAGGGGCTTGTAGAGCTCTACAAGCAAGTCGCCACCAGGATAACCTCATCATTGATGAAGCGATACTGTCTGCAACCACGGAGACTCTAGTGGAAACTCTCGGCCGTTCGACTGTTGAGAAGCTATGTATTATCACTTGGCATTTCGACGCATCAGGTGGCCCAAGCGGGGGTCTACGCAGCTTCCTCCAAAATCCAAACAGGGATAACTCAATCTGGGAAGCCACCAACCAGTCATATACGATGATGAAAAAACAGAATATTCCTCTCTGGGAGTTCAAGGCCTCGCATGACTTTCTGCTTTACCCAGCATCGGACTGAGAGTTGAATGAAGTAGTTTTATGGCAACCGCTATATTTTGGTAGTTTAGCAAATGGATTTCTTTTTTTGGCTACATACATCGAAACGCTATACTCCAAACGTGCAAAACCGACCCTCAGGGGGATACTTTTTTTCGTTTTAGGCTAGGGATGGTGCGGGGAAACGATGAACCACAACACTACCCTCACTTTTTCCGCATCCTTCATTTTCCTAAATCTTTTAACCTCAAGAGCGCACGAACAAGAAGTTTCGTGCATCCCAAAACGTCGTCATGGATCTGATGCGTATTCGAGAACGTGCGTTATCACTTCAAATAGGGCAGCTAAATGACTTGGAATACCTTCAAGAGGTAGGAGACCCCTCGAATTAGCATGGGGAATTGTACTGACAGAGAAGAAAGGTTGTCGAATTTATTGTTCGCAATAAAAAACATCTTCCCACAGATATCAGTCAACCATTACATGAGGCATTTGGAAAACAACCTTCAGAGAGATTATCTCCTTGTTCATCCCGTGAAGAGGCCCTATATCGATTACGATCTGTCGTTTTAGAAGACATACAGATACCGGAATATTTCCAGCAAGTTATTCCCTTATACAAAGACAATGGGGAATTATTCTGGACCGGCGAAATATCGAGCTCCACGAAACGGACTTTTCGAAATGTTCTTAGTACTCTTTATCATTCAAATAAAAGACGGACCTCTGCCGATAGCATTCGTCGAGCCTTGTACTGCATGGCACTCTACCGCGTTATACAGAGTGTAATGGAACTTCATGCATCGAAGAAGTTCACAACCAAAATTGCAAGATTTTGTGCAAATGTTATACTCGAGGACGACGGTGATACGCGTGATGATCTCGACGATGTAGCCGAGGAGCTAAAAGCTGACTACAAAATTGGCGGTGTCTACGAGTCATACGCACAGAGGGCGGGCAATGGCATCATTTTCTATCTTTTCGTTTTACCATCCAAATTGTGAGCTAATATTTTTCTCCTCTTGCGATTACGAGAAACCCTGTTAACCTCTGGAAAGATATGAAAAGTGTTTGAACAAAACGAGTGATGTGGATAACGTCCTTGGGCACTACAGTTCACTTGGCTTCCAACAAGAGGATTCTACAACATCTGCAGCAAATAGCATAGTGAGCTTTATCACAAAACAGTTCAATTCGCAGGTATCCATCTTCAAATCGAGTGAGGCCGATCAAAAGGTCAAACCGACACGGAAAAATGGCCAAAAAAAGCGGACCCAAAAAACACGGACCCAAAAAACCTCGAAACGGGCTGGAAAGAACCGTCAGTTTCATTCACCACAGCCTACATTTTGCCAGCCGTCTGACCAAAGTGCCGAGACGACTGTTGATGGAAGTCTCCACGCTACAAACCCCAATGGCACAGAATTTCCGAGTCCAATGAACTCGCCTCGTCTGTACGATGGTACGAATCTTGGATTGTCGCATTCTAGTATGGCAGATGTGGAAGCCTCTGCTCACTCTTTTCATGAATACGAATCCCCTATTACGGCAGTTGAACCCATGAACCACGCGATATCTGGGGAATCAATAGTGTCTCTTTCGAATGTCTCCTTAAACGCCAGCCAAACTCAACCACTGGCTCTGAGCGGGATGTTCAACAATGCCGCGCACTTGATGAATGAATTTCAATTGGAGCCGATGACATATGGTGCCAATGCTGCTCAGCTAATGCACGAATTCCATCTAGAAACCTTCAGCCCGGCAGACTACACCAATGCTGCCCAGCTGATGCAGCAATTTGATATGTCTAATGGATACTATGGTCAGCAGCACTTGTGAGGAGGCGAAATTTTGTTTAATAAAGCATCTATACATACTTTAATGGTTTTTAAATCCAGGAATTGATTAATTAGCACGAATGCTCCTATCCATGATCATTGAATATCCGACATCGCCAATACGACCAGTTTCCCATCATCCTCAACATGGACATCGCATTCTTTCAAAATGACGTAATAGTGCTCCATGTCAACTTCAACACCGCCAATTGTCGATTTGCCTTTGCAGAAAATTGGCTCGATTATCATGAAATTGGTGCCTATTGGTATGTACCCAGGTAGAAATACGAGTCCGCCACGTCTGCAGCGAGCTATCTTCGGTGGGCGCCCAGGAAAATTATCTGCATTCTGTTCATAGATTGTCAGTGATGGTTGGTTATCAATCGCAGAGGCCCTACTTTTTCGTAGTCGAGTGCTACGCCACGTATGAGTTCATTGCAAGCACTGGTATCCGTGAACGTGGGCTGGAACGCAGCGGCCTTTGTCTTTTTTGCCAGAGCGTCTTGGGCAGTTTTGTCTGCATTTTTTTCCGCTTCCGTCCATGCCTTGTTTTTACTAAGAAGCGCGACGCTTTGTAGACGCAGGACAGCGGGAGAGAAAGTATCACTTGCAGACATTGTGCGTGTCGATCATTCGATTCTCGAGGCGGTAGAAATTACTAAAGAAGATAGATCCTTGTATTAGCAAACTGTTGGTTGAAGATATGCCTGCGAGACTATAAGTTAGTGACTCACTTTAATCATGACAACTATAAACCTACGAAGTTTTTGCTTGTGTCCATACTAATAGAATTTGGAGGGGTGAGGGCCGGTCCTTTTCGCGTCACCTGACCCATCTTTGAAGTCCAACACATAACCCCTCATCACGTGCAACTTTAGACTATCATGTGATTAATAGCACCGTTATTTAGTTAAGTATTCAAGAGTTCGGTTACGGTTAGAAATAAGGTAGATCGCAGAAATCGGAGTTCCGGGTGCCGTTGCGGAGAATATCCGAGTAGAAAGGCGAGGGGTTCTGGCTTGGCGGAAGGTACCACCGGGTAATAATTCGGCCGATCCGAAATTAAGTATTGGCCTCTGTACGGAGTACTTACGGTAGGTACATCGTTGCGCCTATAGACTTGCAAGCTTAGTGTAGCTTCGTTTTAACACTACACCTCATTTGTGAGGGCCGAGGTAGTTGAACGACTGCTACCACGGCCTACCGTTGATTCTCAATTAATTAATGATAGTCTCTTGATCAGATTAAATGAACTGGTCTATGAGATATAAAGGCCTGCCTAATTATAAGTTCAACAAATGTTAGTGGAAAAACAGAGGTGGAAAACAGAGGTGGTGATACTATAGCAATTAAAATTCAAGTGTTTAAAATGAGGGCTGTTGAAAGTGGTGAGAAGGTTGTTTAGATACTGTCCCCTCTAAAAAGAAATTCGGTTGATTGAATAGGATTGGTTAAACAACATCACCCTCTCCACCTAGACATAAGGTCCGTGCATTTTCCTAATACTCTCGCACCCCCAAGGTCTCTGGCCCGAAATTAGTTCAGTCTGGTTGCAAGGACAACCTCCGCTCCATTCCAAGCCCCCGGGCGAGACCGGAGAACTTGAACTTACTATCCTCGTTCTCTTATGTGGTTCACTGGTAGACATGGGGGTGGCGGGGTATTAGACAATGCACGGACATCAGAGCAAGTGGGGACAAATAAGCCAATAACATCTAATAAACACCATCCTTCCTTTTCTGCCAAGTGGTGTTCAATTTAATTAATTAATTAAACAATATGATTTCCTCGAACAAGTAAAACACTCACCCAGTAACTTCCTTCACGTTTGACATGCACATAAAGGGCAAGGACTGTGAGAACTAACACTGCCGTCAAGAACTGTTGACTTCATATTTACTCAATTTTTATCTAGTTTGTCGTGTGCAATGGTCAACACACGTCCAGGATCAACCAATCCACCCGATTTCCACAATAACATTTCTTGAAGGGCATCCGTTTCCTCACTCTACACGTTGAATCGGCCCCTAACGCCATCGAAAATGAGCGGCTTCTCAATTCTTCAACGCCGCCGCACTTAAATGCGTTTGCCTGTCTTGTTCTGATCTAAACCCAGCTAGCTGTTTTTTGGATTAACCTACGATATGCTGAGTTAGGGAGCTATATTTAATCACCGCTCCTAGGATCATGCTTACGGCCTCCGGGAGCTTAATGTCCTCCAGGAACTATACATTGAATCCTGGAGCACACCGATCCGTTCACGGAGCCTAGTTCTCTGGGAACTGTGGTTACGCTTCCGAATACACATGGGTCGTGCGGGGAAATCTATAGGGGCAAGATGACCCAAGAACCACTACAGGATGACTTCCGTAGACTACTGAAAAGTGGGCACGGCTAAAGCAGAGAGACTTCCTCTAACCTCGTATATGGAAGGTTACTCGGACCACAGCTTTGGGGCGCATCCTGATAAAACAGGAGGTATTGGCCATGGGGCTATTCGGAAATTAGTTTAGCCGAGAGCTGGCGTGACTCTGAAAAGCATTCAGAGTGCCACTAGTCCAAATCAGGCTGCTTGAGCAAGATCATGTTATTTGGGGGTAATAATGTAAAGGACAATTTGTCAAGTTTTAGGCAACCCAGTAGCGGCCGGGTTTGAAATCCTTGTTTCTTTATACAGTAGAATTCGAAATCAGTTTTAACTCCACACTCTTGCGATTTGATTCATAAACCCTAATTTGAAACACGCTAGTTCACGTTTGGAACAGTTGTCGATCCACGATTTCCAAGAATAGACATTGTAATTTACATGACGAAGGTGGGACCATGCCTTGTGTATCTTACTCGTACATGCCATACAATGGTAATTCTCTGCCATCCACCTCAAGCAGGAGGCATCTTCACCCGTTTATCTCTCTTAAATGTCATAATTAACCTCACAAAAGGGCTCAAAGACTTTCACCATCCAAGCTGCACTTTAGAATCAGAAGAGCCCTTTCCTACCGGTTTCATATTATTGATTGAAGGGGGGGCCTAGGTAAAACCTGGGGGAGCGAAGCCTTACCCTTACACCTCGAAAGTGTTACTCTACGCAAGGCAATGTATTTTACTTAATAAAAAAAGAGTTGATGGAGAACTGCAGATTTTACCCCCAAGGTGGTGGGTTTCGATCAGACAATGATCTAGGATTAATATGATTCGACAACCTTTGGATCTCCTTGGATATATAACATTGCCCCAAAAAGTCGAGCCTGAGTCTCGACGTAATTCCCCGATTAGGGGAAATTTGGGAACGAGGAGGATCCACGGGTAACGTGGAGGGGCCCCCGGCCATTGGCCGGATAGTGCGTTCGCACGCCCGAAGGGGTTAGTACCGTTTGCGGTACGGTACTGGCGGCGTATTGCCGCGAGTTGAAAGCGGTCGATGGGCGACCGCCTACTCGAAGAGGAGATTTTCAGGTCGAGCCTGTGAGCCTGGTAAAATTACTACATGTAGTAATTTCTGGCACGTCGTGCCATGATGTAATCAACATGTGAGCGAATCGCTCACTATAGGCCGGTAGGCACTGGGCATGGATGCCCAGCGGAAAAGTATATAAAGGGCCAGTGGGCCCGTAAATATCAATTATTATTGATTCTGTTGAAATTAAGTATTTCACAATGGTTAACATTGGTAACGTTGTTGAGGAAGAGGTGCAACGCACCTTTTTATCTGGCCCTCGTCCCGAGGACCAGTTGTTTGGCAAATTCTTTGCCAACGTTGACAAATGTCGTCTTTTGATGAAAGAGAAGCAAGTTCTTGCTTCTGGCAGCGCGGTGTTGCACGCGCTACAAGGAAGCCCGTCTTGGGTTCCATCGGATCTTGATCTTTTTGTATCAAGTTCGTCTCTCGGCGAGCTTGGCTTGCTAGAGTGGCATGAGTATCTTCGTTCTGAAGGATATTCTTTGGTGCCGGCTACTGTTAAACGAAGTTATTCGGCTACAAATGTTAGTAGGCCGGTTGTCCTCAAAGTGTTTTACTGACTCTGGCAGTGCTTTGAGTATAAGAATACGTCTCGTTGCACCAAGGTGCAACTTATTTCGGTGCTACGTGAACCGCTGAAGCATATATTGGTCACGTTTTGGTGTACACATGTAATGAATTTCGCGACTTGGGAGGGCGTGTACAGTTTGTTCCCAGTTACTACGCTCGAAAAAGGTCAAATGGTTGTCCTTTCGGCTGATTCACAAGAAGAGCTCATGGCGGTTGATAAGTATGTGGAGCGTGGGTTCACGCGTGCATCGTATGGCGATGTTAAAGTGCTGGATGAATTCCTTTGTCCTCGCAGAGTTGGCGATGATTTGACGTATCGCGTCCCGTTCTCGGGCGCGGCGACTGAAGTTGATCCTAAGTTTGGATCAATGTTTTTTGAGGTTCGCAAGCATGGAATTAAGCTGATTCGCAGGTGTGTTACAAGTGATCCTGGATCGGATTCCTAGTATATGGAATGAGTGTTCGTTATGTTCTCGAACTTGGTTGTTTAAGTTTACGTTAGTTCAATATATATATATTGAATGTATTATGATTTTGGGGGGCGAAGCCCGATCTTTACAGAAGAGTATATTCTACCCTTTTCACAAATTCAATTTGATACTAATTGAGATTATATTACAGAAAATCTGGGGGGCCCCAGGCTCTGCCTGGGGGGCGAAGCCCGATCCTACGAAAAGAGTATACTCTACCCAAGGTGATGTTCGTTCACGTGATGAGCGCGAGATAAGAGATAGCGAGGAGATAAGAGAAGGGTAATGGGCTACGCCCATTGGTAAGTTTTTGGGCAAAGGGTGCCCCACCCTTTACTATAACATTGCCCCAAAAAGTTGAGCCTGAGTCTCAACGTAATTCCCCCTTTGGGGGAAATTTGGATACCGGAGGGGCCCGCAGAGAGCGGGAGGATCCGCCGGCCATTGGCCGGAAGAGCGTAAGCTCTGCCCGAAGGGGTTAGTACCGTTTGCGGTACGGTAATGGCGGCGTATTGCCGCGTGTTGAAAGCGGTCGGGTGGCGACCGCCTACTCGAAGAGGAGATTTTCGTGGCGAGCCCGAAAGCCTGGTATAATTACCGCATGCGGTAATTTCTGGCACGTCGTGCCTAAGTCACCACGTGATGTTATCATTAAGATAAAAGGATGGGTATACCCCTCCGTGTAGATGTACATTTATATTTTGGATAACAAAATGTATGGTCGATTTCGAGCGCGCTCTGTGCGCGAACAGCCGGAGGCGTCCTCCCGCGTGTCGGCCTCTTCATCCCGAACGGGAAAAAGCTCTTCAGTGACTTCAGTTGATACTGAAACTCGTCTGCGCCATCGATGGGTCTTTTTGACCTATTCTCGATGCTCCCTTGAGTCGAAAGACGAATTCGAAGAACATTTTAGCGGTATGCTACAACGTAACCACGTGACGATGGGGGCGACATACTATGGTTGTCGTGAGAACCACGAAACCGAAGGGCTACGATACCACGTGTTGGTGAGACTTGAAAAGCAACCCAATTGGAGTTGTGAGTTTATGAAATCCGCGTTTTCTTTGGAAGGCGTCGTATATGATTGGTTTGGTATTTCTATTTCCCCGTCCAGGGCGGAGGTTCCGATTTTCATTGAAAAATGTGTTTATTCTATGGAAATGTCTGAGGCTGGCGATTGCTTTGGCCAACGCCCTATATTGTCGGTGGAACGGTGGAAACTGCGGCAGCGTGTATTTGATGAAGGCAGAGTGGCAGGGTTGGAAGAGGTGTCTTCTGGAGATTGTTCCAATGATGTTGAGTCACGACATCATGGTCCGGTCGTGTCGTCTTACGATAAAATGAGGGTTTCATTTGTGGTACAAGACGTATAAGAGTGGCCTCTCAACTATTGATGAATATGTTTTGTTAATTCTATTTATTTGAAGTTATTCTCATTATAAAGAGATTATGTTATTGTTGGGGGGCCCCAGGCTCTGCCTGGGGGGCGAAGCCCGACTGTGCTAAAGTAAGTGTATCTTACGCAATGTATGTTCAGTTAATTAGTGATTGATATTATGTTCTAGTTGGGGGTGCCCAAGCTCTGCTTGGGGGTCGAAGCCCTTTGTTACGGAAGTGAGTACACTTTACACAATGTATGTTCAATTATATATTGATTGAGAGTATAGATATATATATATATTTCGATTTGGGGGGTATGCCCCCCAAACACAAGCTTTATCCCTTAATAAAAGGCAGTACAGTTTACGCAATTTATACTCAATCAATTAATGATTGAGATTATTCGTCACGAATTGGGGGCTTGCCCCCCAAATCAAGCCTTGCGTTTGAAGAGCTTGCGTTTGAAGAGTTACTTCATTCAGAGTATGGGTTTTCACGTGATGAAAAAGATAAGATAACGAGCGACAGCGAGTGTCTTGAACGTGAGTGAGAAGTGAAAGCGGAACATGTGATGTTCCGTAAGGATAGCGAACGTGAGTGAGCGGTATGATTGGAAGAGCTTTTTGGGAGAAGTGGCCCCACTTCTACTATAACATTGCCCTAAAAAGTCGAGCCTGAGTCTCGACGTAATCCCCCGATTAGGGGAAATTTGGGAATAGGGAGGATCCACGGGTAACGTGGAGGGGCCCCCGGCCATTGGCCGGATAGTGCGTTAGCACGCCCGAAGAGGTTAGGACCCGATACGGTACGGTAATGGCAGTGTACTGCCATGGTGTAAAAGCGGTCGAGTAGCGGGACCGCCTACCAGAAAGCGTAGAATACGATAACAGGCTTAGCGAGTTTGAGGAGTCTGAGAAAACTACCCAGTCGGATAATTCTTGGCACATGGTGCCACGATCACGTCGTGGCATTATCGATAAGATAAATAGTGGGTGTACCCCTCTTATTCATTGTTAAATATTATTTTGGGTAGCAAAATGTACGGTGGATTTCGGGCGAACTGTGTGAGCACACCTTCGCAGACGTCGTCCCGTGTGTCGGGTTCGTCTTCCCGGAAGGGTGTGAACACCACGTTGGTGTCTTCAGTTGATACTGAAGCAAGGATACATCATCGGTGGGTCTTTGTGACCTATTCTCGATGTGTCATTCATTCGAGAGTTGAGTTTGAAAAACTATTCCGTCGGAGTTTGGAAAGGAACGATGTTCCAGTGGCCCGGTATTATAGATGTCGTGAATGACACGAACCGAAGGGGTTCACTTTCATGTTTTGCTCAATTTTAGCAAACAACCCAACTGGAGTTCCAAGCATGTAACGTCTGCCTTATTTGTGTAAGGCAACGAGTGTGAATCGTTTTACTTAAATAAACCTCGGCGGAAGCAGAAGCTTTCTCTGTTTATTGAGGATCATGTGAAGCGCTGTGAAAAGGAGAAGGGCGGCGATTGTTTTGGAAAGCGCCCTGAGTTGTCTGTTGAGAATTAATAGGAGTGCTAGCGTGTGTTGGATAAGGCAGCGCTTGGGAAGATCAGGGAAGAGTTTCCCGATGTTTTCTACAGGTGTCTCGGTGACAACAGGTTAGAGCCGCAAGATCCGGCGGTAGTTGGTACGATAAATTAAAGATTTTATTCTGCATGGACTATTGGTATGTTCCTGTTTAGTAAATGATAAAGGCAACGTGGTGTTGGAGCGTACGATGAGTTGATTTCCCATGTTGCAGGCTCTTCGGGCCGGGAGATGAAATCGTCACGATATGGGCTCTGTGTCATCTCTACAGTACGATGGCAGTCCTAGGAGGGTCCATGCTCGCTTCCCTAAGTACCGGATTTCCTTCGGACTTGGTAACATATGAGAATCGCAGTGGATTCAGAAGCCAAAGCTAGAGGCAAACAAGTTGCGTACCAGGATAGGTTCTCTATGGCGTAACTACAGCCTTCTTTGGATACAAAAGAGTGTGGGCGAAGGTTGCGCGTGACAAATAGATCAAGATATGAGAATGAAAGATGAGCTTGCCAGATTGATAGGATTCTCTTTTTGTTTGATCTGTTTGCACGATGGGCTCCATTGGTGTGTACAAGAAATTACGGTATTATAATAATGACTCATTGTGGTTACCAGTGAATACAATACAGCCCTACATGGATTGACCAGTGAAGAGCTAAAATTAGATTAGCCTGTTTCCACTTAGGGTCCGAGAATTAAATCGTAAGAGTTTAGAGTTAAAACTGATTTCGAATTCCACTGTACTAACTCAAGAATGCTTCTATACTTACCCAATTCTGAAAATAAAACTAGCAAGAGGTCTTAAAACCTATCAGAAAGTCTTAAGGTCTAGTTTTGTTTTCGTTTTTTTATTCATTATTTCTTTTAGAACAATACAGTAATACAGTAAATGATGTCTTGCATCTTTTACATAGATCAGCTTATCGTGAGAGCAGAAATTTGAGGCATTTAAGCAGGGGCATTGAAAATGAGGCGTACAGTGCGGCTGCTTTAACCTGAGGGTGTTCCAACAAGTTTCGATTGATGGTGAAAAAAGTCATTTTTTGATCTGATGAATCATTCTTACTTTTCTTTTTCTGCTGGGAAGCTTGATCGTGCCCATCATCTTTGCCATCAACGCCCGCCCAAACCCGGGGAACTCAATCAAAGACTACCACGATCACGCAAGCCCTTTGCCTATAAATACCTCAACCCGACGTCGGGTCTTCTGGTAATGCCTAAACAAATTACCGTTGCCGTTCCTATCAATGAAGGCAGTTTTTGTATCGCCCACAGAGTCTATTATTGGCGAGGGATTCAACTACGCAGGTATGTCTCTTTACCCTCTTATGAGCTTTAAGCACTGATCCCAGACCACTTTAGCCTCCAGGAATAGAAGCATGATTATACACACGTGACACATAAATCAGTACTTCGAGAACAGTGGCAGAGAACTGACTCGGAAAGGACGGCGGGCGACTCTGATTAAAGTAAAGAAAAGCGCTAACCGCTTTGGGCTAGTATGTATACCTGAAACGTGAGACTTGAGTCATTGTCAGGAAGAAAGCATTTTCCGAATCCCGGGATCTGCTGGCAGAAAGCTGATCGGACCAGATCGTCAGCCGGGCTCTGACGCACTTGCGTCAAGGCATGACTTACCCTTTTCAACAAATCGATGGCCGACCACAGCTCTCCAAACTACAAAGATCTTTACCTTAAGGCAGAAGAAGGACGGAAGCAGGCGGAAGAACGCGAGAGGCAGGCGGAAGAACGCGAGAGGCAGGAAGCAGAAAGGAGGCGACAAGCAGAAGAACGCAACCAACAGGCCTCTTTCACAGAGCTTTTGCAGCACTGCCATGACCTTCTCTCCCGCCAGTTGCGAGTCGAGACACCGTCTCGCTCAACCACTGGCAAAATACCCCTTCCGACCGGGAAAGACTGCCCAACTCGATTGGAACATTGGTCCGACTGCCCAGAGCAGCTGCTTCGTGTCTACAAGTCTGTCTACCAGTATCTGCAGTCGGAGTTAGGGCAAGCGCCACGCTTATTTTCGTCTCTACCGGAGTTAGAAGGACTTGGCCGTCGGTTTGCTCGCAAACCACTCAGTAGCGAACAAGATCTCGAGGCATATGAGCGGTTTGGAGTGGAAGATCATGTCCTTGATATAATAGCCGAGTTGTGCAAAATACCGGCGGCCTGTGACGAGTTTGGCCTCGGTGATGGAATCCAGTTCAGCAATCACACAAATTCTTTGAGCAGGAATGAAACCTTTGAAGCGGATACAAGCCAGCTATCAAGCACGCCTCACCCACGACCAGACCAGTTCTGTATTCATCGTGTCGACGGCAACACGACTACCGTGCTGACAACCGTCGAGTACAAGCCGCCTCACAAACTGCCTGTCGCAACTCTTCGCATGGGACTACGACCAATGGAGCTGTGGAAGGAAATGGTCAGATCAAATAAAATACCCACCAACCAGGATGCGAAGCTAAGGTACAATGCAGAGCGGCTTGTCTGCTCTGCTATCGTCCAAGAATACCATGTGATGATTCAAGAAGGGCTCGAATATTCCTATCTGACAAATGGAATTGCCCGTGTCCTACTTCGTGTTCCACGAGACGATCCCACCACGTTATACTACTTTTTTTGTGATCCCCATAACGAAGTGGACATAGCAGGCGATATAAATCATCAGCTATCGAAGACATCTGTTGCGAGGGTATTATGCCTTTGTCTGATGGCCTTCCGTTCACCCACCCGCGGGCAAGAGTGGAGAAATCGCTTACGTCCCGATCTTCATATATGGGAAACTAGCTTTGAACATACGCGATCGCAAATCCCGAGAAGTGAATTACAGCAGGTTCCTCACTCCGACAGTACTAACCCCGAGTTCCCGAGCCCTGGATCTGGTTCGTCCTATGAATTACCGTCGTCATCTCCGCTGCCGTCTCCCTCAGAGGGCCGTCGAGTGCCTACACGCTCTCAGCCCAGCTGTGCACCTTCGGAGATCCGACCGCGTTCACGGTCACCTAACTCGTCCGGCTCCGACACCAATCAAACATCTGGCCATAAGCGGAGGATCAGTCAAGTCACGCCTTCACCGTCTCGACGATCAGATCGCCAGCAAGAGTCAGTGCATGATTACGAAGATCATTCCCGACGCCACGCTGCACAATTTTGCACACAGCGATGTTTACTCGGCCTGCAGACTAGGAAATCCCTAGATGAGCTGTGTCCAAACGTGGACTATCATCGCCGGAGCCAATATGACCCGACTCAGCATCCCATCTCGGCTGAAGATTTGATGCTTTCACTCAAGGGCCAATTGGACGAAGATATCGATCGTTGCATTCATCTTGGCGGTTGTGGCTCCTACGGAGCCCCGTTCAAATTGACTTGCACGAAATATGGTTACACGGTTATCGGTAAAGGCACCACTTCGGGGTTGTGGAAAGAAGTTTCAAGCGAAGCGCAGGTATATCAGACCCTGCGCAAGGCTCAGGGATCTGCTGTTCCTGTCTTTTTAGGAACGATTAACTTAGCAAAAATCTACTTTCTGCATGGTGCTGGACAGATCCGCCATATGCTCGTAATGGGCTGGGGCGGTAAGTGCACGGCCACGATGGAGCTGACGCAACGGCTTCACCGCGAAATTCACAAATCGAACAAGGAAATAGAAGCTCTCGGGATACTACATGAAGACCTCAGGCGAGACAATGTCCTTTGGAGTGAAGAGCTCGGGCGTGCTCTAATCATCGACTTTCACCGTTCTACTCTGAGACGCCGACCGGCTAAGCAGCGACCGGGGGCCGCAAAACGACGACTATGTCGAGTGGAGGCAGGAGATGCAAAACGTCTTCGGGTTTCGTGATAAGGAAATCTATTTTCTACCTGTTAAATTAGCGATTTTATGACTCAAATTCCCATAGTAACCTATATATTCCGAGGCGAAGTGCGCTCCTTATTCATGTGCATCAACACCACCCGACTTTTATGTGAGCCGGACCTTCGAACTTGAGAACTTTTCGGAATAATATGACAATTATAAGAGCATTGCAGACTGTCATTCTCATCTACCGCCTGAGCGTTCTCTGTACGCTCATCGCTGGAAAAGCAAGACTGAGAAGGCCCAGAAGGCTCATTTACCACGGGAGGCTCAGATAAAGAATATCCTTTGCGGACGATCTTCACTACCTGCTTCAGTTGAACCATGTCGGGGCCTGGTTGGGAATGGTCTTGGAAGATGGTGACAGGGAGAAGAAGTCTTTTTCGATGTCATGTGTTCTAAAGGTAATCTTGGGCTGCTTTGAACAGGTGCCATGCTGTCTGATGGAATTTGTTTGTACGACGAAGAAAGATTGAATCAGCAGGGTAAAAGCTGGTATGAATGTAAACGAAGAACTCAATAAGGCTGAGCCGTTCCTCCCATTTTATATCTTCGTCGCCCACCCCTACCCCATGTTAAACCCTTTAACAAAAGTGCGCCGCAGATTGCATGAACTTGGATGAACGGTCTTAAAGGGATTGAGTTGTGCTTGTCGGATGAAGACTGGGATGCACGTCGGGAGTCTCTATAACGTTACTAGGGGATAGATCTAGGTGTTCAAGATAGGAAATTGGCGATAGAGTAGAGCAAGCTTGGGGCCGATGGCGAACCAACTGTATGCCTTCAGCTGATTGCTCGTTATGCTCGGATGTTCAGTCAGCTGAATATTCAGGCTCCGAGCGAGTCATTGGATTTCTCTCTATTAGGCCAACTAGTTGGAATTTTTGTAATAGCAATAGGCATTATTAACAATTATCGACAAAATAAAATTCCCTGTCCAAATCTCATTCATCAACAACTCCAAACATCCAGTCTGGAGATAACCCATGTAGACAACAAAACCCAGAAGGATTAAGCACATAAAGGGCTCAATAGAAAGGAAGCAGATCAAAAGGCCAACACCAAAAAAAATAAAGAAAGAAACCATAGAACAAAACAAAGGCCGGAATATATATCACTTTAAATCAAAGAAAACCCGAACGTTTCCAAAAAAGAAAAGAACAAACACACCCATACCCATGTCCCATTTTGACGCTATCCTCGAGTCAAACGTTTGTGACAAGAACCTCACACCTTATTAGTCATCTAGACGGTGTGGGAGAGCATCCCGTTAGAACGCGGGTGGCCCAGCGATCCCATACGGACAGAGAGGAAGCTCTGGTGGATGGAGACAGGCTATGTACTGCACGTGCGATACCGTGGGAATCTGGTATTTCATTAATGGCTGGGGCATACACTGGATGTTATCGTGGAAAGACGGTGTCCAGGTATCGCAGTGACCGCTTACTCCTGGAGTAGAGTTTGGGTAGGTGTTGTAAGCGGAGTAGTCGGAAGCTGACACTGGGACGTTGTGGGGGCTGATCATCTCTGCTGTCACGGGAGTGCTGAGCATGGGCTGTGACAATAAACCGGAGTATTGGGGGACGGTGTAGTAGGGGCAGTCCTGGCCAATAGGGATTTCAAGGTTAAGAGGCTCCACCATAGAGAAGCTGTCTGGGAGGGAGCGGGTTGATGGGATGTTGTCGATATGTGTGGTTAAGGAGGTAGATGGTTGCCCGAATGATGAGTTGGGATTCATTAATCCTTGGTATAGATGCTCGGACTTCTCAGTAGTCACTGATATAGCGGGCTCATCTTCTTCATCGGCCTTAAGACTAGGGCCGCGCCTCATGGTGTAGACGACCATGTTGGCGTCGACTTCACCTCGTTCAAAACTCTCCTCCATTTTACGAACCCGGAGGATCTCGTACATGATCTCGACATCGGATGCGTCCTTCAAGCTCCGCTGGGTCTCACTAGCAACATCTTTAAGCTTATCGGCAGTAATGCCACGATAACCGAGCTTGCATATAATGTGAAGCAAGAGCTTAATGCAGTCTATTGAAAATAAAGTAAGTAAGTGAATCAGGAACCAGACAATAGGTAAACGTACTCTTTATTCTCAAGTGATCAGGCTCCTTGTGTATAATATCTTCAGGCCACCACTCGGGCTTAGTCATTTCTGGGTCACCAGTAGTACGGGGGGCGGATCCTCGAGGTGACCCGCGACCATTGTAAGGGTGTAGGATCCGCTTGCGAGGCTCGATAAATTTGACGAATGCCTTGGCAACGGTGCTGCAGTTTCGCTGTTGGAAGTGTTTTAGGGCGCCTTCATAGTAACTCATGATATTTTGGGCATCTCCAATACGGAGAGGAACCATTTCGGTAGATCCGCTAGTGTTATCAGTGTTCTGCTCGATCAGGCAGCCGTCAGGGACAGAAAGAGCAGGAGCGTTGCCCTTGCGACGTTTCACCCGAGAAGTAGTTGTGTCCATTGTCTCTGCATATATTATTAGTATCAGGGTCTGGAACTATGACATACGGTGAACAGGGGTGTGGTAGCCGATATTCTTACCCATAATCTCGAGGAACCTCTGGAGGACTTCTGAGGTGAACACAGTGGAGTTTCGCGTTTGGATAGAAGATGACGTTCGGTCTGATCATACCATTAGTATGGTTTCGGTCTGCTAGGTAAAGGTATTACGTACCAACACGTTCACGGGCAATGAATGCATATTCAGCGTAGTCGTCCAGGCCAATGCTAGTGTCCGTCGGCTCGGCTAGCTTGTCCCAACTGGACCTGTGTCAGCAATTCCCGAACAAGAAAGGGTCTGATGGCTAGCTCATACGTTTCCGCGACTGTTTTGAATTGGGATGCCGATGCCAATTTCTTAAACGATTTGAAATCGTCTGAAGTAACATGGAAACAATTCGGATCTTTACGTGCGGCCTGAGCGTTCTCTGCCTGCTCATCGCTGGAAAAGCAAGGCTGAGAAGGCTCAGAAGGCTCATTTGCCACGGGAAGCTCAGCTGAAGAATATCCTTTGCGGATGACCTTCACTAACAACTGCTTCAGTTGAACCATATCGGGGCCTGATTGGGAATGGTCCTGGAAGACAGGAGTGTTTGGAGGTTCTCGGTTGGTAAGACTGAGCAGCACGCTTTCAAAGAGATGCTTCAGATCCTCCACGGTATCTCGAGGCGTGGTCGATTCCTTCGTTGGGCTATCCGGCGGCGTCATGCCTTGGTGACAGGGAGACGAAGTCTTTTTCGATGCCATGTGCTCTGAAAGCAATCTTGGGCTGCTTTGAACAGGTGCCATGCTGTTTGATGGAATTTGTTTGTACGATGGAGAAGAAAGATTGAATCAGCACGGTAAAAGCTGATATGAATGTAAACGAAGAACTCAATAAGGCCGAGAGGTGCCTCCCATTTTATATCTTCGTCGCCCACCCCTGCCCCATGTGAAACCCTTTAACAACTTTAACAAAAGTACGCCGCAGATCGCATGAACTTGGATGAACGGTCTTGAAGGGATTGAGTTGTGCTTGTGGGAGCAAGCCTATCTCTGCCGTCTGGGACGGCTAAGATAGATAGGTACAAAGAATCTGCACGTCTAGTTTTGAGAATGCATGCCTTCAAGACTGTGACGTAAGAAAGAGATGCGAAATTTCGTCGAAATTTCGATGAATTTATGCAGTTTAATCTTATCTCGGATTGATATTTCAGAGGGAATAAATAATTTTACAGAGATTTGGGCAAATTATTCCAAGTTCGAAATTTATTGTTCTTATTATGTTAATCTTGAATATGGCGAAAACTTTTGGTCTTTAAGCTCAAAGATTATTGTCATTGTTGCTTGATCAGGTCTTGACAGGAGACCAGCGCCCAACCCTTCGGGCAAAGAACGTTTGTCACGTGATAATATAAAGACGGATTTCATTCTGCCCCTCATCTGCCCACTCATTTATTTACCAGCGCATTACAACGACTGTTGCTTGACTCAAAAGGCGATACAGCCCCAAATGACTGTAGTCATTAATCCTTGACGGAAAATTCGTGTTACTTGAAAGGAAATAACCCAAAAGCAACGTCGTTGGTGATTATCCTTAATCTCATCGGACTAAGCGGCGACGTAAGTCAAGCGCGTTCACTTCTCATCTGGCGTACATGTAATGTATTCTAATATACAAAAGCATTCATTCTCCCCGGCAAGTTTGGATTCCACCAGAAAAGCGCACACAGAGACCAGTACAATGGATAAGGCAGCCAAAAAATTTCGCACCGAAAGCTCATCAGACAGCGGGATTCTCGAAGAATGCAAGAAAGAAGTGAGAATGATATGTTAGATGTTCATCTGTGAGAAGAATACTAATTACCCAGGTAACATGTGACTTATGCGATCGAATAAACTGGACGACTCCATCAAAAGGTGTTCAGACTACCCCTCCACCGAGAACGGTTGCAATTGTCGTGGATGTTGTTCAGAACAGAGGCGCTATACGGATATTCGAGAAAGAAAGCGGCGAATACGTCGACGGAGTTGGAACCGAGGAGGAAGGCTTTCGGATCATCATTCCATGGAGAGACACTTGGCGCTTCAGAGCATCGGGCGTCGTTGAAGTTGGGTATATAATAGCAAAGGATACAGATTAGTTTGGCGGCTGGTTCCATGTTGCCAATGGACGGTGTAAGATTAATTGATCCGTCAGCTCGTTACTGACTGGAATTGTAACAAAAGATGTCGTGTTCACTCCATACGTGTCTGTGAGCCATACTGCGCCTGATATCTGGCCCGATTCTATGATATCTCGAATATCTTGCACGTTGAGCTCGTATACATCTCCGGTCAAAGGGCCTTTAGGTCGATTTAGCCAGTAATCATCCACTTTGTGCCAAGGCCATACCTATGTCTTGCCGCTTCCCGGGTTGAAATGTCAACAAATCCGGCGACGTGACTACCGCAGGTGGCCCTTCACCATGTTAGCTAGCAGCATGACCCACAAGATTTAGATGTCATACTAAAGATCGGTTGAATGATTTGGTAGCTTCCTTGACCCCGCTCCTGATGCTCGAGAGCGTCGTGAGACTCGGAGACTTGGTTCACCGTTCCATTATCGGCTTGTAAGGGAGCCTGGGGAGCCTCTGGGTAGAGAGAAAAACTGAGATACTGACGTGCAAGCCATCGGAGCACAGGGTTGTCAAGGTCAGAGTGATTTTGGATCTCATATGGAAGATCAAGTCGTATACTCTCCTTTGCGATGGCAATTGCCGACAGTCCCAAGCCAATAGCACAAAGAACGACCATGGATGGGCCGTTCAGCTGTAGAACCTTGCGGAGGAAGTCGAGATAAGTCGACTGTCGACCTGCTCCGATAGAGTCCTGGGGTGGGTACCCATTCCTCAGTAATGTGGCGGCTGCCTTAATTCTTTTCCTTTCTTTTTCTTTCACGCCGTTCCGACGCTCAATATCTCTTGAAGCCTGGGAAAGCTGCTCTATGGCACTAGTAAGAGACAGAACCATGCTTCAGAACATGCAAGTGGAATTTTCGTCGAAAAGGAGCTAAGAGCGCGTCGATGAAAAGCGCTAAATACCACAAATCAATGTCGAAAATCTGTCAAAATGGAGACGAAAGACCACCTTTTTATAGCCTTCTCCATTAAAATGGGTTGCAGGGCTTGTGCTCTTGCATATTGATGGGACACTAGCGAGTGCGTGCAGATTTCAGCAATCTCATTGGCTGATGCTCTTTGCTGTGTCAGCCTAGACACGCTGAGGTCGAAAAAGGTGGGGCAGTCGTCCAATCTCTGACTTGAGTGAAAAGATTACGCAACCTTAGTCCACCAATCCCACACGTGCGAGGAATACCCCTCAAACTCATATTTCGGCCACGTTAGAAAAGATAGGATGGCGCGAGGTGCCACAATTGGATCTCCTCTCCAACCGACGTAGCCGCTGGTCTAGATTGTGGGCCAGGCACTGAGAAAGGGCTCGCCCTCAAAGCACTGGAGCCTCTTTCACTACCCTCAGCCAATCATGGCATCTGTTGATAGGTGCCGCAGAGAGCTTTTTATCAAAATACCAAGGAATAAAACTTACTTTACATGCAGCTGGCTAGTGCAGATTGACTGGACTATACCTCACATGTGGCCAATAGGACTGAAATTGTGGGCAGTTCTCTCCGTTACAAAATGCTTTCCCGAAGTAAATAAAGCAGCAACAATTACCAATTTTATTTTACCCATGGTGTAAGGCAATAACTGTGTGCACGATTTACTTTGTTTCTCAAATGCGTCGGATATCCATGGATCTGCCTTCCGGGGTCTGTGCGTCTTAGGTGATCGTGTTGAACGCTAACTAGTTAACTAGTTATGTGATTGGCCATCAACCTCCGATTGTATAAAAAACCTAAACTAGTTAACTAACTGCTGATCGGTCTGTCAACCAATAATTAAGCGCTCAGGTCAGCGCGTCTTACCGTGGCAACCTGCGCACGGAAGCTTCACCTGTGTCGCAAACGCACGCTAAGCAATGCCAACTGCAGTATAGCTAGTGCACGGTGTCTTCTACAGCAGCTTTGGCTGAGAAGGCTGCACACCTCAAGAAGTATGCAACGATACTGCTTAGGGCGCAGCATGAAACTATATATTAGATGATATCGCCAGCAGAAGCGCATAACGTCGATCGCCACAAATATACAAATACTTCGCCAAATTGTGTTTTTAAATCGCAATCGATCATGTCATTGGCAGAACTCAAAGTCAATGGACTCTATATCCTCCTTTTTATTCGGAAGCATCCACCAGTTCAGAACGATTTCCACTGGGGCCTCTACTTCCATCGTCATCCCGACACTGGCGGCACAAAATACCACATCACGCAGCAAGGTAGTGGCTGGATACCCGGTCATGGACCTACTGCCGGTGTCTTCAAATCCTTTCTTCTTGTCGGGCTTATGAGAATTGCTGATGTCCCTGCGGGATATGAAAGTCACTTGGATCGGACTATAAGGACATACGATATTCAGTTGAACGTTCCGGGCATCACTTGCCGTGTTTGGCTACTTTGGGTCCTCGCTCTTCTGCAAAAGAGCATCAATGGACAGGTGATTTTGAAATGCAGCAACCTGGGATCGCTGGAGACCGAGGTCAAGAATTGGGGAAACGCAAACGCTATGTCTGCCGCAAACAATGTCCAGCCGCGGCCATTGGCAACTTCATCTTTGTGCGGATTATAAAAGCCCTTTTCAAAGATCAAGGTGTGTTAAGTCGCCTAGAATCCATTGGAATTGCGATTTGCTAAGTACCAGCGCAGCTAGTAGACGGGAGAGCATGTCTTTTGATAAGCCCAAGCGAAGTGGGATTACAAGAAATACCCCAAATTCTACGGTGGAAGCTATCCAACGGCTCTATATTGGAATAATATACGTCTACTGCCTCTAAAATATACTCTTGATCTCGCGTAATGTGGTTGAAATTTGATCAGTGGGCATTGATTGAAACAAATTAAGAGAAACAACCACTAACAAAGAGGCCTGTAAGACAGTAATATTCACCAATAATAGGAAGCACCTGTCAGAGAAGTCAATGCGTTCTCATAATCCAGCTCTGCTAGATATGATCCGCCACCAAGTTTGATCACAAAGCTGTACCACCAAAAGTCTTCCTGCGTGAACCTCAATGCAGTAGTGAAGTCCCAATATTCAGGGTACCAACCTGCCGATTCCCAATCCAAAAAGCCGGTGATCTTTCCCCCTTGCACCAGGATGTTATGGTGCTTTAAATCTCCGTGGGTAAAGACAATACGATGACGCAAGCTTCCCATCATTTTAGCACGATTAAGTGCATCTTTGTATTCCGTGTCCGATGAGAAGCCATCTGACCAAGCGGGCCGTATGAGATACTCATTAAAGTCTTCCTCTGACTCAAACGGACCGGCAAAATGACCAGGAAGGCGGACACTCCTTATTGAGGTACCCTGAAGAGAACAAATCCTCTGCCCGCCCCATGGACTCGGCCACCCTCGTATGATCCTCAGGTAGCCTTTGAGCTCTTCTAGAACTGAATTTCGATCCTCGTCGCTGAGTGCTTCGTAGACTCGACCCAATTCTTCACCGGGCACGCGAGTCATAAGAATCGAGACTGGTGCATGGGGTGTATCAGGGTGCTCACCATAGCAAATCACCCTTGGAACTGGAAGACCTGCACTTCGTGCAACCTGCATAGATAAAACTTCCTCGATCCGAGTACCATCGGACCATTTCAAAATCAATCCGAATGGAAGCTGAGCGATCTGATTATCGTAAGAGACTCCGACCCAGTTGCAATACGACCGAGAAAATCGTCTGAGATATTTGTGGAGAAAACCCCAAAATTGTAGCAGTCGTGGGTGCGTTGGCCGAGGAGTTGATGGCATTCGGTCCTTAGAAATTGGTCGGACGTTGTCTGGCCATGTAAAATCAGGCATGAGACAGCGAAATATTAACCAAAGTTTCATTGTGAGCCAGACAGAGTTTTCGAAGTGATCAAGCCAGTTCGAAGAGGTTATAAGGAATGTTAAGGTGGGAGAGTATTGGCAGCGTCAGTTCTAGAATGCCAGCATAAATAATGGGGCGGTGTATGGTAGATCACATGATAATGAATATATCAAGGCTGTCAGCAAATTTACGATGAATTGAGATTCAGGCTTTACTAAAAGGGTGCCGCCGTTGCTACAGCCAATGTTCTTGTTTCATTCCTAGGATGCGGTGGGACCCACGGAATTCGTCTTTATCACCAAATACCATTGTATATAGTTTGGCCATAAAAAAGCCCTTTCGTACACCAGACTTTTCATTATTTTCAACGTGACAGTGGATTCGGAAGGCAAAGTCCTTGGAGGAAGGAGTAGCAGTGAAACAATCACACAAACATGCTGAATTAGCGTATCCAGTCTTCTGCATAGAATTGGGGGAACGTTGAGTTAGTTTCTTGAATTGTCAGGTGACTAGAACCCGCGGGCGGAACGTCGTTAGACAGTAACGGAATGGATATCTTGTATGGGGCAGGGAGAATGCTATTGGACTTTAAATCGTGGAGGGGATGTGGGAAAAGGCCAACTTCTTCAGTATGCCGTTTGTTGAGACGAGGAGCTTGAAGATGTCATTTCCCTGCTCGTCGAAAGAGGTGCCCCTTTGAACGCGACAATGTTTGACATTCCTTCTTCGGTCCCATTTGTCTTGCCACTCGTGCGTCTCTGTATGAAGATTCGCTCCTCGCGTTGGAACGCCGCTCGGAATCCCCAGAATTTCCAGCAGTGCGGCCCCTGAGGCGTGTGCAATAGCGCACACTGGATATAATCCTGTAACTTCCTCTGTTGGGCTGCATGGCGACTGCTTCTGGCTATCTTGAGATGCGGGTGAAATTGAAGGCGCCAATGTTCTATTTTGACGAAGGTTTGGAGATGCTGACAGGCTTTGGCCGCATGATGCAGCATCGACCGAGGTTAGGCGAGTGTGCGGTATTTTTACTATTGGCTCGCATCACGGCGGTATGTTTTCGAGATTCACCGATTGGGTGCGGAAAGACCGGAGAGGCCGTCGATGACGATAGATGGGAGGTCGAGGCACTTGCAAACAAGCGGTCGAGAGTAGATCTGCGACGCCAAGGGCTGCAATGTAACCTTAGGTGGGGGCCTAAGACGGGGCGGATGAAACAGAGCATGCGGCATCGAGGAGACTTCGCAACAAGGGAGGCCAGCGGAATATTAGACACTCAACGGGAAGGCCTCATCAGTAGAAAGCAAGCGATCTAGATGACTTTGTAGACTTCTTTGGAAACTAGAGTATTGACACACAATATTGCTGGACCACCCAGTGTTTCTGCTCCTGAGCGACTGGATAGAATTGCAGCCCACGCTGGTCAGAACGACCAGGGAGTCGGATGAATCATTCTTCTACCAAGAGTAGACAATCTCAACCAGATCCTGTAATCTAACCCACTAGACCATACCATAGTCCACAACATTCACTGGCAAAAATCCCCGCAGTTGCAGTCTCGCATTGACCACAAGATGCAGTATCGACCAAGGTCCAGGGCGTGTGCGGCATTGTCGCTATTGGCCCACATGACCGAGCTATGATTTCGAGTTTTCACCGATTGGGTGAAGAGGGACCGGAGAGACCGACGATGACGACAACTGGGCGCGTGGCCAGGCAACCGGGAGCCATTCTATGAAGCCGGGGCTGTGCAATGCAACCTCAGGTGGGGCAGCGGGAGAGGGGTATGTAGCGTCGAGGGTATACTGGCACTTTGCAGATTTGAAGGGAGGCCCGCGGAATCAGAGACGAAAAGGCGCACTGGCAGAGGGAGACCTAGATATCTTCGTAGCATGGTACTCAGTCACTGCCCTAGGGAAGGAGTACGATCATCGACACGAAAGGACAGGATGCTGGTATCATCCCAGTGGTTACGCTTCTGGGTGACAGGCATTGCAAGCTGGATGTCGGATCAAGCGGCATCTCCGGTAAAAATGAAAGGGGCAGTGCGTCGGGCTGAAAGCGAATGTGCAGTAGTCGGTGGGGGCCAGAGTAAAAGAAATGGGGCGGCGATGAGTGCAAGATAGAGTGGCAGAATAATGAAAAAGTAAGAGAACAGGGAGGAAGAGCAGGGAAGACGGGTCTTTTATGTCGGAGGGCATTGAAGAGAGGTTACGTGACGGCGTATTGGGGCGCTAAACCCAAAAAAGCAAAACTAACCGGATATAGTAATTCACAGGTCCGCCGTTTACAAGATGAAAAGGAAGTCTTCATAGAATAAAGTTGGGTAGTTGGAGTTTAGAACAGTATTATTGGAAGCAGAAAAACAGGGGTTGTACATAAAATGTGGATGTTTCGCTTGAACGGTACAATATAATATCACAATTCTAAGCGATTCCAATTTGCAAATTTTACAGAGTACACTAAGTTGGCTTTAATGCTTATATTGAAACAGATGGCTACGGAGGATGTTGTATACAGCGCAAGGTCGACAGGCGCGAACCAAGAAATATCCCGACAGCATAGCCTCTCTCATTGGCGTTTCTTCGGTCTTCCAGACCGAGAGCTGGCCTTGTGGCGTAATTTGGTTGAATGGTGAACTTGAAGGGATGACATGTTTCGACCTGGGAAGTGAGTCGTAATCTCAGACCATGACATTGCCTCTTGTTCCTTCAGCCGCACGAGCAGCGCATTCTCGTCCGACGTGTACACGTGTTTCAATGGGGGGATAACCGCCGTGTGGACTGGAGGCAGCATCGGGCTAGGGTCGGGTACGAAAGTAAAGAAATATACCGGTTTCAGACCAGTATTAGACTCGACCGTGAGGATAGCACTCCCATATAAACCCTGGATAGCACCAGAGCGATGAGATGAAATAGGAACGGAAGATTTCGAAGGGCCGGAAAGTGGCCTAATTGAAGGTCTCCTTTTCTTCCTCTTTTGACACGGCTGTGCTGTGTCATAGGGGGTGTTCTCGTCTTGGTGGATGCTGGTGCCTCGACCTGAGCGGAGTCGCTTCTTGCATACTGCCGCAGCGGCCCTTGTGCTTGTCCTGGCGGCTCCTTGTTTCCAGGACGTTGACGGTATAACCACAGCTATCGACGGGTAGCGCACCGGGGGCTTGGAACTTAGTGTCGTTCGAGCTTGAGAACATTTTAATGTAGACCGAGCCGGAGGCAAAGAGGACGGGCTAGATGTGACTGGTGTGTCTTCAATAGTGCTGGGATCTTCAGCCCGCTCAGAAGCCTTGTTTGCCCTTGAGCATGGATTTTCACCTAGGTTAGATGTCTGACTCGGCTCCGAATCATTTTCGTAGACCCCACTCTCTGAGGGCTCCATGGTAGATAACTTCCGCTTGGCTAATTCTTGCCGAAAATCACCCACCACATATAGGTTGCTAGAGACACAGTTCGCTTGTTCGGGTGCAGGCACGGGTGCGGTCACACAGGGTGTGCACGAGAGTTGAGAAGTCTCCATTTCTTTGGTATCAGGAACAGCGTCTACAATAAAAAAAAGTCAGACAATGAGAGAATGATGGCCGACTTTCAATGTGTTGTGCCAACTTACCCGGTAGATCATCTCCTCGCATATCAGGAGGAATAGGGTCTAGGTGATTTGGCCCTGCAGGACACGAAATTGTTCCCGCGGAGTCTGTCGATGGCACTGGCTCTGAGAAAGCCAGCGCGGAACTTCAACGATCCAACAGAATATCACAGGCAGCTGGTATATCTGTTGTCACTGGGGGTTCGACATCTTTCGTCATTTCAGGCGGAGTGGGTCCATAGACATGATTGATCTCGAAGTCAAACATGTTCCACTCATGAGTTGTACCGGTCAGTGGCAGTGACTGTCCTAGGGGTACCTCACACGGTCCTGGACAGAAGCCGAACCGAGTGGGAAAAGACTGCTGGAGGTATCGTGGCACATGAGCTGGGGCGTGGTTGGGGGGCACGCTTTTTGCACTGGTAGAAAGCGGCGGGCGACTTGGGCCATGGTAGAACCCGATTTGATCAAGATCCACCCTCGTTTCCCAGAAAGTGGCAAGATATAGCGGAGACACAGCGGAGGTAGAAACCAACAGAGAATGAAACAAGCTTGGATAAGAGTGCAGCGGTCACTGGGCTGGTGTGTCCACGTCCGTTCTAAATGATATCCAAAGAATGGGAAAAAGAGGTCAGTCATCCTTTTTAATACCCAGGCGCCGCCAGGGCATTACTGGCTGAGGAATCATGCAGTATATCGCCTTGCGAACCCCACACAACCGAGAACTGCGACAGCACTGCCTCGTTGATACTACTCGCTGCTTGCGTCGGGCGATCACTGGAGAGTTCTCCGGGCGAATCTAGCCAACCGGCCTCGTCAAAGGGCGCCTTGGTTCGTAGTACCCACCGTGTAACGTTGCAGCCTCCAGGACACCTCAGCTGACAATCGATGGATTGGGAAGAGATTGGCAAGACAAAATCCCTCAATCCGAGCGGCAGCCTAGGATTCGCCGATCACGCAAGCCGATCATGCAAGCCATCAAATTCATGGAGGTTTGCGATGTCTCAGCTCAGCGCCAGAGCTCCTTGAGGCATTTTTGCGGTTGGCTAGAGAGCGGAAGCGGGTCTAGCGAGCGAATCACCGGTTATTCAATCAGGGGTCGGCTGAAAGAGCAAAGGTGACCGTTCTACGGCGCGCTGTGTGGCATTCGCAGACCGAAGCCTGGGACAAAGAGCGGCCGTTGCTATCCACATGTTCAAATATCAAGCAGTTCGAAGTTGATGTGTACGCCGGTTGGAACAGCAACCCTCCGTAGCGTACAGTATGAAACGAAGAATGTATTGAGCCATATAGAACTGGGAAATCAAGGGCGATCCGGGTGACTCGCAGGGCCAGACCGACGACTCCTTCAAATTTCCGCGAGTGGGGAAGCAGGCTGTGTTCGGGGCGCAGAGTTTTCAGCTGGCAGGGGCCACGTCAGCGGATCAGGAAATGATGCCGGCGAAACGTAATGGAGGGGGAAAGGGGGGAATGGGCGTGGGAAAGAAGAGAGTCGTCGTTGAGCGACGCACCGCGGATTATATAGATGGCGGATGTCGCGAGACGGGCGGTGCGAGACGGCAGATCCCGATCAGCGCTAGCGTGAGGCGCCAAACCCGTTGCGGACGGGCTAAACCCCAAGTGGATGGACGCGATCCCGGATCTGGCGGCGGTCCCAAGGCGCTAAACCCGAAGGAGGGGGGCGCCGAAACAGGCCGCGGGCCAGCAAATCGCTATTCTACTGTTATAGTACTTGGTATAGCTCCTGGTTTGGCGCTAGTGCTAGGTATGGTCCTTGGTATATAAAGTGAGGTAGGACAAAAGTGACTTAGTTTTGTTAGAGTTTCACATATAAATTGTAGGTACCCGCTGTTTACTATAAAGGCGGTGTACAAAGTGGGAAGGCGGTATAGAGAGCGGTAGACGAAAACAGCTATCACGTCCAGTGTCTCACCTGATTAGGAAGACGGTAGGTTTAATACCAGAAATTTCAGGCAGGGGGGTGAGATTAGCCAAAGGGGGTGAGTTTATCAATCCCCTTTTTATATTATTTTTTCTTCCGGAACGACTTCACTTTACACACAGATAATCACGAATAGCCGTAGCCTTCTCGGAAGAGGGTTGTGCCCACGACCGAATTATAATCGAAATTTGACCGGGCTTGATAGTAATCCAGAATGCGGCAATTAACCACCGATATCAACCGCTTTTCAAACCGGCGAAGTATATTCACAGACCACCGCACAAAACTGCATGCCTCTTCCGCCGACTTGAACAACCTATAAAATTGCCTGGCTACAATACGCTACAGCTCGTTTTCTCATCTGGACTCACTGTTCTCCCACAAAATCTGCACAGAAGCCCTGTACAGGGAGGATCGAAATCAGTTTCACCACTTGCGCACAGAGATTCTTTCTCGAACCCTCCTTCTAAACACGCTAATCTTAATCCTGCTTAGCCTCGTTTCAAGTGCCGATTTGTATTGAAAGCTCGTATTATACGTGTCTCGGCTTTGTAAATTACGTGAAACACGCTTGCACTTGATCCCGCCAAGTCTGCCCCTTGTGGTAACTCTCCACTCTTGCATCGGCTCCGTCCGTCCCTACATTTAGTAAGGACAGTTTCGAGTGATGTAGTCAAAAATCTCGCTTCATGTGTAATAAGGTGATCAGCAACAGAACACCTCTTCGAAGTTCAAACTTAAGGCAGAAATTGGCCCTGAAACTTAGGATATAAGAGTATATAACTGTAAAATGACATTGAACCTGTCCGTTTCCTACACAAGCAATGTTCGAGAAGTTAATAATTAAAGTATGCGAATAATGTAGTTCAAGTCTTTCCCTCTGCCTAGTCGAACACTTTCGAAGCAGATCAATGGCTACAGTATACCATCATGACCGGAAGATTTCCAAGTGAAAGCGGAAAGGCCTTGATGAGTTCGGTCTTTCGAATTTCATCGCCTGTATCCGGAGCTTCTCAGCTCCACCAGCCCTGGTTCAAATTAACCCACGCCGAATTGAATAAAGATATTACCTACGATCAAATCCGATTTACACAAAGTTTCCATAGGTAGACTAAGGATGTTCCCGACGGTGTTTGACAATCATACAGATAAAGGGCAATATCAAGTTCCAACATGTTTGTGGATCCCATCGGGACTGTCGTTCATTTGACATATGTAATCACAGAAGAATTTACAAAGTTTGTTCAGAAGGTCCGGAGTCTTTGAGAGAAAGATTCTCAACCAGGTTTCTCGGAGCCACAAAGCCGGACTACGGTGAAGGCAATGTGATAGCGCCTCTTCTTTGAAGCATATTGACAATGCCGTGATGGCCTCGCTGTGAGGCAGCCTGGAGAGCGTTGCTATACCTACCGCCCTGCGCGTTGACATCTGCTCCCTTGTTCAAAAGTAGGTTGACAATCTCTTGATAGCCACCATCTGAGGCAGCCTGGAGAGCGTTGCCATACCTGCCGCCCTGCGCGTTGACATCTGCTCCCTTGTTCAAAAGCAGGTTGACAATCTCTTGATAGCCTCCTAGTGAGGCAGCCTGGAGAGCGTTGCCATAGGTACCGCCCTGCGCGTTGACATCTGCTTCCTTGTTCAAAAGCAGGTTGACAATCTCTTGATAGCCTCCTAGTGAGGCAGCCTGGAGAGCGTTGCCATAGGTGCCGCCCTGCGCGTTGACATCTGCTCCCTTGTTCAAAAGCAGGTTGACAATCTCTTGATAGCCTCCTAGTGAGGCAGCCTGGAGAGCGTTGCCATAGGTGCCGCCCTGCGCGTTGACATCTGCTCCCTTGTTCAAAAGCAGGTTGACAATCTCTTGATGGCCTCCCTGTAAGGCAGCCTGGAGAGCGTTGCCATACCTACCGCCCTGCGCGTTGACATCTGCTCCCTTGTTCAAAAGCAGGTTGACAATCTCTTGATAGCCTCCTAGTGAGGCAGCCTGGAGAGCGTTGCTATACCTACCGCCCTGCGCGTTGATATCTGCTCCCTTGTTCAAAAGTAGGTTGACAATCTCTTGATGGCCTTGCTGTGAGGCAGCCTGGAGAGCGTTGCCATACCTGCCGCCCTGCGCGTTGATATCTGCTCCCTTGTTCAAAAGCAGGTTGACAATCTCTTGATAGCCTCCTAGTGAGGCAGCCTGGAGAGCGTTGCCATACCTACCGCCCTGCGCGTTGACATCTGCTCCCTTGTTCAAAAGTAGGTTGACAATCTCTTGATGGCCTTGCTGTGAGGCAGCCTGGAGAGCGTTGCCATACCTGCCGCCCTGCGCGTTGACATCTGCTCCCTTGTTCAAAAGCAGGTTGACAATCTCTTGATGGCCTCCTAGTGAGGCAGCCTGGAGAGCGTTGCCATAGTAGCCGCCCTGCGCGTTGACATCTGCTCCCTTGTCAATAAGATCGCGTGCAGGCACTCCAAGTCCATTAAAACAAGCATAGTAGAGCCTAGAGCCGCGCGCAGCTCCAGGGCTATCGTCCCAACTCCTATCAGCCTGATGCAAACGAGCCCATCTTTGAAATGTCTCTTCCGTTTCTAGAAAGCTCACTATTCTTTGGGTAATCTCCTCGTAGGCCAGTGTTAACGTAGCATGGTATGTCCAATGTTCGGCCGCATATCTTGCCATCGGAAAATACCGCGTTATCTCTCTTTCGCTACCGTTGATGTCTGTCAGATATGTCAAGCACGTCCTCGTGATGGAAATGCTGGCAGTCGTAATCTGGAATTGGTCATGTCTGAGAAGGTACTCTTCCACAGAAAAATGGGCAAGATGCAACTCTTTATCATTGTTATAGATGACTGTCACTAAGCTGGGACAGTAAGCTAAGATATCAGTCTCGCAAAACAATCGACGCTTTATGTCAAACCCTCGTGACTCGTCTTCAATCTGCGTCGCTATCACTTCTTTAACCTCAGCCAGCGTTAGAGGTCGCTTGGAATGCACTAGGAATTGGAGAAGCCGTATCGCGTCAGTTTTTAACTCCGATGGTATACTTTCAAATATACGCTCGTATGTCTCGTTGAGATCCAGCGGCAAAGATTCAAGAGCCTCCTCCATAGCTGCCTCGTGACGACATCGAGCCAGGCTGTCTAGCTGACAGAACGCCCACCTAAACCTAATCAAGGCGTCAGTAAGCTATCATTATATTGCTCGAAGCAGTGATTACTCACATCCCGTCGGCGCCGTCGCCAACCTTTTTCCGGATCTCTTCCAGAAGGTTCGGGGACAAGGGCTTCTCTGTAAAATCACGCCGTTGAGAAAGTTGTGCTATGACCCACGATCGAATATCGGAGTTGATGGCTTGCTTATCAAGTGCCAGGCTGTTTTGCTTTCCTATTAAGGGGGGAATGTCGCGCAGAAACTCGGATTCAGGTCGACCGGTAAGAAGCAGCTGAACATGGACCAACTCTGGCCTGGACACCATATCCTTAATCCACCCGAGCACAGCGTCCCTTGTTTTCGATTCATCCAATGCGTCCAGAACAATAGAGACCTTCCTCTGAGCTACGAGCATCTTGAAAACAACACTCCAAAGCACCTTTGTCGTAGGTTGGTCGCTGCCATTTCGGTGCGCCTGGAACAAAGCATCGAGATGGTTTGCGGAGTCCACCCCACGGCGGTAAAGCTGGAAAGCAAGCGAGCGCAGCATGCCTTCCAATGTCTGTTTTGCGACGTCGTTAAAGTCAAAGAAGAAGCTAAGGATAAGATCGTCGTTTTGGTTTGCGAGATGATCAAGCACAGTGGTACTAAGAACCGACTTTCCACACCCCGCGAGCCCGTGCAGCCATAACTGTCGACGTGACCCCGAGTGCCACTCTTGGAAGACGGGCGATTCGAGCAGCCACGCGCCAGTCCCCTCATGGCGGAGCGTCCTAGCATGGCTGGCGTTTGAAGATGGATCCGGGGGACAAAGCCAGCGCTTGATCTCACTGGTATGAAGGTCAGATCTGATAGAATCTGCAGTGGCTCTTGTTGCAGCTGTTGTCTGCTGCATGCTATCGATCTGCAGTTGCACTACTCGCACCACTCGCAGTCAGAATATATTTCCAAATTCAAATGTTATTCGTCTCGGTTATTTGCTGGTATTTTGGACACCTGCAAACGATCTATTCAGGTAGGTATGTACTGACCCTTTTCCAAAATAGCCTTTGCTGTATCCTCCGTATCAACAACACTAGGCTGCACACATCCCAAAAGTTCCTTTGCGTACGCAGCGGCCACGGCTGCCGCATATTCTTGCCAGGTTTTCTCTTTTCCCGAGTCCGCGTAGTCACAAATACCTCGGATAACAATACATGGGAAGTCATTCATGAGCCCAGCTGCCTCCATCTCCACGCATAGTAAGTGCCCGCCGTATTTTTTGTCAAGGAGGTCTCGGGATTGGGCATCCTTAATCACTTTGTTCCCGGATGCGATCAGGCCATAGTGTACCCTGACATCTCTTGGGGCCCTTGCACCCTCTGCCTTCTCTGATACCCGCACATTCTCCTCATTTACCGGATTAATGGCCCATAAACCAAGAAGATATGCGATAATCGCGATGATCGCCTGCCACAACCAAGACAGGAAATAGACTTCCCTCGGAGTCCGGAACCGCTCGGATACCAATAATGGGTCTTGCAAGGCCTCACACCGCGTATATTTTGGCGCTAGCCGCGGGAATTTCCTTTCCATATCGTCCAGGTACTCATTTATCTTTGATCCGTACATCTCATGGTTACTTTTCAGCTGGTTCGAGGCATTGAGTAGCGCGTTCGGAGGTCGGTTCAGCGAGCCCGTGTGGACAAACCGCCCATCCCGTTCCAGCTTCCCCATATCCCATTGTATCACCCCGTGATAGTCAGCAACAGGTTGACTGACCACCACATCACCCAGACTGACCTTTGACGGAATTCCGCCGCCAATCCCTACCATAAGCCCGAACCTGATTGATTGGAACGTGTTGATCATTGAGGTCGCGACGGTTGCGGCAGAATTGGTTCCCATGTTAGGTAGGCAGGCTATGACGACGTTGTGGCCGCGTATCGAGCCAAGAGTATATGCGTTATGATCATTTCGAGGGGTCGGGAGAGGTTCGTGCTCTTTATCTAGCATGGCTCTGGCTGCTGTTTGTTCTTTTGGAAGGGCGCACACCCATCCGATGGTATAGGCATCGTGTTGGAGTCGCTTTCGGCATGGTGGTGTGTCGGGACTAGCTTTGTTCTGTCCTGACACTGATTGCTCTGGCTGAGATTGGGAATTCTCAGCCATAATGGATGAAGAACAGCTCGACTAACCACGCGATGTGTTAATCAAGCACTTTCTCTTCCAGCAGAAGACACTAAGAAGTAGCTCTTTTCAGAAAGTTCTAATGTGGTTTATTACGAGAATCTCAGTAGGACTCTAACGAACTGAAAGAGGGGGAACTTCCTCAGCCTCGTCATCATGTGACTCTAGCGCGATCAGCTAGGAAGATTAATTGCACCTTTCAGCTTGCCCACACCGCTTTCTGAATGGTTTTGTGTCGATTTCACTTCCGCGTGGGGGCGGGTAATGACGTTGCCAGGAACGGGTCTACCCGATTCCAAAAGTCAGATCGAATGAGGGCTCTGTTACTGTGACCAGCCAGCGTTTTCCAGATAAAATATCTGACCCTCATCGCTTGAAGAGGTCACTGCTTTCTAGCAATTAAAGTGCACATTTTAAGAAGTGCTAGATCACAGTTGGTGATTAGCATAACCGAGGGATGATGTGCCATTTTGTTTAATCATCTTTTTCTGAGGTCCGCAACTTTGAGATGTGCTGCTAGGCTCCCAGGGACTACGAGATCGTTATGTCACGTGCATATCCTAATACCTAGCATCCCCCAGGCTTTTCACCCAAAATTATTTCACCTGCTCACTGAGCAAAGGGGTGAGCAAAGGTGAGCAGATAGAGTCGCTCCCCACCCCCGTCGCCCTCCTAAAGCTCTCCTCTGTCAACGTCCAGAATTCTCTTCGCAATATGGCGCCAAGACTCCCTCTCTCCAAGCTCGAAATGGTCCAGAACATGATATCAAGCAAATCGCTGACTACCTCGCAAATGGCTAAAGCTGCTGAATGTAGTAAGCGTTCCATAATCAACATCAGCAATAACCTCCGCCGATTCGGAAATGTCAGAGCACCCTCAACTCGAGTCGGTCGACGACGAAGCATCACACCTCCGATGATAGAAGCACTATGTGATCGCCTCCTCGAAAAACCCGGGCTATACGTGGACGAGATGGCAATATTTCTATGGGACGAGGTCCGTGTTCAGGTCACAAATTCGAGCCTCAAGCGGGCTCTCGCATCGGTAAATTGGTCGAAGAAGGTGGCTCGACAGAGAGCAAATGAACAGAATGCGGATTTACGAGATTCCTATTTGCACTATCTGTCGGACTTTAAGTCGTATCACTCAGTCTATGTGGATGAGTCTGGATGTGATAAACGGATCGGGTTTAGACGGACAGGTTGGTCTCCGTTAGGCACAGCGCCATTGCAGGTAGCCAACTTTCACCGCGACCAACGGTACCAGATCTTGCCTGCGTATTGCCAAGATGGGATCGTACTCTCTCGTGTTTTCCAGGGCTCCACCGACGCTGCATTATTTGAGGACTTCATTAATCAGCTTCTAAGGCATTGTGGAAGATGGCCTGAGCCAAAGTCCGTTCTAGTCATGGACAACGCGTCTTTTCATCGTTCTGATCGTATCGATGCAATGTGCACTGCAGCAGGAGTTAAGCTAGTGTATCTGCCACCGTACTCACCCGACCTGAATCCGATCGAGGAGTTTTTCTCGGAGTTGAAAGCATTCATTAGACGGAACTGGGTACGGTATAAGGAAAACTCAGAACAAGGGTTTCAAACCTTCCTCGACTGGTGTATTGAGGTTGTTGGGTCTCGAAAACAAAGTGCTTTGGGTCATTCTAGACATTCTGGCGTTGATATCCAGGCTCAGAATTCAATGACTAGACCAGCGATATAGGAACGTCACATATATATATATATGTACTACGGACTGCTAATGAAACCCACCTGAGGCTCTACTCATTTTCCGTCTACCGTTGTGTCCTATTTATATTCTGAAGTAGATATTCGAAACAAGTACTGTAGTTCAATAACAAATATCGCGATTCTCCTAGCCACTATTGTATGCTTCTTTAGAGTACTATCTATATACATTCAATCGGCGAAATATTCCTCATACATCTGACCCATTTCACCACATCTCTTACGAATTGACGGGCAATACCCACCATGATCCCTTGATCGATAAAGAATGA